TTGTGTTGTAGTTTGATGGTTTACTGGGCTATTGTGTTATATATCGTGTCTTGTGTTGTAGTTTGATGGTTTACTGGGCTATTGTGTTATATATCGTGTCTTGTGTTGTAGTTTGATGGTTTACTTGGCGATTGTGTTATATATCTCGCCTTGTGTTGTAGTTTGATGGTTTACTGGGCGATTGTGTTATATATCCCGTCTTGTGTTGTAGTTTGATGGTTTACTGGGCTATTGTGTTGTATATCTCGTCTTGTGTTGTAGTTTGATGGTTTACTGGGCTATTGTGTTATATATCGTGTCTTGTGTTGTAGTTTGATGGTTTACTGGGCGATTGTGTTATATATCTCGCCTTGTGTTGTAGCTTGATGGTTTACTGGGCTATTGTGTTGTATATCTCGTCTTGTGTTGTAGTTTGATGGTTTACTGGGCTATTGTGTTATATATCGTGTCTTGTGTTGTAGTTTGATGGTTTACTGGCCGATTGTGTTATATATCGTGTCTTGTGTTGTAGTTTGATGGTTTACTGGCCGATTGTGTTATATATCCCGTCTTGTGTTGTAGTTTGATGGTTTACTGGCCGATTGTGTTATATATCCCGTCTTGTGTTGTAGTTTGATGGTTTACTGGGCGATTGTGTTATATATCCCGTCTTGTGTTGTAGTTTGATGGTTTACTGGGCGATTGTGTTATATATCCCGTCTTGTGTTGTAGTTTGATGGTTTAATGGCCGATTATGTTATATATCGTGTCTTGTGTTGTAGTTTGATGGTTTACTGGGCGATTGTGTTGTATATCTCGTCTTGTGTTGTAGTTTGATGGTTTACTGGGCGATTGTGTCATATATCCTGTCTTGTGTTGTAGTTTGATGGTTTAATGGCCGATTATGTTATATATCGTGTCTTGTGTTGTAGTTTGATGGTTTAATGGCCGATTATGTTATATATCCCGTCTTGTGTTGTAGTTTGATGGTTTACTGGCCGATTGTGTTATATATCGTGTCTTGTGTTGTAGTTTGATGGTTTACTGGGCGATTGTGTCATATATCCTGTCTTGTGTTGTAGTTTGATGGTTTACTGGGCTATTGTGTTATATATCCCGTCTTGTGTTGTAGTTTGATGGTTTAATGGCCGATTATGTTATATATCGTGTCTTGTGTTGTAGTTTGATGGTTTAATGGCCGATTATGTTATATATCCTGTCTTGTGTTGTAGTTTGATGGTTTGCTGGCCGATTGTGTTCTATATCCTGTCTTGTGTTGTAGTTTGATGGTTTACTGGGCTATTGTGTTATATATCCCGTCTTGTGTTGTAGTTTGATGGTTTACTGGGCGATTGTGTTATATATCGTGTCTTGTGTTGTAGTTTGATGGTTTAATGGCCGATTGTGTTATATATCTCGTCTTGTGTTGTAGTTTGATGGTTTACTTGGCGATTGTGTTATATATCTCGCCTTGTGTTGTAGTTTGATGGTTTACTTGGCGATTGTGTTATATATCTCGCCTTGTGTTGTAGTTTGATGGTTTACTTGGCGATTGTGTTATATATCTCGCCTTGTGTTGTAGTTTGATGGTTTACTGGGCTATTGTGTTATATATCTCGTCTTGTGTTGTAGTTTGATGGTTTACTGGGCTATTGTGTTGTATATCTCGTCTTGTGTTGTAGCTTAATGGTTTACTGGGCGATTGTGTCATATATCCTGTCTTGTGTTGTAGTTTGATGGTTTACTGGCCGATTGTGTTATATATCGTGTCTTGTGTTGTAGTTTGATGGTTTACTGGGCGATTGTGTTATATATCCCGTCTTGTGTTGTAGTTTGATGGTTTACTGGGCCATTTTGTTATATATCACGTCTTGTGTTGTAGTTTAATGACTTACTGGGCGATTGTGTTAAAAATGCCTTGTTGTTGTGTTCTAGTTTTGAATGTTTACTGGCCAGTTGTACAGCGCACACTTTGGGAGGATCCTATGTACGACTTAATGCCTTCACATCGACGGTTTGCCAAATCACCTACTTAGAAACAATTATTCTAAAGACTTGGCGTTACACAAACCTTCACCAACATACACCTGGTGCTGTACTTAAAATACGTGTTTCCAGATTGGAAACTTAACACAGCAGTTCGATTGTTTTACAGAATATTTGCAAAGCAAAACTGCTAAGCAGCGTACCAGTATACTTCGGATATTCCACTAATCCCTCATTGGTTTTCATTGTCATTATTCAATTAACTTCGTGAACAGCACCCACAATAATTGTACAAACATCTGTTCAGTTATGACAGTGAAATGTGACCATCGGCCGCAGATATCCGATAACCTTGCTGACCCCACGTGATACTTCAAGCGTGGTCATCGTAATAAGCATTTACAAATTCACTGATGTTTCTACGGTCGAAAAAAAACCCACATATCATACATTGTTATTCCAAAACACTAGCCTCACATTAGTGTTTATCTTTCCTGTTTGCAGAAAAATGACCATTGACTTTTTGTTACAGTTGAAATTCATCGAATTGTGGATATTTCACAACCTTCCCTTGTTTAATAAGGGATGTCAATCATCAGTATTAAGTCACGTGTTCCCTTGCATACATGTATGGAATAAGTCAGTCCGACAGGCGTTGCTGAACGTAGAGATCAAGTCAATCAGATGTCATGTGTTACTACACATAGCAATAAAGTCAGATGTCATGTGTTACTAAAATAGCAATAAAGTCAGATGTCATGTGTTACTGCACATAGCAATAAAGTTAGATGTCATGTATTACTGCACATAGCAACAAAGTCAGAGAGAGGTCATGTGTTACTACACATAGCAATAAAGTCAGATGTCATGTGTTACTGTACATAGCAATAAAGTTAGATGTCATGTGTTCCTGTACAGATACATGTAGTCACAGAATATGATGTCATGTCATGTCATGCATTACTACACATAGCAGTAAAGTCAGATGTCATGTGTTACTACACATAGCAATAAAGTTAAATGTCATGTGTTACTGTACAAAGCAATAAAGTTAGATGTCATGTGTTACTACACATAGTAATAAAGTCAATGAGATGTCATGTGTTACTACACATAGCAATAAAGTCAGATGTCATGTGTTACTACACATAGCAATAAAGTTAGATGTCATGTGTTACTACACATAGCAATAAAGTCAGATGTCATGTGTTACTGCACATAGCAATAAAGTCAGATGTCATTTGTTACTGCACATAGCAATAAAGTCAGATGTCATGTGTTACTACACATAGCAATAAAGTCAGATGTCATGTGTTACTGTACATAGCAATAAAGTCAAATGTCATGTGTTACTGTACATAGCAATAAAGTTAGATGTCATGTGTTCCTGTACAGATACATGTAGTCACAGAATATGATGTCATGTCATGTCATGCATTACTACACATAGCAGTAAAGTCAGATGTCATGTGTTACTACACATAGCAATAAAGTTAAATGTCATGTGTTACTGTACAAAGCAATAAAGTTAGATGTCATGTGTTACTACACATAGTAATAAAGTCAATGAGATGTCATGTGTTACTACACAAAGCAATAAAGTCAGATCTTATGTGTTACTGCACACAGCAATAAAGTTAAACGTCATGTGTTACGGTACATAGCAATAAAGTCAGATGTCATGTGTTACTGCACATAGCAATAAAGTCAGATGTTATTTGTTACTGCACATAGCAATAAAGTCAAATGTCATGTGTTACTGTACATAGCAATAAAGTTAGATGTCATGTGTTCCTGTACAGATACATGTACTCACAGAATATGATGTCATGTCATGCGTTACTACACATAGCAGTAAAGTCAGATGTCATGTGTTACTACATATAGCAATAAAGTTTAATGTCATGTGTTACTGTACAAAGCAATAAAGTTAGATGTCATGTGTTACTACACATAGTAATAAAGTCAATGAGATGTCATGTGTTACTACACATAGCAATAAAGTCAGATGTCATGTGTTACTACACATAGCAATGAAGTCAGATGTCATGTGTTACTACACATAGCAATAAAGTCAGATGTCATGTGTTACTACACAAGGCAATAAAGTTAGATGTCATGTGTTACTGCACATAGCAATTAAGTTAGATGTCATGTGTTACTACACAAAGCAATAAAGTTAGATGTCATGTGTTACTGCACATAGCAATTAAGTTAGATGTCATGTGTTACTGCACATAGCAATTAAGTTAGATGTCATGTGTTACTACACATAGTAATAAAGTCAGTGAGATGTCATGTGTTACTACACATAGCAATTAAGTTAGATGTCATGTGTTACTACACAAAGCAATAAAGTTAGATGTCATGTGTTACTGCACATAGCAATTAAGTTAGATGTCATGTGTTACTACACATAGTAATAAAGTCAGTGAGATGTCATGTATTACTACACATAGCAATAAAGTCAGATGTCATGTGTTACTACACAAAGCAATAAAGTTAGATGTCATGTGTTACTGTACATAGCAATAAAGTCAGATGTCATGTGTTACTACACAAAGCAATAAAGTTAGATGTCATGTGTTACTACACATAGTAATAAAGTCAGATGTCATGTGTTACTACACATAGCAATAAAGTCAGTGTTACTGTCTGGTGTTAACTTTGAGTTTAAAGAGCTTTTATGAAATCAATATTTGAATGAAAAGATTCTGTTGTTTTCATTAATTGTCGATCATATATTGGTACTTTTGAATACTTTTTTAATTTGTTTTCTGAAAGATGTCTGTGTGCAGTGAGACAAACATGTTTCTTCTTCCACTTTGACTGGCTCCCATGTTTACCTCTCGATTTCACAATGGTATGCAGCAGACCATGATTTAAAGTTTTAAAGTTAAAAATTAACTTACTTATGTCAGTTTAATACTTTGTCATCAGTTTTGGATGCTTGTAAATATGGGACCAGAAAGACAGATAAACATGACTTTGACAAAACCTCCATCTTATGATGGAATCAATAACAAAGTCCATAATTTAAATTGAGATTATTTATTTGGGAGTAAACAACATCAATAACAACATCAATACAACCAGGAAAACAGCATACATTTTGTATACACATTACATACTGATGTAAAGATTTGGAACAGTCAATAATATAAACAAATACATGGATTTGGATGAATATATACCTGTATCAGCAGAATAGTTTCAAATAATAAATTACACACCATAGGAACAAAGCAAATTCAATACACTTGTATAAGCAATCATAATATATACTTTATTTGTTGTTATGTATGGTGTCATTTATAAACAAAAAGCTCCAACCTAAAGATTTGTTTTTCCATAAAATCTTAATTACAAAATCTAATTCACTACAAAATAAATTTATGCTGTTTTCTACTAGATCTATAAGTGCATACAGTTCATTGAGACAAATTTAAGTTATTTCAAGACTCAAGACAGAAAAAAAAGTCTTCATAATACTGTTCTTACTGATACTTTCAGTCTAAAATACATAGGCAGTGTCTTCAATAGTTCAATACCTATGTTTCAGAATCAATGTGGTTCACTGTTCTATATCTGCAGAACTGAAACTATGATATCAACATTTTACTTGAAATAACTTGTACATACAGTGTGACCATATTAAAAGTTGTTTTTATCTTGAATCTGGAATTTATTGTGAATGTAAATATGTGTATATATAAAACTTGAAATATCTAGAAAACTCCACCAGGATATAGTGAACAACTTTGAATATGGTCTTATGACGAGTGAACAAAAGACAACCATTATGTGACTAAAGTTCTTTGCTGAAGTGTGACTTCTCCCTAAATTCTGGTGTCTATCCATTGGTCCTTATCCTTATGGTCTCAGTCCTGGTTATTCCATATGATGTCTTGATTCAGCCTCTCTGATGATAGCAGATAACGTGACACACAGCAGTACATATCAACACCAGGGACACGTCTCTTACAGCTGACCTTGATATCTCGAAACAGAGTCAAGTGGACCTTGACAGTTCCATTGCTATATGATAAAACGACCTTGACCTTGGTTTACCCTGATCTTGTACAGCTCATTTGAATCATAATTCATATCTATAGAATCTTCGTTCAAATCTTTGGTGTCTTGTGTCAACATTCTCCGGTGGTTATCCACAAATGCAGAATACTTTTCTTTATTTCAAACTGTTTCCTTAAACATTTACTGTGATGAAATCTTCAAGTTTAAACTCCATTTTGTTTGGATGTCAGGGAACATGGCTGGTCAGTAGCTGTGGAACCAAAGCTGGTTAGGTTTTCTCACACTCTCACACCAACACAGACGACAAAAACAAGTACACACTACATACAGTGAAAGTACAGCCCTTAATATGTCTCGGATATAAACAAAATTAAAATAGATCAAAAAAGTTTGGTTTTCTACCACCACAGTGATGTATTTAAAGTAGATGATACATGGTTACAAATGTTTGTGATCATATTAAGGGCTGAAAGTGTAGCATACTTACGGGACCTTCCTCAATCACAGGCCCAACGAGCCAAGTTGTCTGTATCCAAACCTCCTGATTGTCCAATCATAATCACAGTCCACATGTCTGGATAAACTAATAGATGATTTATAAATATTTAATGGTTTTAAATGTCTATTGCACTTGATGAAGGCTATACCATAAAATTTAAAGAAACTAATAACTAAACTTAGAGCACCTAGAAAGTATTTAGGGTCGATCTTAGGAAGGCTTGGTTAGGACGTCAGCATATTCCTGGATAGGTATTCCAATGTCTCGACACTTATGAAGGATTTTTGGCACAACCTCTGATGACCTCTGGGTGATCTCAAACAGCAGAAACTGTAAATACAAGACATTTTCTACTTATCACACATAACAATTGTAACAATGGTCTGGTATGATTTAACAGATACAACTAAGAAAAGTTATACAAGAAGACATTGAAATCAGCTTTATTATTTAACACTTCTGTTCTTTCACCATTTATTTACTTCTAATTTTCCCTATACACAATAGTTAAGACATTTAGAAGACAATGTTGATGAACAGAGGAATCATGGTATTGTGTCAGTACATCTTTCCATAGTGAGGCAGAATACGGCAAGGCTTGAACTGCTCTGTGGAATATCTGTCGGACCTGTAAAAGAAATAGGATGTCGACAACTACACTACATGAGGAGAAGAAAACCACAGGCAGGATCTGATAATGTTTCATGATGAAATACTAGAAATATCTATATCAATGAAAATCACAACCATACTGGATATGAATGTCCTTGCTTTCATGCATAACAGTACCAATGTTTGGCAAATGTCCATAAATAGTAATGGTGACCTTGACCTTGAAACCCTGATCAAAGACACTAAATGAACAGAGACTGACTCAATATATTGTATATTGAGTTTAGTTACTTAAAACTATAACAGATTGAAGAAAGCAGTGAGGAAATATGCAGCAATCCTATTATTGTCTGGCAAAATGTTGTGTTTTAAGGTCTACATACCTCCTTTCTTCCCTCTAACTGACTGGTCAGTGATATTAGCCTGGAAATAAGACAATTACACAACATTCACCTTCACATTTTAATACGACAGAAGTCTGATAGAGGGCCAACTACAACACCAATGTAAGTGTTTACATCAAAATACCTAGACATTCACACCTACAATAATTCCAGCTAAAACAACAACATCAAGAACACTAACACTTGTCTCACTAAACATATAAAGATGGTGTTGGAATATTGTAAAGGTCACTTTTATAATGGTTCATACTTCCCCCACTTTACCAATAGCTTGCAGTAAAAATGTCGTAAAACAGAAAAAACAAAAAAAAAAAGAACAAAAAATACCAGAATTCAGTGTAGGTGAACAGTACCTGGTGTAGTTATTGTACTAATTATGAAACTTACCCGACACCTGAAAATCTGTGAACAAACCTAAGCTGTGGACAAACTTCTATAAGCTTACATATATGTATCAACATATTTTTTCCCTAGTTTCTTTTTCTTTCTTCATTTTCACTTAGGTAAGAAGTTTTATTTTGATGGAAATAAATTGTTTACATAAAATACTGGATTCTTTTTCTTTTGTTAAATATCTAATATTAACAATAATTTGTTACAGGAAAATTGTCCCAAATTTATATATTTGGTACTATGTATACAATTAAACCAACCACCATGTTTGTCACAATTTCAGTGACTATCTAATAATATGTTGAATGTTGACAATTTGGGATCATTTTTCTGTACAGATAGTACCACTTTCATATTGTTATTGCATACAAAGGCATTCATACATACATGAATGCCATCAATTATCTCATTGTAAAACTAAATGTAGATAATTTTTTGTTATTATGAAATTTATAATTTTAATACTCAGCTGTAAAAAGAACTGAGCCAGCCTTAACGTAACAATTTCTTTTTCAGTTTTTATTATTTATAAGTCATGTTTAGAGTTTGGCCCAGTACTGCCAGAAATCAAGCTCCCCTAGATGACATCACTCACATGTTCCATAGGTGAAGGTTTTGAGTGTGGGTGAAGGTAGCTGTGGTACAGAGACCCCGGGCAGTCTGAAGGTCATCTTGGCCTATAGCATGGCCACAAGCCCTACATGTCATAGCAACAAAAAACAACACTGTAAAGAGACTCATAACCTTACAACATAAATAACAATAACAACTGTGATAAATTCAGAATAATGAGTAAAATGGACAGACAGGAATTTGTTCGATATGTTTATATACGTTTAATAAGATACAATACAGACATGAGCCATGGTCTTACTGAAGTAGGAGGTCCATGTTGTCGGGGAAGTACGAGACAAACATGTTGTAGCTAGAAGACTTCTGGTCCGGAGGCAGGCAAGCCATATACTGCTGGATCACTTTGTTGACATGTCGATAATTAAACCAGTATATCCCTTCGTTGTAAGGCACCTCATACTTGGTTGGCATACAACTCACTGCCCGTCGGACTAGGTCAAAGAAACTGCGAGCTATGTCCGGGGTCACAGTGCGCTGCAGCTTCAGTCTACGGTTGTGGAAGCCAATGTAACTGGAAAAAATAGCATGACAAGGAAACAAATGATACAACATTTTAACACTTAGTAAGATCAATACAGATGTAAGGACATCTGAAGGACAAACGTTCTGTACTAACCTTCATCACACACACTATTATCTTGACCTCACACGATATAAAAAACCATTCCTGTACAAGGATTGAGCTTGACCACACACAAAATGTCATGAGTAATGACCTTGACCCCATAATGTATATCATTGGCCTCATCCGAGTTTTAACTCTCATCACACAATAAATGGTCTGAGGAATGACCATGTCCACACCTAAATATGGTCTGAGGGATGACCTTGACCACACCAAAAAAAGTGAGTATTGACCTTGACCACACACAGAAATATATCATCAAAGTCATGCGAGTATTACCCTTGACCACACAATAACTGGTAGTAACTTTGACCACTCTCAGATAGATCATTATGTTTGTTGAGGTACTGACCTTGACCACTCACAGATAGGTCATTATGTTTGTTGAGGTACTGACCTTGACCACTTACAGTTAGATCATTATGTTTGTTGGGGTACTGACCTTGACCACACACGGGTGATGTCCACTACGTTGGTAAGAGTACTGAGAGCGGTTTCGTAAGCTTCCACTGCCTGACTATCATCCCCTTGTAGCTCCAACAGTATGCTGTAACACAGAACAGGACATTAACATGTAGCATTAACAGTACACAACAGTATGCTGTAACACAGAACAGGACATTAACATGTAGCATTAACAGTACACAACAGTATGCTGTAACACAGAACAGGACATTAACGTGTAGCATCAACAGTACACAACAGTATGCTGTAACACAGAACAGGACATTAACGTGTAGCATCAACAGTACACAACAGTATGCTGTAACACAGAACAGGACATTAACGTGTAGCATCAACAGTACACAACAGTATGCTGTAACACAGAACAGGACATTAACGTGTAGCATCAACAGTACACAACAGTATGCTGTAACACAGAACAGGACATTAACGTGTAGCATTAACAGTACACAACAGTATGCTGTAACACAGAACAGGACATTAACGTGTAGCATCAACAGTACACAACAGTATGCTGTAACACAGAACAGGACATTAACGTGTAGCATTAACAGTACACAACAGTATGCTGTAACACAGATAACACAGAACAGGACATTAACATGTAGCATTAACAGTACACAACAGTATGCTGTAACATGGAACAGGACATTAACATGTAGCATTAACAGTACACAACAGTATGCTGTAACATGGAACAGGACATTAACATGTAACATTAACAGTACACACTAGTATGATGGAACAGGGAAAAACACATGTTGATTATCTTGACAGGAATCAAACCCTGCTCTCCAAGATGATAATGCATACTCTACCAACATAGATAAAGAAACATGCTCTGTCAGCTGAGTGACAAAGGCCATATTTAATAGTATGTACAAGACGCACCAACCTATTCCTTTCACATTTGGAGTGTAATCCCCTTTCTTTCTCTCTCTATGTACAAGCCACACCAACCTATTCCTTTCACATTTGGAGTGTAATCCCCTTTCTCTCTCTATGTACAAGCCACACCAACCTACTCCTTTCACATTTGGAGTGTAATCACCTTTCTTTCTCTCTCTATGTACAAGACGCACCAACCTATTCCTTTCACATTTGGAGTGTAATCCCCTTTCTCTCTCTATGTACAAGCCACACCAACCTATTCCTTTCACATTTGGAGTGTAATCCCCTTTCTTTCTCTCTCTATGTACAAGTCACACCAACCTATTCCTTTCACATTTGGAGTGTAATCCCCTTTCTCTCTCTATGTACAAGTCACACCAACCTATTCCTTTCACATTTGGAGTGTAATCCCCTTTCTCTCTCTATGTACAAGTCACACCAACCTATTCCTTTCACATTTGGAGTGTAATCCCCTTTCTCTCTCTATGTACAAGTCACACCAACCTATTCCTTTCACATTTGGAGTGTAATCCCCTTTCTTTCTCTCTCTATGTACAAGTCACACCAACCTATTCCTTTCACATTTGGAGTGTAATCCCCTTTCTTTCTCTCTCTATGTACAAGTCACACCAACCTATTCCTTTCACATTTGGAGTGTAATCCCCTTTCTCTCTCTATGTACAAGTCACACCAACCTATTCCTTTCACATTTGGAGTGTAATCCCCTTTCTTTCTCTCCCTATGTACAAGCCACACCAACCTACTCCTTTCACATTTGGAGTGTAATCCCCCTTTCTTTCATTCTCTGTTTTCCTGATCTTTATCTGACACATTTTGTTTTAGAAAGATTTTTTTTCATGTGAACAATGAAGTTTTTATGTTATCCTGTATATAGGAGAAAATACAAAAGAAATCAAACAGATAACACAATATATCTATTCTATTTTACTTATTTTGGTGAGGAGAACAAATCCTGAATATAGATCATATCCATTCTCATCTCAATTTTTAACACTACTCTGAAACAGAGACAGTAATTTTACAGTCACCAGGCTTGGAAACATACATTTCTGATATTCATAATAACGAGGACAAGATCTCCAGTTTGTTATAGGTGTTTTTTTAGGGATATACATTCATTTGAAATATGGCTACAAACTTCGTGTTATTGTGGTTCTTGACCTATCCTGAGAAACCAACATTAAAATGTGTTACAACGTTTTCATCATTAATTTGTGCTTTTTATACTAGATAGTAGCTTTTTAAAGTATGAACATAGATCACAGTGAAAAAAAGTTTGTAATGAGTTCTGTCATACTAGAACATACAGGTTACTCCATAACACCTAGTAGTAATGGAGGGTTAACAATAGTGAGATAGCCCTAATAAAGGCTGGGACCACAAACACCTAGTAGTAATGGAGGGCCAACAATAGTGAGATAGCCCTAATAAAGGCTGGGACCACAAACACCTAGTAGTAATGGAGGGCCAACAATAGTGAGATAGCCCTAATAAAGGCTGGGACCACAAACACCTAGTAGTAATGGAGGGAGGGCCAACAATAGTGAGATAGCCCTAATAAAGGCTGGGACCACAAACACCTAGTAGTAATGGAGGGAGGGCCAACAATAGTGAGATAGCCCTAATAAAGGCTGGGACCACAAACACCTAGTAGTAATGGAGGGCCAACAATAGTGTGATAGCTCTATTAAAGGCTGGGACCACAAACACCTAGTAGTAATGGAGGGCCAACAATAGTGAGATAGCCCTAATAAAGGCTGGGACCACAAACACCTAGTAGTAATGGAGGGCCAACAATAGTGAGTTAGCCCTAATAAAGGCTGGGACCACAAACACCTAGTAGTAATGGAGGGCCAACAATAGTGAGATAGCCCTAATAAAGGCTGGGACCACAAACACCTAGTAGTAATGGAGGGCCAACAATAGTGAGATAGCCCTAATAAAGGCTGGGACCACAAACACCTAGTAGTAATGGAGGGCCAACAATAGTGAGTTAGCCCTAATAAAGGCTGGGACAACAAACACTTCAATAAAAGAGTGGTGTTCACTCAGAAGTGTTCAGTCAGATTCAACGTAATTTTTTCTTTGTCTTATCCTAAATGGTAATCTTTTGAGATGAGACCAAGTTTTCAAAGTTTATTGATCATGGGGAGTTAGGAGTTGACCACAAAACCATGTCAGTATGCAGAGTTAAGAGTTATAAATAGTACCAGTGGTCAAGAAAATATCACCTTTGTCCCTTCAGATGATCACCCATTCTTATTAACAAAACACATCAGAGTAATTCAAAGAGACAAATAAAAAAAGTCTTTAAAAATCCTCAGTAACATTTTCCATCTGTATGGTGACAGAACTTCAAGGTAAACTGTTGTATAAAGATAAAGGATGCAGATGAGAGCAGGTGACAGGGCCCCAGGGGTTAAGGTGAGAAACAGTCGACTACATCCACGCATGTCAGGGACTAGTTATTAATTATGAAGGCGGTGTCACGTTCCAGTACTCTGGTCCGCTACCTCCAGGGGGATACAGCAAATAGACGTGAACAAGATGTTGGCAGATCAAAAGTCCACTCCTAACCTTACTTAAACGACAATAATGACAGAAAAAATTTGCAGAAGTGAAAAAAAAAAAATTTGTTTGTGGTTACTTTCTGTAGTACTATATCTATATTGAATACACTTGATATGAAGATTTAATGTTATGTCAAACATAAGACATCAAAGGTACATACAACAATAATCATCTTGTTCACAACATATACAACACCCAGGAGAGGATAAGTGACAGATTATGTTATATTCTGACAGGGAGCTGGATTATAGAAATTATGTCTATCTTTATCGTAATTATTCACACATGTTCACAAAAACCTGGTGTTGTCATGCACAGTTTTGTTTATCACTTGCTATTATTTTTAACACTTAAAGAATACAGAACATGGACATGCACAGGATTTGATGTCTCATTGAGTTAACCTGTTCTCCTGCTTGTTGAAGAATTAACATGGATTTGCTATATCAGGACAAGAGATCTAGACATATATGTATCTGCATTGCCTCTAGATACAAACACATATATTTGACTAAATTTTTTGTTATCTTAAGATCTTTCAAATATACAGCTTATCGTAACAGATCCTGCACCTGATTTGAAAAGGGACAAAATATCTTGGGGTGGAAAGCATTAAATGTGTGTTGGGATGGAATCTGGTTATAACACAAGTCAAACTTTTGTGTCTATAATTTACATAACTTCAAAAATCTATAGACAATAAACAGTATAAAACTACATTTAAAATTGTTCTATCAAATTTCACTCGATCATAAAAATAAAAACTTGTTAACTTCAGCTGAAGATTTTAGATAATTGTCATTAATGGGATGAAATGGATTTTGTGGTATTGACAATTTTCCCCACTTAATTACAAACTTCAAACAGTTTTCAGTATTCTGTTTGATGTAATCTAAAAGGACTTCATGTAAAAAGCCAAAAACCGGTAACATAGACAAATGGGTGTACAGCATTCAAAGAAGACACCAACAATCATGTGAAATATCATTAGCTTTTTCCATTTCTGAACCGACTTCCACAAACAGTAAAAGTTGTTGTGGTTGACACATGGATAATGATAAGATTGGATTGTCCCACTACTTCCTACACACGATTTTGTTCCTGCCAAGCCATGATTTACCAGCTAATGATATACCTACAGGTGTGTGGTAGGCTAATATCTGATACGGCATTTCTTTACACTACAATGCCTCCACCACAGAAAGTAGTCCCCACATTTTCTTCTCCATATCAAAGATTGCACGTCAGATTAAGACGAAAAAATGTTGATGTCTGAATTAAGTTCAAAGGAAATCATCTACTACACTATTCATAGCATTCTGAGGACATTGGTTACTTCTACACCATTTCCTGCTGCATTCAGGGACACAATCTGATGGAATTAAGATGAACTGCACCTAAATCTGATATTTACAGCAAAGATTAGGGCAAACACAGAAATATTACACCTATGATCAAGGTCTCTATTTAAAAACCTAACATGTTTGGGTTTCTGTGGTAAAACAGAAGCTTAGTGAAAATATCTGTGGTGTAGAAATACATACTGGATAAACCTGTTCGCTAAAAAGCCTTATTATAAAGTATGGAATTTTTTTTTACTACCTACCAATAAAAGTGAAAATATTTTTCAAAACAGCCTTTTAATATGGCTATACAACAGTGTAAAAATATGAACAATCTTATACAATAAAACACATATGTAAATGACCAAACAAAAATGTCAATTGAAAATTTGTAGTTCCTGGAAGTAAGTTTGCTTTGTTTTTGAAATTTATCAGTCCAGATTATCACAGAACTTTACCTGGTACAGTGACCAGAGTAAACAAAAGATGGTAAACCAATTCATTTAAACACAAACGAAACTCCAGAAAGATACACTACTTTATTTAAAGACAAACTAAACCAAAGAATGATAAACCAATTTATTAGAAGACAAACTAATTGTCAGAAGGATATAAACCCTCTTTATAAACGACATACAGGTTCTGGATTAACTCAATTAAGAAAAATTTGGTGTTTCCTGATAAAAATTTGGAATAAAGTAAAAAACTATTAATAAGTTTGTTTTCAAAGTTTTTTTCATGGTCAGTTTCACCAGAAATTTAATTTTAAAAAACAAGAATGATTGGGACATTGTTTGAAGTGTTTCAACAGCATCATCTGAGAATTCAGGTATACAATTATCTCTGTATACTTCAGCAGTCCAGAATAGAGCGCAGGAATATCAGACCACAAGTGATCTCGAGGATGTATATAATCTGATGACAAATAGAAAGTTGCTGTATCTGAGAAAGGTTACATTCTGTAGCCCTGAAGGTATGGATGGTGTCCAACCGACAGCACTGACCAGAGCAATTAATTGCACATGTAAATAACCTGTTGAAACTCAACAATATTGTAAGTGTTATTCCTTGACAGAGAAGATTCAGACAACCCCATTAGTTGTAAAATGTAAGTTGGGCACAAAAATCTGATAATTAAAAGATATATGCTGGCCAAAACAATGAGAAACCTTATCACCTAAAAAAAACAAAACAAAACAAAACGTACACAGGATAATTTACTTAATTTAAGTTGTTACTGACAACAATATATATTTTTCAGCACAAAATTGTAACTTTTTTATAATTATGATAACATAAAACATTTAGGAATTGAGTTTTGAAATCAAATTTAATCTTTCATTTCTTTAAATATTCACAATTTTTTAAGAAAACTTGTTTCCATGCACCTTTCGCAAAGGTGATCATGGGTTTGCTTTTCAAATAACATGGAATAGGATATGAGATCACCTGCCTGACAACATGTGATGAGGTTTCCTCCTACCATAAAACCCCTTGCATAATTCTAACCACTTGTTTCACATTTTTTGTGACATCAGTTGATCTTTCATTCAACAAATCTGTTTTGCTTGCCAATAAAAAAAGTCTTCATGTGTTCTTGAGTTTTATGTAAATAATTTGTCGTATTCCATCTATTTGCAGTTATGATTATCACTGGTGTGATTATAAATATTTCATAAGTTTCAGTGATGACGTCTACCCATAATCCATCTTGTCCTAACAATGACCGTTGAACATCTACCAATCATATCAATAGATCTGTATTCAGTAGATGTCAAATGTTAACAGATCTCTCTAGATATATGATCAATATTAAACAGTGCCAGCACCAGTTAACACAGAGAAAACACTGTATAATTCATCTTTAACAAACCAACTACACATACCTGTTTTTAATAAACTGTCAATATCTAATCTATTATTCTATTGTCACGATCACGGAATATTTTGACACCTGTTTTCTTGAGAAACTGTCAAACGTTATCCATCAAGTTTGACCATAACCTAGATATCAGTGTTAGGTATTATTGTGTGAGAGTTAACACTTCCCCCTCTGTTTGATGTAAGGACACCTATATACCTATTTTATTGTCATCATTGACTAGCCACTTACTTGTCACTTTATATACCAGATGTTTTCACTCTCACTACTGTCACATGACTTTGTCAGACACCGTCGTATAAAATACATTCTAGCTTGGATGAATCGTATTTTTATCAATTCATCTTCTTTATGATAAAATAAACTTGTGATCTTTTAATATTTTCATAACATGCTGTTTCTTTATTTATTATTATATTTATCTAGAAAATAAGCCCATTCCAGTAATAAGCCCATTGCCTGGTAATAAGACCATTGCCTGGTAATAGCCAACCCGTACCTATTCTGTTCTGTAGAATTACAAACAAACATTGTATCATAGTCCTGTAATAAGCCCAATACTTGACTCAAGTCAAAATTTGTACATAGATTTGCATGGCGTATTGCAGAAACACACAACAGTTTAAATGAGTTAATGGCAAATGAATACTCATAACTTATATAAAAAGTTATCCCATATTTTTATACTCTCAGGTATCAAATTTTTACTTCTAATTTTCCTTTATTCTAAGAAAAAGACTGAACGTCCTTGGAGATGATACTATTGTCAGATATGTATATGTACAGGTCTATTACCACAGACTGATGACATCAGCAGCATACTTACCAGTAATTAAGCCATAGGTAAGGTAGGTCAGCCTTTATAACTTCTTCTGTCACACCTTCTTTATAGGGGGGAGGTTGGAAGTTCAATGGAACAGCTTCATCTAAAAGTAGGCTGTTACAAAAGACCCACAGGGTTCATAAAATTACATTATTATTGCTTTCATTTCCTTTGTTTGCCAAATTTTCAGCAAATATAACTCTGTCACCCTATGGCCATGTTTTTTTTGTCTAGGAACAACATTCCAAAAATAAGCAGCTACAGTTTCTGTTTTATTGTTTATTTTCTCTCAGTGAGCCACTAAAACAACTTTTTTAATTCACACTAACTAAACTATAAATTTAAACAGATAATGCCCAATTACATTTAGCAGATAATAACAGTCAGTCCTTTTTCTAATTAATAAAAATTATTTTTAAATTGCACCTGTAAGGAACCTTTCAATGACCTTCAAAATAAGGCATCAGTCCAACAACCATTTAAAGCTATTTCTGTCACTTGCTGAGTTGATAAAGAAAACATTTAAGTGAACTCTTGAGTAGAAACCATTTATTGACTTCCCGACAAACGACCCCAAAACAAGATAGAGTGAGTGCGTATACAGACCAGAAAAGCTGGTTGGGGTCAACAAATCGCGTCTCTGTGGTGGACACATCATAGTAACTGATAATGCTTTGCTCCAGACACACGAGTGCTTTATCCTCTTCCCTCTGTAACAAACATGCACCAGAACTTTGCAGAATAGAGCCGTTAGCACCATCAGGTAGCTGATAAAGTATCCACAAAATATCCCTGTTATAAATATAAACAAATTTCAGTTAAATAATTTGTGTAATATAATGTACTGACCTCAACCCCCAGCTTCTTTATGATCAAAACTATGTCAATGTTAGTCTCACCTATAACTGTGATCTGAATTATAATGTGTTAAAGTATGAATCGCAAGATGACCTGATTTAAAGTGTGGACTGCGAGATGACCTGATTTAAAGTGTGAACTGCGAGATGACCTGATTTGAAGTGTGAACTGCGAGATGACCTGATTTAAAGTGTGAACTGCGAGATGACCTGATTTAAAGTGTGAACTGTGAGATGACCTGATTTAAAGTGTGAACTACGAGATGACCTGATTTAAAGTGTGAACTGCGAGATGACCTGATTTAAAGTGTGAACTGCGAGATGACCTGATTTGAAGTATGAACTGCGAGATGACCTGATTTAAAGTGTGAACTGTGAGATGACCTGATTTAAAGTGTGAACTACGAGATGACCTGATTTGAAGTGTGAACTGCGAGATGACCTGATTTAAAGTGTGAACTGCGAGATGACCTGATTTAAGGTGTGAACTGCGAGATGACCTGATTTGAAGTATGAACTGCGTGATGACCTGATTTGAAGTGTGAACTGCGAGATGACCTGATTTAAAGTGTGAACTGCGAGATGACCTGATTTAAAGTGTGAACTGCTAGATGACCTGATTTAAAGTATGAACTGCGAGATGACCTGATTTAAAGTATGAACTGCGAGATGACCTGATTTGAAGTGTGAACTGCGAGATGACCTGATTTAAAGTATGAACTGATTTGAAGTGTAAAGTGACCTGATTTAAAGTATGAACTGCGAAGTATGATTTAAATTATAAAGTGAGACCTGATTTGAAGTGTGAACTGCGAGATGACCTGATTTAAAGTGTGAACTGCTAGATGACCTGATTTAAAGTGTGAACTGCTAAATGACCTGATTTAAAGTATGAACTGCTAGATGACCTGATTTAAAGTGTGAACTGCGAGATGACCTGATTTAAAGTGTGAACTGCTAGATGACCTGATTTAAAGTGTGAACTGCGAGATGACCTGATTTAAAGTGTGAACTGCTAGATGACCTGATTTAAAGTGTGAACTGATTGATGAAGTGATTTGAAGTGTAACCAGTGAGATGACCTGATTTAAAGTGTGAACTGCTAGATGACCTGATTTAAAGTGTGAACTGCTAGATGACCTGATTTAAAGTGTGAACTGCGAGATGACCTGATTTAAAGTGTGAACTGATTGATGAAGTGATTTGAAGTGTAACCAGTGAGATGATCTGATTTAAAGAGTAAAGTTAGGGATAACCGGATTTGAAGTAGTGAATAAAGATTTAAAGTATTAAGATTGAGATGACAAAATTTGAAACGTAAAGTGAAACATAACTTGATTTGAAGTATAAAGTGAGACGTAACATAATTTGAAGTGTAAAGTGAGACATAACATGATTTGAAGTGTAAAGTGAGACATAACATAATTTGAAGTGTAAAGTGAGACGTAACATGATTTGAAGTGTAAAGTGAGACGTAACATGATTTGAAGTGTAAAGTGAGACGTAACATGATTTGAAGTATAAAGTGAGACGTAACATGATTTGAAGTGTAAAGTGAGATGTAACATGATTTGAAGTGTAAAGTGAGATGTAACATGATTTGAAGTATGGATAAGAAGTAACATGATTTGAAGTGTAAAGTGAGACATAATATGATTTGAAGTGTAAAGTGAGATGTAACATGATTTGAAGTGTAAATAAGACGTAACATGATTTGAAGTGTAAAGTGAGACGTAACATGATTTGAAGTGTAAAGTGAGAAGTAACATGATTTGAAGTGTAAAGTGAGACATAATATGATTTGAAGTGTAAAGTGAGATGTAACATGATCTGAAGTGTAAATAAGACATAACATGATTTGAAGTATAAATAAGACGTAACATGATTTGAAGTATAAAGTGAGAAGTAACATAATATGAAGGGTAAAGTGAGAAGTAACATAATATGAAGGGTAAAGTGAGATGTAACATAATTTGAAGTTTAAAGTGAGACATTATATGATTTGGAATGTTAAATCTTGAAGCATACAGTAAATCTGAAACCTGAAATCAGATATGCAAAATTTCAGTTCACAGTAAGAGATAGGCGACTGAACTTTGTGATCGTATGATTTCAAGTTCAAGGTGAAAATTTTTACAGATGACAAATTTTCTATTTCAGAGTGAAGGATAATTTAGTGTGAAGTTTGTTATCTTTCACCTTAAGTCTTCTTTGTTAAATAGAAATCATCTAGAAGCGATCTATTTACCCTCTGTTATAGCACGATTGAATACTTTTCTTGTTTCTTTTCAAATTCTGATGTTAACTTCACCAAACAGTAAGACATGGAAGAACAGTCTGACTACCAGCTTCAGACAGGTTTAATGTTAATTGAGATGACAAGTTGCTTCGACCTTCCTCCTGCTGAGTGGACCAGGAATAATGGGGTTGACATTAAGTTACAAATCACTGTACCAGGTGCTTGGGGGTGACAAATTTTACCCTTACACTAACCTGACACTATAACACCTTAGGGCACTTTCTGTTCTGCATCTTTTGCAGCAAATGAATTCAAACAAATTTCTTGTTGTATTGATGAGAAAAGATCTTAAATCATGTGAATTCACACATTTCACATTAAACACGAACAGTTCTTTCAAGTCACCTGTAGTACAGCAGAGATGAATTGCATGTCAGTTTCACTATTACACAATGTGCAAAAAACATATAGCTCGCTGGCCAGGAGATCCACTTACTTTTTATCCATCTACATTTCCTTCTCATCTACATTCCTCATCTTCATAAATATTCCTGGGTAATTTTGACACTTTTCTAGCAAAACAGGCAACTAAACATGTCAACTTATGATACACAGGAATCCCTGGTAATGTTCAGGACACAAATACTTTTCTTTCTCTCAAAGTGAAATGATTTACAAATTTTCTTTATCTTTGCATCAATCATTGTTGTTAAAGCAATGGAAATGAAAGCTGGCTTTGTGTTATAAATGTAAAATGTTACAGGTCTTATCATAGATCATAAAGAAAGGACTCTGCCAGCTTTTAGTTTGTGACAAACTCATTTATACACATATTCCATACTAAAGTACAAAAGTCCACCAACAAATCAAGTCACGAACAAGATCAAAAATGTTAAAAAGGTTAAGCTCTCTCGATAATCTGTGATGACAGTGTGTAAATGTCACATGATGTTGTCCGAGCTTTATCAGAAAAGTTGTGTATTTTAAAATAAATATTAAACCTTGATTGAAGCTAAGGAAAGAAATTTGTGGCTGAACAAATTTATCAGGAGTTTTGAAAACACTGATGAATGGTCAGGTATTACCAAGAACTTCATAAAGTTTTTGTGAATGAAATTTTCACAAAAAGCCAGAAGATCAGATGGTATTTCTAATGACTTCTGAAAAAGTAATTAGTACATATGTACCAAGGAGCAGATCTCAGCCTGTTTAGATGTGGCAACACTTTCACTTAACTACTTGTGCTTTCAAAACATCAATCCTCAAGGCATATTTTGAAAGACCGTGGGTTAATATTTGAAGCAACAATTTAGTGGTCTTTGACCTGTTCATCTGTCAAATGTCCGTAAAAGGTCATTGATACCTGCTGTTTTGGCTGGTGTAGAGGATACACTGCTGCCCTGAGGTAACAGACAGTCATCAAAGAGGGCCAGTAATTCTCTGTATTTCATGTTCTGTCTGATACTGGATTACAAACGCAATGAAGACTGGAATATTATGAAAGATGCATTACTGTGAGGGTAGCTGACCCCAGCTAAAGAAATCCTTCATCCTTGTAGGTCTAATACAAGTTACAAGGAATCCTTCATCCTTGTAGGTCTGATATAAGTTACAAGGAATCCTTCATCCTTGTAGGTCTGATATAAGTTACAAGGAATCCTTCATCCTTGTAGGTCTGATATAAGTTACAAGGAATCCTTCATCCTTGTAGGTCTGATATAAGTTACAAGGAATCCTTCGTCCTTGTAGGTCTGATATAAGTTACAAGGAATCCTTCGTCCTTGTAGGTCTGATATAAGTTACAAGGAATCCTTCATCCTTGTAGGTCTGATATAAGAGGTCTGATATAAGTTACAAGTGATTCTTCATTTCTGTAGGTCTAGTACCACTTTCCAAGTAACCTTTCACCTCTGCAGGTCTAACACCACTTTCCAAGTAACCCTTCATCTCTGTATACCTATCCCATGTCACTAGTTACCCTTCATCTCTGTGGGATTTAACATCAGTCGCAAGAGACCCGTCATCTCTGTATACCTATCCCAAGTCACTAGTTACCCTTCATCTCTGTGGGATTTAACATCAGTCACAAGAGACCCTTCATACCTATCCCAAGTCACTAGTTACCCTTCATCTCTGTAGGTTTAACACCAGTCACAAGTGACCCTTCATCTCTGTAGGTTTAACACCAGTCACAAGTGACCCTTCATCTCTGTAGGTTTAACACCGGTCACAAGTGACCCTTCATCTCTGTAGGTTTAACACCGGTCACAAGTGACCCTTCATCTCTGTAGGTTTAACATCGGTCACAAGTGACCCTTCATCTCTGTAGGATTAACACTAGTCACAAGATACCCTTTATCTCTGTAGGTTTAACACTTGTTACAAGTGACCCTTCATCTCTGTAGGTTTAACACCGGTCACAAGTGACCCTTCATCTCTGTAGGTTTAACACCGTTCACAAGTGACCCTTCATCTCTATAGGTTTAACACCGGTCACAAGTGACCCTTCATCTCTGTAGGTTTAACACCGGTTACAAGAGACCCTTTATCTCTGTAGGTTTAACACCGGTTACAAGAGACCCTTTATCTCTGTAGGTTTAACACCGGTTACAAGAGACCCTTTATCTCTGTAGGTTTAACACCGGTTACAAGAGACCCTTTATCTCTGTGAGTTTAACACCAATCACAGTGAGTCTTCATTTCAGTAGTTCTAACTCAGTCATTTCTGTAGGTCTTACACAGTCATTTCTGTAGGTCTTACACAGTCACAAGTCACCCATCATTTATGTAGGTCTAACATCAGTTTCAGGTGACTTACAGGGCACATTGTGAAAAGCTCTAGAAATGGTTGTATTGCTTTTGAATAATCTTCAAACAAAATTTGATCTATGGAAAAAAACCCACGCTACAAAAGTATAACATTTGTTGAGCACTAAACAATGTGTATATAGAATATAAAGCAAGCTATCAATATTGTACAACATACAGTGTAATTTCAATGATCCTGATTTGGATCTGATGTCTGTCAATGCCTTCATGAGCCTGGGTTGGTGATTGACAAGAATGACAGGACTACATAGTTCACAAGTAGGTGTCATATTTATACACAGAGGGACCTTCACAAGTCATCTTCTATTTCTCACCATCGCAGCACTTTGATGTGGTCACAGGACAAAAACTAGTAGGCCTGATGATGCAGTGACTGTGACAGGTAAAAACTGGTGATTAAAATAGAGCAGCTTACCTGTGAAAGTTCAAAATTGGCTGCATAGTGATACAATTTGGCACAGAACTCATTAGCTGCTAGGGCATCCGCGAACACCTGAACAATACGAAATAAATCTGTTAAGGACAGCATCAAAAACATTATCACATCGCACATGAAAAATACACACAACCATATATGGAAGCAAAATAGTACTGAGACAAGATATTTGAAAAGCGTGTTGTGGTACTCAGATACAGCAGTCACAATGAAATGAATAGCCTTAAGAAAATAAAAGCAAACAAAACCATGTTAAATAGCGATATTTCACTTTTCAAGCATAACTCCAATTTCTTCATTATTTCTTATTTTAGGAGGAGGATATTTAGACAAAGAAATTGCATTTTTTGGCTACATTTATTTTCCTTTTTGAACTTTGAAATTTCCAAGGCGGTGATGTAACACTTTAAAGCGTTTAGGTCCTGGTATATATTATTCCCACTTACCGGATGAATTATTACACAAGTACTCCAGTTTCCATTATCATTTATCTACCTGACTTTCATTCCTCTTTGAAAACACATTTTCTTTCTAAAATAAAGCCCCCTAAATCTGATTTTAAAACCCTCCACCTTTAGTGTCCTACACCGTGACATGTTTACTGCTCCTATATGTTCCTTTTTTTGGGCTGTAATTATAGTTGACGTGTCAATTTTTCCACAAAAAGTGTAATTGTCATGACTCCTGGTACTAGTATCTCTGATCAAAGTGTTTTCCCTGTCAGCAGAAGCTTTAATAAACATTTATCTAATCTTCCGAGTTTTTTAAAATATCAAGCTAGCTGTTAAATTTTGGGATGCAATCTTATATCATACATATATAAATTCATGGGCGATTTCCCCTAACCTTTAACCTTTTGACCTTGCAAGGTTAGAGATGTTTCTTTTGATCTTTTTACCTGTACTGGTATAGTTCCATTTTAATCCGCAAAGGAATTAATTAACCATGAATATCAAAATAAATTTTTCTAAGTTTTGACAATCTTCACACAAATGGATCCATTTTCAACCATGAAATAAAATCTGTTCGAATAAATTTAAATTTTCAACATACAAAAATTTGATTGTCCATATGAATGTTAAAGAATTTTTTTTTATAAAAATGAGACTTAAAAGATAGGGCCAATTTTATTTCTGAAACAATCATGTCATCTTTTTCAACTACAAACAATTTAAAAGAAAATGTTCAAAAGGCCCTTTTCTTTGAGGCTTTTTACTACATGTTTTACTATCTTTTCAAATGACATTACATTCTGAAAATATCCTTTAAAACTGCAGAAGAAACTCCTTTGTTGGATATTTAGTAATTTATTGGCAGGCTACCATTATGAATACATCTACACAATTCATCATTTACACAATTCATCTTTTACTTTAAAACTTGCCTGTTTCCTGAGCTCAGTTTCCGAGGTAGAGACTACTCTTTAAGGCAAAGAGCAGTTTCTGAGGCAAAGAGCAGTTTCTGCGGCAGATAAGTGTTTCTGAGGCAGGGAACAGTTTACAAGGCAGATATACTTCAGAGTGAACAGGTGCTCCTCTATGGAAACCGTATTGAGCATTCTTGTCAAATCATAGGTACTTTTTGATAGCAACTGTACAGATACAGAGCATACTTGTCCGATATGTTACATTTTCAGAGTATGTAGTAAATCTCTCCCATCCTAAAGTCCCTTTTTGTGTCTACAGTATTTTAAACAGTCCTTGGCAAGTCTGCAAGTTTTTAATGGTATTTGTCAACTCTGCAATATTTCAAGGACACTTTTCATTATTTTGAGTCTATCTTTAAAGTCCATAATTTTCTAAGCATTCCTATATATCCAAAATATTATGAGAGTACCTGTCGAGTCTGTTCGTCATCATACAGGGCATAGAGCTCAGCCACACACAACCAGACCTCCACCATGGACGGCTTGGCCTCTAATATTGGACGACATAACTCTGCAGCCTCTTCATACCTGTCAACAAACATGATAAACAACACAATCTATAAGTTGTTGATATATCAAATTCCTAATTTCTAAAAAGAAACAGAAGAATACCTATAAAATTATGATACCAAATTTTTTTTTCACATTAGAATATGTCTATAAGACATGAATACCAATGATCTCTTCAAATTACCATAGTAATAATGTTCAATATTTGACTAATTTCCTTTAATAGTGAATGTGACTTTGACCTTAGAATCCTAAAATATGATCTCATGCAAGGTATTGTTGTAGTTGACATTGTTATAAGGTTGTAAGTCCCTAAAGAGTGAAGTAACCAGAGAGATTTGGAACAGGATGCATGGGTATTACTGTTAGCCAATGATACAGGAATTGCAAGGCATTCTAAATGTGATACCACTGTCAAACAATGGAAATTGATGGTTTTTGGAGATATTTATCCAAACTGCCAGCAAACAAAAAAAACTAACATGAACAAAGTTTATTTGTTTAGAAACCTTTGATGGTTTCAGCTCTCCAAGCCTGGACCAGTAAAAAGGAAGCTCTCTTCAACAGGGTCCTGAACTGTATGAAGGCCAGAGTCACTAATAGCCCAGATAATTTAACACAGGATTGACTTTGGTGAAAACTATCTGTCATTTCACACAAATTTACTACTATTTTAAAATCAGATAATGAGTGTGTCACATTCATGAGTAAACACCCCATTCAATTATCCTTGTTCCAAAATAAAAAATACCATGATATGGGTAATGGTCACATTACAATGTTCACTGGACCGTGTTGGATTGTTGACACAAGTATTGTTTACAAGGTTCATAACTAGCCATCCCAACATAATGACATCATTATTACATAGATTACAGACTTACCTCCCTTATAATACACCTCTTTTGATAAGGGACAGTTGCTCTACTAAACCCAAGAAAACTTCCCCCTCAAATTAATCTTAAGGGAGGATACCAAAGGTCATGTCTAGTTACCTGGTCAGATAATCTATATAAGGGAGGGTCCCTGGGGTTTGTACCAGTTACTGTATCAGATTATCTATCATGTTAGAGAGGGTTCCAAGGGTCTGTACTAGTAACCTGGTCAGATTATCTTATTAGGGAGGGTCCCTGGGGTCTGTACCAGTTACTATGTCAGATTATCTATCATGTTAGAGAGGGTCCCTAGGGTCTGTACTAGTTACCTGGTCAGATTATCTATATAAGGGAGAGTCCCTGGGTCTGTACCAGTTACTATGTCAGATTATCTATCAGGTTAGAGAGGGTCCCTAGGGTCTGTACTAGTTATCTGGTCAGATTATCTTATTAGGGAGAGTCCCTGGGTCTGTACCAGTTACTATGTCAGATTATCTATCAGGTGGAGGGTCAGGGTCTGTACTATATCTGGTCAGATTATCTTATTAGGGAGAGTCCCTGGGTCTGTACCAGTTACTATGTCAGATTATCTATATTAGAGAGGGTCCCTGGGGTCTGTACCAGTTACCTAGTCAGATTATCTATATAAGGGAGGGTCCCTGGGGTTTGTACCAGTTACTGTATCAGATTATCTATCATGTTAGGGAGGGTCCCAAGGGTCTGTACTAGTTACCTGGTCAGATTATCTATATTAGGGAGGGTCCCTGGGGTCTGTACCAGTTACCTAGTCAGATTATCTATCAGGTTAGAGAGGGTCCCTAGGGTCTGTACTAGTTACCTGGTCAAATTATCTATATAAGGGAGGGTCCCCGGGGTCTGTACCAGTTACTGTATCAGATTATCTATCAGGTTAGAGAGGGTCCCTAGGGTCTGTACTAGTTATCTGGTCACATTATCTATATAAGGGAGGGTCCCTAGGGTCAGTACAAGTTACCTGGTCAGTTTATCTATAAAAGGGAGGGTCCCTGGGGTCTGTACCAGTTACCTGGTCAGATTATCTATATAAGGGAGGGTCCCCGGGGTCTGTACCAGTTACCTGGTCAGTTTATCTATAAAAGGGAGGGTCCCTGGGGTCTGTACCAGTTACCTGGTCAGATTATCTATATAAGGGAGGGTCCCCGGGGTCTGTACCAGTTACTATGTCAGATTATCTATCATGTTAGCGAGGGTCCCTGGGATCTGTACTAGTTACCTGGTCAGATTTATCTAACTTAGGGAGGGTCCCTGGGGTCTGTAGTAGTTACCTGGTCAGATTTATCTAACTTAGGGAGAGTCCCCTGGGTATGTACTAGTTACAAAGTCAGAATTATCTAACTTAGGGAGAGTCCCCTTGGTATGTACTAGTTACAAAGTCAGAATTATCTATTATGTTAGGGAGGGTCCCTAAAGTCAGAGCCAACTTAAATATTGGATGTTATATGTTTGATACTAGCTAGGAAATAAACCAGCCAGACATAACTAGAACAAATCACCAAATGAGTTTTCTCAGGGTTTTAGATAGAATGATTGTCTCTAATAATCAGTCTTATTTTATTTGCCTTTTGGATATTGATGCACAAATCTTCCAACTTGATATCTGGGGTATGATTCCCTGAACAGACCTGAAAAGGTATGGGGTCACCTGCCCAGCCACCTACTTGTAGGACTCTATTGTATCAGGGAGTCTGAAGACTGATAATTTCCACACAAAATAAAATGAAAAGATAAAAACGTTGAGTATTGTTGATTAGCCAGCTGTTTTATTGTTTACCTCCTACTAATCACGTCTTTCCTTTTATGGTTATTGAGTCAGGCACATGTTTAACACCTATAGTGACTTGTTGCTCTTTAGTTGTGTCACGCTCCAATACCTTAGTGGCAGGTATATTTCAAAATTAATTTGGTTTATCTGTGATATCAATAAATTTTTAAGGTAAAGAGAAGTTTGCCCTGACATTCTGTATCTGTGGCAGATCAGACAGACTGATGCATTGGGTGTGATAGTGTCGATACCACTTCTAAAGGACGGGCTAAACGCCGTAGCCACCTTTAACATGACCGTTCAACATTTCTAAGTTCACACCTTATCTTCTTAATTGCTTCTCACCTTTAAGGGCAAAATTTGTAAAACAAAGAAAAAAGGTCAGATGCAACAGTTTTTGAAGTTTCTTACATTTAATAAATCATATCCTTGTGATCTGAACTGGCTGGTACTTTTTGTCTCTTTTATTATACAAAAACAAGATATTGTCGGAATCCTTTAAATGGGCTAAATTGTTTTAATATCATAAAAGCTTCATGACTATGCTTTTGTCTTTGTAATTTGTTAATTGCTATAAATTTTAAGATTTTTATAAATTTCATAAATAAAATAAATAAATTTTAAGATTTTTTTTGAATTTTAGGAACAGAATTTTATCAGGAACAGAATTAAATGTCTACTTTTTCCTATTAAGTTTTCTTAATTGCTGTTTTTGTGTTGAGTTTTGTTTCTTAAATATTATGTTTGGTAACATTTATCATACAGTGCAAACTTCTTTAAGATGTTGACTATTTTCAGAGTAACATCATCCAGTGTTTTCTCTTCTCACACAAAGTCAAGGGGTGGGTTTATAAAGTAGCATCAGTGCATGTTTTTATGGATCAGCAATATAAATTGGTGGGCTTATTACAAGACGTGGGCTTAATGCCAGGTAAATACAGCAACAACCAGACAGTCTCGGGTAAGAGGAGCTTAAATATTCTGACAAGGAGACACAAAACATGTAATTATCCCCTGTACCCAACTGTTTGTATAAACATTTAACAGACATATATAAATCTACCTTATGGTAAGTCACTATATATGTATTGTGATGTATATCAAATCTTATTTTTCTTTAAACTTGTGTAGCGAGCAGCTGAACAGTTTTCAAGTTGTAGCCCAGAAAAAACTTACAAACAGGAAATTTTTCATTTTTGACAATGTTTCCATGGTAACAGGAAAATAATCAAAAATGAAATCTTGCCAATAACATAGGGCACTAGTCTAACATATCATACACAGTTTTGTTAAAATCATTTGACAAGTTATTAAATTGTAGTCAGGAAAAGCCTCTAAAATGGATGGACAGAGCCCAATTAAGTATCCCCTGCAAGTTATTAAATTGTAGCCTGGAAAAGCCTCTAAAATGGATGGACAGAGCCCAATTAAGTATCCCCTGCAAATGTAGTTTCCTGGGAATAATTTAGAAATTGAAGCTACTGTAATATTTTCTTCCTCCGAACTTGTTATACTTTGTAAGATAAACCAACAAGGACTTGCCAACAATTTACCTCATCAATTTTCCAAAATAATTATGAACACGTTACATTACACAGATAAATAATGACACAATTGTATGTATATGTGGAAATTTGTTTTGAACAAATTAAAATAATTTTGTAAGTGTTAATACTGGCATTTGAGAGTTTTGCTATCTAGGTGTTCATTTCCAGTTTTCATTCACAGAATATTTTGAATCAAAGTAAGTTTAACAAGTTTTGAGATATTTTAAGTACAGGGAAAATTACATTTAAAGATGAATATGATAAAATAACTCTTCTGAGTTATGGTAAGATATCCTGTTAATAGATTTTAAAAAGTTAAAATCATTTTATAGGTTTATAAATAATACATATATACCAGACATGAGTTTCCATGCTTAATGAAAATTTGATTCAAAAAGTTTAAAGACGGAATAATTGATTTCTCTTGTCAAACAGAAATAAACGTGGTAATAAATCTATATATCATACATACAAATGCTGTGATTTAATCAGGAATTTTTTAATAGTGAATACTGTATAATATTTAATTCAACTTCAAACTTTCCATTGAATCTAAAAGTACAGTTGCTAACTGATACAAATAGCTTCCAACGGAGTTCTCCTTTATTTTGTCAGCACTTCATTCATGGGAAATTTAAGTATTATAAGTACCAGCCCTGGTGTTGGATCTATTGAAGGACTACCTGTGGTAATCACCCGTGTGATCGTTATCATTATACCTGTAACCTTATGTACTCTAGTGTGGGGGATACACTTCTGTATATTTATGGAGCTATCATCGCTGAAATCCTTTAATATATCACTGTTAGTAAAATTGTGTAATGATAAGGGAAAGGCCACGATAGAAATATATATAATCATTTTATTTACCTATAGGCTAACAAAATCATTTTCTAGCTGGTTCCCGTTAGAAGCTATCTCAAATTTCATGTGTGATCCATTCTGATTCGATCTAGCCCTGTTTGTGTCCGATCACCTTTCATAACACATCCATAATTCCTATTTATCTTTTCCCTAATAGAATAATTGTTATGTAGGTCTACAGTTAAATAGTGCCTATCCTGTAGGTCTACAGTTAACACAGTGACTGTCCTGTAGGTCTACAGTTAACATAGTGACTGTCCTGTAGGTTTACAGTTAACATAGTGACTGTCCTGTAGGTTTACAGTTAATGCAGTGACTGTCCTGTAGGTTTACAGTTAACATAGTGACTGTCCTGTAGGTTTACAGTTAACACAGTGACTGTCCTGTAAGTCTACAGTTAACACAGTGACTGTTCTGTAGGTCTACAGTTAACACAGTGACAGTGACTGTCCTGTAGGTTTACAGTTAACATCGTGACTGTCCTGTAGGTCTACAGTTAACATATTGACTGTCCTGTAGGTTTACAGTTAACATCGTGACTGTCCTGTAGGTCTACAGTTAACATATTGACTGTCCTGTAGGTTTACAGTTAACATCGTGACTGTCCTGTAGGTCTACAGTTAACATATTGACTGTCCTGTAGGTTTACAGTTAACACAGTGTCTGTCCTGTAGGTCTACAGTTAACGTCGTGACTGTCCTGTAGGTTTACAGTTAACACAGTGACTGTCCTGTAGGTCTACAGTTAACGTCGTGACTGTCCTGTAGGTTTACAGTTAACACAGTGACTTTCCTGTAGGTTTACAGTTAACACAGTGACTGTCCTGTAGGTCTACAGTTGACATAGTGACTATCCTGTAGGTTTACAGTTAACACAGTGACTGTCCTGTAGGTCTACAGTTAACATGGTGACTGTCCTGTAGGTCAACAGTTAACACAGTGACTGTCCTGTTAGTCTATATTTAACACTGGGACATAACTTGGGATGCCACATTTGATGATAATGCTACAAAACCTAATTAGACATTATTATTAGGATACTGGTCAATGTAGTGACAATAAGGATAGTATGCCAACTTTTCCATGTCTTAAATCTTTACATCAGGAGTGAAAAAACCTATTGTAGCTTTATATAGCAGAGAAGTTTTAATTTGACCATGTAATCATAATCCTTATCTACATGGAGATAGGACATCTGTTAAACAGGTGGAGAAATGTAATTAGATCATAGTTACATAGTGTCCATGATGCTGATGATATGTTTACTAGTATACAGAGCTGTGGTCTCTCCCAACCACCACATACAACACTTAAATCTAATTTGATGTTCCCTTTATTAGGCTGGTAATTCTTACATAAATCAACTTATATATTACTCTACATCACACAAAGCGTCTCCGATGACATAAAAGTGAGCTAATTCTGCATGACCTCACAGGTAGCCGGTGGATAACATTACTTCACAAATCTGTCCACTTGTGTTTGGGTAATGGGGCACGAAAACACATCTGCACAAACCACGCTTTCTTACAAAACAACAAATGTAATGATGATAATTGGTGTATAGAAACCCCTATCACACTTTGTCTTTCTATGGCTTTCATTTCTTTAAATCTAGTGTTAAATGTTAGATTTAAATTTGACCTTGGTAGAGGTCAGACACAGGGAGTGAATCTGTAATAGGCCTAGGGAGTAACACTGCATACCTGACCTCATTACATAGTAGCCTACAGACTTATCCTTAAAAAATGTCAAAAGTTGGACTCATCATTTAATCTTGCATAAAAAAACAACACAGTTATCCAAATGTTAATTAACACTGTTGTGAAGCAACAAATACCATAGCAGTTATTGGGATGACAGAAGCTGTTTTACAGTCCTCAGTATATTGATTCAGAAATCAAAATTATATTCATATTGAATTTCTAACGACTAAAACCAGTCAGTGGACACTAGCAATATGAATCTACTCCTATGTTCTATGTAAGTAAATGGGGTCCTCCACAGTGAACAGTGCATATAAAAAGATTATATAGAGATCTCTCAGGTGCAAAATCACAGTAAGGAAACGATGTCCATATTGAATTTCAAATCCAACCTCTATCAAGCTAGGGCTGTTTATTGATTTGACCAGTACTTCTGGTGAGTTTCATGAAAATCAAAACCGTTCCTTCTAAAATTAATCTGCAAAGACTCAACAGGGTGATCCCTCTAGCTTACCTTCACAGAAGTCACAACTAGTAGATAGGCCAAGGCTAAAGCCAACAGAGTACTTTATGTTACCTTAATAACAGACACAACTAGTAGATAAGCCAAGGCTAAAGCCAACAGAGTGATCTCTTTATGTTACCTTCATAACAGACACAACTAGTAGATAGGCCAAGGTTAAAGCCAACAGAGTGATCCCTTTATGTTACCTTCATAACAGACACAACTAGTAGATAAGACAAGGCTAAAGCCAACAGAGTGATCTCTTTATGTTACCTTCATGACAGACACAACTAGTAGATAGGCCAAGGTTAAAGCCAACAGAGTGATCCCTCTATGTTACCTTCATAACAGACACAACTAGTAGATAAGACAAGGCTAAAGACAACAGAGTGATCCCTTTATGTTACCTTCATAACAGACACAACTAGTAGATAAGCCAAGGCTAAAGACAACAGAGTGATCCCTTTATGTTACCTTAATAACAGACACAACTAGTAGATAAGCCAAGGCTAAAGCCAACAGAGTACTTTATGTTACCTTAATAACAGACACAACTAGTAGATAAGCCAAGGCTAAAGCCAACAGAGTGATCCCTTTATGTTACCTTAATAACAGACACAACTAGTAGATAAGCCAAGGTTAAAGCCAACAGAGTGATCCCTTTATGTTACCTTCATAACAGACACAACTAGTAGATAAGCCAAGGCTAAAGCCAACAGAGTGATCCCTTTATATTACCTTCATAACAGACACAACTAGTGGATAAGCCAAGGTTAAAAAGCCAACAGAGTGATCCCTCTATGTTACCTTCATAACAGACACAACTAGTAGATAAGCCAAGGCTAAAGCCAACAGACTGATCCCTCTATGTTACCTTAATAACAGACACAACTAGTAGATAGGTCGAGGCTAAAGCCAACAGAGTGATCCCTTTATGTTACCTTCATAACAGACACAACTAGTAGATATGTCGAGGCTAAAGCCAACAGAGTGATCCCTCTATGTTACCTTCATAACAGACACAACTAGTAGATAAGCCAAGGCTAAAGCCAACAGAGTGATCTCTTTATGTTACCTTCATGACAGACACAACTAGTAGATAGGCCAAGGTTAAAGCCAACAGAGTGATCCCTTTATGTTACCTTCATAACAGACACAACTAGTAGATAAGCCAAGGCTAAAGCCAACAGAGTGATCCCTTTATGTTACCTTCATAACAGACACAACTAGTAGATAAGCCAAGGTTAAAGCCAACAGAGTGATCTCTTTATGTTACCTTCATGACAGACACAACTAGTAGATAGGCCAAGGCTAAAGCCAACAGAGTGATCCCTCTATGTTACCTTCATAACAGACACAACTAGTAGATAAGCCAAGGCTAAAGACAACAGAGTGATCCCTTTATGTTACCTTCGTAACAGACACAACTAGTAGATAGGCCAAGGTTAAAGCCAACAGAGTGATCCCTTTATGTTACCTTAATAACAGACACAACTAGTAGATAAGCCGAGGCTAAAGCCAACAGAGTGATCCCTTTATGTTACCTTCATAACAGACACAACTAGTAAGATGGCGAAGGCTTAAGCCAACAGTGTCCCTTTTCAGAATACACATAGCAAATAGACTGTATGGAATTAAAAAAATTAACAATTTTCCATACCTGGTATTCACATAAAGTGTTCAATGTTTCCTTTGCAATTTTAAGCAGAAAAATTCTAGGCAAATTAATACTGGTAATCTTTACCTTTCTTGACTCTTGAGGAGGTTGAAGAGGTTGAGATAGAGGATCCCTCCCTGACCAACTCTAGGATTGTTGACCTCAATACGACCTATACAGCAGTTGATGGCCTTATGTAGTAGGTCAATCAGAATGGTCACTGCAGTTGATAAGCTCTCTTTGCTGGACCACTCGATCATAATGTCAGTCTGTATTAAAAAACAACAAAAAAAACCCAGATATATCAGTATGACATGAATGCTACAGGGGAGTGGGGGGACAAATCTGAAAATGTGAATTGTCTGAACTCTAACAAAATTAATTCAGCTTGTAGTGAATAATCTTGAAATTAGTGCAAAATAAAACCTTATGCAGATTTTTATTAGTGACATTAAAAAAATACATTTAATCAGGGTTTTCCATAATTTTGTTAGTAGTAGGCTGTGTAGTGAAAGTAGGAGGCTACTGCTGTGTTTAGAAGTTACTGCAACTGGATTGGTGTAACCAAATGATTTCAAGGATTGCAAAACCCTGTTTAGGAATTTTACTGCACTGAAACCTGATTTCAAGGATTGCAATGAGGAATTTTATGTTAAATCTTAGAAGAGTATACAATGTATATGGAGAACAAGAGGTCCATGGGCCTTCACAGTCACCTGAGGTCTTCAGGTCTTTTGACAATTTTTAGAACCTGTCCAGCAGTCCCAGCGTTGGGGCAGACAGAACAGAACTGATATATGCAAACTTACAAAGCTGTGATTGCTTCTAATTTGAAGGCTTGATTTTTGATTTTCAATTAAACAGAATTGATAACACTGTCTTTTGTTTCAGCATTTTGTAAGGAAGTATTCTATAAAAAATGCAGGTATTCACATTGTATTTGGATGGATGTGTGTTACAGCCAACATGACTATGTATATCAATAATACAGAAGGTAAGTTGGTTTGTACCTCTTCTTCCAAATATATAGGAACAGATAATATTGGCATGCTACTGGCCTAATATCATGACCCTGGGGAACTAAGTTATTGAGAAGAAGTTGATTAAAGATTTTAACACATTTGACCCCTGTGATCTTGAAAGTGGGTCAAGGTAATTCATTTGAACAAACTTGATAGCCCTTAATCCAAAAATGTTAGTGGCACAATTAACAAGAAGTCATAAATGTAAATTCTATATATGACGCATGACGGTGGACAAAAGGTGATCGCAATAGGTCACTTGAGATTTTGAACTTACAAAGAATTTGGTCTAGATTTTCAATATTTCAACATACATGGAAAATGTTTTTTAATTCTATTTTGGCATTCTAAAGTTAAAGAATGGAAACCAAATTTTTAATGGGTTCTAAGTTAAGAAAGAGTCATAACTGGTAAAATTTGCTTAAAATACTGAACTTCAAAATACATGCAAAATATTATTCAATTCCATTGAGGCATTCTAAAGATATAAAGCATAAAACAAATCCGAATGGACAGACATATGGACATATGGCAGGATGGACATGGGTAGCACTACATGTCCCCAATTTTCAAAGGCAGGGACATAAAAAAACAGAAAGGTAAACAATAATATAGTTTTTGTTAACAGATCTACAAACAGAAGAAGTTGACCATTAAATAACAGCATAATTAATTCCAATGTAATGAAGTTTAATATAAATAATTTATTATGCTGTAGAAAAATTTTGAAGTGTGGAACTACATACCTTATTGACAATACGTCCAGACATTTGGTTAAGCGGATCATACAGCTGGGGAGGAAGAACTTTCATTTCCTTGAGGTGTACATATGACACCCAAAGAATACACTGATCATCTGTCACAAGGCACTTGTTTATCCATCTTAACTTCTCTTCTGTTTTTAGAACACTCTGAAATGACAATGGTAGCTACATCAATCTACCTAATTGGTCAAAATAACAACCAACTACAATGTAAAACAACATTCCTTAAATGGTAAAGAAAATAGGACTTAAAGACAAAGTGATCCTTTCCAAGATACTGATATCTCCCAGGGATCTGATATCTCCCAGGGATCTGATATCTCCCAGGGATCTGATATCTCCTAGGGATCTGATATCTCCCAGGGATCTGATATCTCCCAGGGATCAAAAGACAATACAATAACAAAGATCAACAAATCAGGTGTCATCTGTCATTTATCAGGGTTCATAAACACGTATTTAGCAACATAGATAAATAATTATTTATCAGGGTCTGTAAATTATTATTTATCAGGGTCTGTGAATTATTTATCAGGGTCTGTAAATTATGCATTTATCAAGGTTAATAAACCATGTATTTATCTGGGTCAGAAAACCATGTATTTATCAGGGTCAGTAAATCATGTATTTATAAAGGTCAGCAAACCATGTATTTATTAGGGTCAGCAAATCATGTATTTATCAAGGTCAGTAAACCATGTTTTTATCAGGGTCAGTAAATCATGTATTTATCAAGGTCAGTAAACCATGTATTTATCAGGGTCAGTAAATCATGTATTTATCAAGGTCAGTAAACCATGCATTTTTTAGGGTCAGTAAACCATGTATTTATCAGGGTCAGAAAACCATGTATTTATCAGGGTCAGTAAATCATGTATTTTTCAGGGTCAGTAAATCATGTATTTATCAGGGTCAGTAAACCATGTATTTATCAGGGTCAGAAAACCATGTATTTATCAGGGTCAGAAAACCATGTATTTATCAGGGTCAGTAAATCATGTATTTATCAGGGTCAGTAAATAAAGTTTAATCAAGGTCAGTTAACCATGTATTTATCAAGGTCAGAAAACCATGTATTTATCAAGGTCAGAAAATCATGTATTAATCAATATCTTTTTTTCTTCCCTCATCCTAACCCAAATTACAAATTAACATTGTGTTTGACTTGTTTCACAAGTGGAAACCCTAGTTTTATATACTCCTTTTGGAACAGGATTACCTAAAACCAACTATCAGCTTTTATAATGACCACTAAGAATTTCTCTTTAAGACCAGATGTTTTTGTAATCATGTAGAACTGATCACATATTGTCGTGATCTCCATTATTATCTCTAGTGTTATAATATCAAGGTCAGACTCTCCACTCCTACCTGTAACAGGCAGATTTTAATGTCACTTCCAATAATAATTTTACAGTGAATTTACTTGTCCCATCAAGCAAGTTAAATGTGTCCACTCACTTATAAAATCAGACTTGATTTTCTGGTATTCAATCTAAGACCAATTTTCTTTTATATATACCCAACCAGCTTTAGAAGTATTATTAACAGACCATTTGACCTATAATCAAACACTCAAAATTGTACCTCCACATTAACATTTTCCAGTCCACATTCTGCAGATGGCAGATTGGTCACTGGCTGCTGTGGTATCTAAAATTTCAATTAGCAAAGAACACATCTTTTTTTTCCAAGTTAATTATAATATCTCACTACCTAAACATGTAAGAAACCAAACATCATACACCTCTTGTATGTTAATCTTAATGTATCTTAATGTTAAATCAAGTCTGCAACACAATCTAATCAAGAGGCAGAAATGTCAGGTTTACAATAATGACAGCTATACATTAGGTTTTGGACTCTCCTGATTTAAGGGTCATAGTCATGACAATGTCTCCCTTAAAACAACTTAGGGAAAAAGAGAGGCGTGTCCAAGTATTCATATTGTGATTAATTGTACTAATAGGTTAATCTTTAAGCAAGAATCTAATGATTCACTGATATATGCAAATTCAACTTGATTATTTTCATTTCATGAGTTTAAATGGTAATGAAAAATTTCATTCTAATACAGCTTGTGCAAGCTGATTAGCCTTTTCTTTAAATATGAGCCTGTATATCTGACCCCAAATCAACCAGGACATTTATAATTTTGCTATTTTTTACACAATTTCAGCATTGCATGGTAGGAAAACTCTAGTGGGGGCCCTTCATGCATGACACTGAGTCGTTAGGTTTTCTCAATGACTTAATTGATAATTATATTACCCTGGGAGCCTACTGTTGACAGTTGACACAAAATCTTGACATTCCAATTTTTTTCTTTTCATATTTAAAAGCCATTTATCAACATTAATAAAACTTCACAGTATTTAACTAGATTTCAAGAGACAGTTTAAGAGTTCCTGAACCACCGTAAACAATTCTGTATATAGTTAATGGCACTTAAAACTGAATTGCATTTTAAGGTAAATTAGTCTCAAAATTTGATAATCATTATCACCAAATGATCTTTTTTGCATGATGACATTATTTGGAAAGCATGTGAATATTTTACTCTAATCACCAATGAAATCACTACACAACGACAGAGTGACGACATGAACTGCACCAAGCACAGGGCAACAATTTTTTGTCTGTCCCTAAAAACAACCCATACAAACCACCAGTGTTATTTTGTCTGTCTCTAAAAACAACCTGCACAGGTCACCAGTTTCATTTTGTCTGTCCCTAAAAACGACCAGTACAGGTCACCAGTTTCATTTTGTAAAACGACACTACACTGTCCCTAAAAACGACCAGTGTCACCAGTTTCATTTTGTCTGTCCCTAAAAACGACCATGAACATTTTGTCACCAAGCACAGGGTCAACAATTTCATTTTGTCTGTCCCTAAAAACAACCCATACAAACCACCAGTGTTATTTTGTCTGTCTCTAAAAACAACCTGTACAGGTCACCAGTTTCATTTTGTCTGTCCCTAAAAACGACCAGTACAGGTCACCATTTTCATTTTGTCTGTCCCTAAAAACGACCAGTACAGGTCACCAGTTTCATTTCTGTCTGTCCCTAAAAATGACCAGTACAGGTCACCAGTTTCATTTTGTCTGTCCCTAAAAACGACCAGTACAGGTCACCATTTTCATTTTGTCTGTCCCTAAAAAACGACCAGTACAGGTCACCATTTTCATTTTGTCTGTCCCTAAAAACGACCAGTACAGGTCACCAATTTCATTTTGTCTGTCCCTAAAAACGACCAGTACAGGTCACCATTTTCATTTTGTCTGTCCCTAAAAACGACCAGTACAGGTCACCAGTTTCATTTTGTCTGTCCCTAAAAACGACCAGTACAGGTCACCAGTTTCATTTTGTCTGTTCCTAAAAACGACCAGTACAGGTCACCATTTTCATTTTGTCTGTCCCTAAAAACGACCAGTACAGGTCACCAGTTTCATTTTGTCTGTCCCTAAAAACGACCAGTACAGGTCACCATTTTCATTTTGTCTGTCCCTAAAAACGACCAGTACAGGTCACCAGTTTCATTTTGTCTGTCCCTAAAAATGACCAGTACAGGTCACCAGTTTCATTTTGTCTGTCCCTAAAAACGACCAGTACAGGTCACCATTTTCATTTTGTCTGTCCCTAAAAAACGACCAGTACAGGTCACCATTTTCATTTTGTCTGTCCCTAAAAACGACCAGTACAGGTCACCATTTTCATTTTGTCTGTCCCTAAAAACGACCAGTACAGGTCACCAGTTTCATTTTGTCTGTCCCTAAAAACGACCAGTACAGGTCACCAGTTTAATTTTCTCTTTCAAAGGAGTTTTATATTGATACTTCATATATAGTTTTTTCCCTGTTATGCTCCAGACAAAATTATGACAGATGGACAGATGGATGAACGGACAACTGACAGCCAAACAGAAGGACGGACAAAGCAGCAACTACATGCTTTCCCTTCGGACAGCAAAGAAGGTACCGCTTTCTGTTAACCATCAAATGGGACCATTTTCTACTTTTCAAATATTCAGCAAAGGTCCTATATACCCTCAACAACCTCTGTTGGCACAAAGTAGTTGGTACTACTAATGAGCATGAAAGCAACATCCCTGTTCCTGTCTGATTGCATTCAGTAGATGGTACAATTTTGTCAGAGTCTGTTTGTTAGTGTCTGTTTACACCCAATAGAATGCAGTGCCTTTATAAGGCTGTTCTTAACAAGTACTGTGCAACATCCCCTAAACCAATCCTTCTACAAATCTGACCACCTCTCGAAATGAATGAAATGGCCACGTACAGAATGCCGTCCACTTTATTATAGTGATAAAGACTATCCAAATGCTGATCCCTCTCCATTCCAAATACTGAACTGATTTTGTCTCCGAAAAGATTGAAATACATAATGCAAAATGAAAATTAATACTGAAAACTGGTCTTACCTAAACAATTAAGATCTAAATTCCGACCAGCGACCAGCGGACTATGAAATCAACACCTGTGGTGACAGTTTCAAGCTTTGACAAAGTTATCTCTTATGACAAATTGAAATCATATTGAATGAGTCAACTGTTCCACCGAAGTGAGAAATGGCTGCAGATAACATGAAAATAAGTACGATGCAAAGTTAGAAAGCTGCAGTTTGCATTTAAATCTTGGGTAATTGAACAATGTTATTTTAACACAGAGTAGATAAGTTTTCAGACTGATAAACAAAAACACATATTCATGAAATACATAAGTTGGTAACCCTTTCAGACAAGCCAGCCATACAACGGGGGCTGACGTATGCAAAGATATTTCTGAGATCGCTAGGCAATGCAGAGATTTCTTTTCACCTACTGTTGCAAACAGTAAACAAGTATCACTGTTTTCCCTCTTTACTGAAATGTTTTTTTACTCTATAACACATTTTTTCTGTATTCGGTTCAGCATGTGCAGTATAAATGCTGAAAGCAAATGGAATGGTTAATGTAGTGTACAGAACAGAATCCATTCAATTATATCAAAATCCCGACCAGTCAACTTGCTTCACTTCTACAAACCGAACCCTCTATAAACTGGCCAACTACTCATGTCCTTTGCATGGTTGATTTGGAGAAGTTCCACTGTATAGGGCCACACTTTTGTCAGTTTCTGTTTTTATCCAGTAGCAGACAGCACTCTTTCAGATATACCCACTTTTGAAAGTCCTTAAATGAGATGCTATATCAACCATACCTACATTCATGCTTGTAGACCAAATAGAAACCGGAGCTTTTTATTTTAATTTTCATAAACATCAACAAGTTCATTCACCGTGACCTTCTTTCATTACATAAAGATGACAGTTACACAAATATTCTCTTGTGTAATATCATTTTAATATCCGTATAAACTTGATATGTCTTATTAACAAAAAACTACCATCCCTGCAAGCAAGGATAACAAAACATTGTAACACCTAATAATATGTAGTATATTTTGATACCGACACTGGAGACAAAGATTCCGGGCTTGGTAGGTAAGTTTGATTGTGGCTGAGTATCTGGTTTCCATTTTGTGTATGTAAACAAGGTATAATGTTGTGTAAGCTTTGTCTGTGGTGCACCACCTATCACACAGGTGGACACCTACTACATAACATCACGATTTGTTATCTCTACCTCCATCCCATAGAGAACAACAACTCTGCTGAGAATGGAAGAAGCTCTGTATGCTTTGAATATCTAATTTCTTTGATTCCTACAGATCTCCTAGTTTTTATCCAAATTGTTTTTTCTTTCAGAATTATTTTTCTGCTTCCAAAAATTTCACATTTACTTTGAATAAATCACCAGGGAATCAAATATCACACACATCGTTTGGTTTTTCATTTCCGACAAACTGAATTGACTTTTAAACTCACAAGTCGTAAATCATACCACAAATAATGAGGACATTTTACATGCTTTATAAAGGAGAGTTTGAAAAGTACATAACACATTAACATTATTTCCTTTCATTTCTACTTCCGTCTCTTCCTTGTTGATCAACCTTTTCAGTATCACTGTTTAATATCTATATGATGATGAATAATTCTAACCTATTGATATTTTTTCGTGATTCATTCTAATCTCTATATTTTATGATGAATCATTTTAATCTCTATATTTTATGATGAATCATTCTGATCTCTGTATTTTATGATGAATCATTCTGATCTCTGTATTTTATGATGAATCATTCTGATCTCTGTATTTTATGATGAATCATTCTGATCTCTGTATCATATGATGAATCATTCTCTCTGTATTTTCTGATGAACCATTCTAATCTCTATATGTTATGATGAATCATTCTGATCTCTGTATTTTATGATGAATCATTCCAATCTCTATATTTTATGATGAATCATTCTGATTTTATGATGAATCATTTTGATCTCTGTATTTTATGATGAATCATTCTGATCTCTGTATTTTATGATGAATCATTCTGATCTCTGTATTTTATGATGAATCATTCTAACCTCTGTATTTTATGATGAATCATTCTGATCTCTGTATTTTATGATGAATCATTCTGATCTCTGTATTTTATGATGAATCATTCAGATCTCTGTATTTTATAGTGAATCATTCAGATCTCTGTATTTTATGATGAATCATTCTGATCTCTGTATTTTATGATGAATCATTCCAATCTCTGTATTTTATGATGAATCATTCCAATCTCTGTATTTTATGATTTTATGAATCATTCTGATCTCTGTATTTTATGATGAATCATTCTGATCTCTGTATTTTATGATGAATCATTCTAATCTCTATATTTTATGATGAATCATTCTGATCTCTATATTTTATGATGAATCATTCTGATCTCTGTATTTTATGATGAATCATTCTGTTCTCTATATTTTATGATGAATCATTCCAATCTCTGTATTTTATGATGAATCATTCTGATCTCTGTATTTTATGATGAATAATTCTCATTTCTTTTATATTTTACAATAAACCTGTTTTGTCTGTTGTTGCATCATTGCTTTTATCATTTCCTACATATCAAACCACAGAAATTCTACAAAATGTAAGAACCTTAATTTTTCTTTTTTCTATCACATGGATTTTGACCATACTTAGTGCCACCATAATTTTGTATTGTCTTGATGAGCATTAGGAGGATACCACATCAACTGATTGGGTAGCCAATCTGCCTTGATCATGCAAGGGTCAGAAGCAGGTTCAACACTTTTACAAAGCCAGAGGAATCTTGCTCAATATCAGCTTTTGAACACTTGACTTTCCACTCACCTGTAGCTGTTTAATGGCAGCTTTGAACTTGCCAGTCCACACATAGAGCGCTGTTTTATATAGGATGACTTCCAGAACCCAGTGGGAACGTACATCTTGAGGAAAGTGGTCTTCAGCTAGTCTCACATACTCCAGCATCTGATCACAAACCTCCTGCTTCTGCTGACTGGAGGTGCATACATTGAGGTACTGAAACAAAAAATAAATCATTTATTTTCTTCTTTTGCTTCCTTGCATTTATTTTATACACCACTCTCAATCACAACTAACTCTTTTCATTAGTTTTCTATTTGCATGTTCATTTTATAATTTTTTCCTCTCAACTTATAAACAGAAATGTACTAAGGGAGACAACTCCTACTAACCTGCCACCAAAGTGTGTAGCTTTGGGTGTATTCCAGAGCAGTTTCACACAGCTGTTGCAGATCATTTGATTCCTTGTGTTTGGCATACAGACTAAGGTAGTTTTGCCATAGTTCTGCACTATCCTTGTTTTCCTCCAGGCCCCGTGCCAACACATTGAGGGCATGGTCAAGACATGTCTCGCTTCCACTTTAACACAGGACAAACAAATAGGGTCACACAACACTATAAGAATGTGACACAAACTGACACTTAAGTCAATGTTAATCTTGACAGTTGACTGTCATTCTATTGTAAAAGTTCTGTAAAAATTTATTGTAATATTTTGCTGACTGTTTAGGTCAGTTAATTTAGGTAGTATGGAAACCTTGAGGTGCCTTCCTGATTCTCTCCATTTTTTAGTTGTATTTTTTACCAGAAATCTGATTATGAGTAAATCTGCTTTTTAATAATACATATAGCCAAAGTATGATTTCTGGAAGATCATAAAAAGAATTTGCTAGAAGTTGATGACCTACCTGTTGGGGTCGTGGAGTTTTTTGTGAGCCAATTTGAGCCAGATCTGAATGTTGTGTGGATTGTCTAGTACAGCAGTCTCCATGTCTTGAATGTTTGAGGAGTCAGACACAAAGTAACGAAGGTCCTGGTCACCTATCACATTGTCCAGTTCCTGTCTGTCAATTGGACGCTGCCATTCTGCAACCAATTACCACAAATTGATAAAGGTTTGTGCAGGAATGTAAAATGGTTTTCATAAAATTACATTTACAATGTTATGTCTTTACTTAATCCTATTTTATACTGAATATTTATACTCTGCTGGAAGAGCTGAAGAAGTTTCTGAAGAAATTTAGAAGAGCAATCTCATAAATTTCGCCTGTTGTTCAATTCCTAAAATGCACCAGCACAATTAAATATGCTTGAAGTCAAACAACAACAACTTGTCAAGGAACCTTTTTAACATCCAGCAAGATCAATTATATATTATCTTACCTATACTGTCAAACATAGTAATGACAAAGACCAATTATATATTATCTTACCTATACTGTCAAACATAGTAATGACAAAGATCAATTATATATTATCTTACCTATACTGTCAAACATAGTAATGACAAAGACCAATTATATATTATCTTACCTATACTGTCAAACATAGTAATGACAAAGATCAATTATATATTATCTTACCTATACTGTCAAACATAGTAATGACAAAGACCAATTCTATATTATCTTACCTATACTGTCAAACATAGTAATGACAAAGACCAATTCTATATTATCTTACCTATACTGTCAAACATAGTAATGACAAAGACCAATTCTATATTATCTTATCTATACTGTCAAACATAGTAATGACAAAGACCAGTTCCATATTTCCTTACCTATACTATCAAATGTGTTATCAGAAGTGAAGTCTTGGATTTCGTCCCTTCTGTCTTCACACAGCTGTCTCCACTTTCGTGCCTCAAGGAACAGGTTGTGTGGCTTTGCTGTTAACACAAAAACATGAATTTTATCCATACCACAACTTTACTTATTAAAGTTATTCCTAAACACATTAATACCAATAAGTATAGCTAAATAAACTTTAAATCTTTTACAACAGGTCATTAAGAACAAGAATGCACTGATTTCTTACATTCTTCAGTCTTCAGGCACTAAGCCTTGTGATGAAAAAGTTGAAAGGTTGAAGCCAAGTTGAGTTCCTGGTTTACTTATCAGCAATAATTTTGTAGGATTAAATCTAAACTATGGGTTCGATTGATGCATATGCATACGTTTATTGTCTTGATTACCACTAACTTACTGTGTCCACTTTTCTCTGACACTTGACTGGCCATTAGCAACATCAACTGGTCACTGGTCAGTTTTCCCTGGTGTTGTTTTAGAGTGTTACTCACAAATTTTCCTGTAATGAAGAGAAAAATGCTGATCTCTAGTAGTTTCATTCATCATACTTAAAGAATATACTAATGCTCTTTGAACGTAAGCACATGATAGTGATCTTACAAATTATAGGAAAACTGCATGTATCTACTATTTGTGTGTCCTAGCCTGTTGATAAGTTTCCTTATCTATGGTCTATGGATAGTTCTGGTTGTTGTTTGCTTTCCTAAGATCTGTGGGTAGTTGTTTGTTGTTTCCTTACCTAAGATCTGTGGGTAGTTGTTGTTTGTTGTTTCCTTACCTTAGATCTGTGGGTAGTTGTTGTTTGTTGTTTCCTTACTTAAGATCTGTGGGTAGTTGTTGTTTGCTTACCTAAGATCTGTGGGTAGTTGTTGTTTGTTGTTTCCTTACCTAAGATCTGTGGGTAGTTGTTGTTTACTTACCTAAGATCTGTGGCTGGTTGTTGTTTGCTTACCTAAGATCTGTGGGTAGTTGTTGTTTGTTGTTTCCTTACCTAAGATCTGTGGGTAGTTGTTGTTTGTTGTTTCCTTACCTAAGATCTGTGGGTAGTTGTTGTTTACTTACCTAAGATCTGTGGGTAGTTGTTGTTTGTTGTTTCCTTACCTAAGATCTGTGGGTAGTTGTTGTTTGTTGTTTCCTTACCTAAGATCTGTGGCTGGTTGTTGTTTGCTTACCTAAGATCTGTGGGTAGTTGTTGTTTGTTGTTTCCTTACCTAAGATCTGTGGGTAGTTGTTGTTTGTTGTTTGCTTACCTAAGATCTGTGGGTAGTTGTTGTTTGTTGTTTCCTTACCTAAGATCTGTGGGTAGTTGTTGTTTGTTGTTTCCTTACCTAAGATCTGTGGGTAGCTGTTGTTTACTTACCTAAGATCTGTGGGTAGTTGTTGTTTACTTACCTAAGATCTGTGGGTAGTTGTTGTTTGCTTACCTAAGATCTGTGGGTAGTTGTTGGTTGGTGTATTAGAACTAATCCCTGCCACTGCTGGATGATAAGATATTATATCCTGTAACACCTCTGCCTCAGACATCTTAATGTCACCACTGTGTAGTCTGAAACATATTCCCATCATATGACAATCAAACAATGGATATACTGAAATGTTTTTGTCCTCCACCAACAGAGAATCTTACTGGAGTTTTCTTCAATAAAGACCAAAACATCATCCTGCATTCAAAAGTATGATAAACTACACATCTGATACAATATTGTCTTACATTATCATGATAGTTTTAATCATAGCAACCCACAATTTTTTATTTGAAGGTGAGGCTTTACCTGCCCCTAGCTGATTTGAAAGCCCAACCTTTTAGTACTAAACTTTTAGAATCAAAAACAAAATTGTTCTGATGAAGCCCTGTAGAGTTTGAACTAGTCCACCAATGAGCCTAACAGCCAACTCAATGGTGATGCATGGGTATACAGGCAGTACTATAATTATATCAACCCCCTAACTTTGATCTGGTGTTGGCTCTACTCTGTCTGAAAAATAAATCATTATGTCTATACAATTAGGAATATACAGTAATGGTATCTTTAAAGTTGGGAGGATACTCTTGTTTTTTTCCCTTTTTGTGGGGAAATAGCCAAAAGTTTAACTAGGGGAAACTGTTTTAGGAAGTAAAATGAAAAACCGACTGAGTATACTAATTCATACAAACATTCTAACAGGTCTATAATTATACATCTATTGCATGTATACAGTGTTTCTGATGATTGACAGGTCAATTAATCAAACAGCTTTGAATGTTTTTAATTTCCATAGCAATAAAAGTTACAAACAAAGCTATGAAAGCATGTCAGTTATGTAGACATGTCTGTTAATTGTCAATATACAGGTGGAAATCTTTACAGTAATGGATGACTTTATCGGATTCTTTAAAACAGTCTAAGATCTATTTATGAAATCATTTGCATGTCAAAATAACATCAAAAGAAATATATAAGTGTATAAGTAAAAAAGTGTCAACTTTTCCACTTGAGTATGATTTATAAATTCTTCCAAAACAAAATACATTTGTATAATAACTCAGTCGCGTCATTTATAACACTAATGAGATGTAATGTATCACCAGTGTTAGTGATGCATCATATCATAATCTGCAAACACACAGAGTTTTATGGATATACATCTATTCACATCAAGATTATATCAACATGGAATTTTATAGAACTTGCATTATTTGATAAAATATTGTTTTGACACATAACTGGAAGTTGAAGTAAAACTTTATGAACTTCAGTTTGATTTTACTGAATACTGAGAATAATATTGCTGAAACTCATAATAGTTTATTTTGTACTTCTAAGAATATTTCCTTATCTTGTACTTCTCACAATATTTCAATATCCTGTACTTTTCACAATATTTCAATGTCCTGTACTTTTCACAATATTTCATTATCTTGTACTTTAAAAATAACGGGGAAGTTTTACAATTGTCACAATGATTTCATTGAGATATATTCTATTTCTTGTACAATATGAAGTTGGCTGTGTTGGATACTTGTTAGTAAGCCCAGTTGTTCCATTGTTGTTTATCTTGTTCTCATTTGCAAGCATGACATTGCTTACCTGAATAGACCAAGATATACATGGTGTGTGTCACTGATGAAGCAGAACACACTCTTCTGGAACCCCTGGTCTGATTATTTGTGTACTTTTTACGATAGTCTCCCTTTAATTTTTTTGTTAGGTCATATTTTACACAAGTTTTATTAGCTTTGAGTTGGAAGTAAGATTTTGTTGAAATACCAGTATTTTCTGATTATGTACAGGTATTCAGTATTGGCCATGTAATTCCATTACAATTTGCTCTCCCATTTATTAGTGACAAAAATATAACAAGGACTAAAATTTTTGATTTTGTAAGGTCATGGTAATGGTTAGAAATAGTCTATTCTAAAATTTGTGATCTAAATCTTCTGAGTGATAATGTCACATCTTATATGTGATTAAGAAATACAGTATATTGTATATTTATGGCGTGATAAAACTGCATGTAGATTATTGTAAACCAAAAGTCAAGGCAGTGTTATAATCTCTAATGCTATACATAGCTGGCAACACTCAAGCACATACAACAATATTTTCATTCATAATCTTTAGCTGCATGACTTGGCAGCTATGTGAAGTGACCAGAATATGCTATAAGATACAGTGACACCAATACACTCAGACAGGTAATCTCATCTAGTCGAAGACCACCCACAATAACATTACCTGTCCATCAACAGGACCAGAGACAAAACAGGGATTGTTCTCACAGATTCCACTTTACATCTGTCCTACAGTCTAGATAATTCCTTAACAACCAAAACAAACAAACACAACTTATGAAGAAGACATAGAAACAAAGTTCTTTTCATCAGCAGATTTCACTCAAGTTTTTTTTTTTTTTGCTGTGTTAATCTTTTAAAAGACTGAGGCTATGATATGGCCATAAAGCGGGTAAAAACCACATCACTGAGAGTGGGATGAAGGAAACACATGTTACTAGTTGTACAGGGAGACGAATGACAGGAGTAGAGGAAGTCTGCCCTGAACACCTGTACACCTGTACACACAGACCACCTGATAATGCTGATCACATTACTGTCATCACATGTATTGGTCACCTACCACACATATGAGGTGGTGTCACACATGGGCTGCTGACAGCCTACATCATAGGTTAATTCTATGTCTATACCCATGGAATTTTTGAATGGAATCTTATTCTTCCTGTTATAAGGTATATATCCCAAAATTCTGATAACTCTAAGATGTCATCCTAATATTTGTTTCCTAGATATGTATCAGCTATCCCATTAAAAAGAGACCTTCTATAATCTGGAATACTCTATCAACCATGTACTATTAAATCACATATTTCTACGACGCTCAATTTTCAAAGTTTTTCAAATAATTGATATTTCATTGGCACTTGATTTCTTAGATAATCATAGTCCAATAAGTAAAATTATGGTCACATCAACAATTCATGGATTAAAAACACCCATAAAATGAATAAAAATAAAACCTCAATGAAAATTAATGATGTCACAGTAGTCTGTTTAAATCATTGATCCTGTTGATTTCTTTCAAATTTGTGACGGAAAAAACTTAATTAATAAACAATACATATCCCCTGTAAACTATAAAAGGGCAATATGAGTATTTAACTTTATATAGCCACATTCCCTACAAGTGACCATTGTCATGTGATACTTTATATATTGAGTTATCCCCCTTCGTTCACGTTTGGGATGGGAGATATGTGTTTAACAGGAAAGTTGGGTGTGGTAGCCAAGAGTAAAGAGTTATCCTCCTTTTTTCCTGTTTTATTTGGGGTCAGGATGGGGCTTGGGATTGGGTGGAAGTGTGTTTAAGTTAGGTCTGGTGCCCCATTGTATAGAGTGAATACTTTCTGTTTATCATTCTAACTAAAGATTACAGCACATAAATTCATTATATCAGATCAAGGATATATCTCCTACTGCCGTGATACAGCTATTCCTCACTTCATGTATACTTTTTAATGTATTTTTGTTCCAACTAAACACTAACACAAAGTTTTTTCCTCCCTGAAATATCTAAATTTGCAGGTGTTCTGCTAATGTACCAACTCCATTCCAATACATGACAAACTGTATACTTGCACTATAACCTTACACAAGCTGTACTTGTCACTTATCTTACAATAACGTCAGCAGCTGGGCTGGTCATAAATTATATCATAAACTTGTCCTGTCGGCTAACTCAGCACATTTGGTACCAAGTGTTTACTAGATAACAGATGACATATCACCCATGATACATCAGAAATGACAAACCAGTCTATGTTGGTTAGAAAACTAAACATCTTTACAAGAAATGTTGGTCAACTTGATTTAAACTACAGAATTACCATTCATGTGATATTCCATCAATTAAAAAGTAATAAATATAACCTTTATTGTGACTTCCCACTTAAAGACATAAGGACTAGTCCCAATTGAGTTTGTGGTGAAATAAGTGCATATTTTTTTCAAAATCAAACAAACATTATAACTCTGTCCCTACAACAGCTGAAGGTGTGTCCCTCCCTACAACAGCTGAAGTCATGACAACTGTGTCCCTAAAACTGCTTAAGTCATATGACACCTGTGTCCCTACAACACCTGAAGCCATACAACAACTGTTTCCCTACAACAGCTGATGTCATATGACATCTGTGTCTCTACAAGAGTTAAGGTCATATGACAACTGTGTCTCTACAAGAGTTAAGGTCATATGACACCTGTGTTCCAACAACAGTTGATGTCATACAAAAACTGTTTCCCTACAACAGCTGATATAATGAAAACTGTCCTAAAACAGCCTAGGTCATATGGCATCTGTGTCTATTGGACAGCTTAAGTTATATGAAAACTTTGTCCCTACAACATCTAGGGTTGTAGCATAAATGTATCCCTACAACAGCTGAGGTCTTAAGGTGTCACTACAATGGTTGATGTCATTTTTTGACAACAGCTAACAGTCTTATATGCTGATATTGTCAATACAAGCTGTAAATGCCTCAACCACTACTGTGGCACCTAATTGAGTCACAAAAAACACTACTATAATGCCTAATGATCTACATAAGCCCATTCCCTAACTCTGTCTCAGAGATAATATACTGATAGGATAAAGAAACGCAGGCTAATATTTATTCCGATATTTTGAAAACGCGTTCTCCAAATAAAGTGAAACTTTGTGGATTGAGTAATTAGGTCATATTACACCTTGTCATGTATCGAAAATTTAGTCACCGTACAGTGCGCAGCTCTGGTAAATGGAGGAAGGAAAAAACAAGAATCTCTTGCACCGTGTTGTTCTGGTCTCATGCAGCATTGGTCAAGTCACTCTTCGTTAGTCTTTATACAGACCAACTGCTTACCTAAAATTAATTGAGAATTTGATTTGTTTTAAGAATGACACGACTCACAGAAGTTCAGAGGGGTCAGGCCATTCAGATGCTAATGCAAGGACAGCTGCAAAATCAGGTTGCTAGGCACTTTGGTGTTAATGTTTCCACCATAGGACGTCTTGTAAGACGTCTTCGGGAAACTGGGCGATTGGCCGATCGACCTAGATCAGGACGTACGCGCGTAACGTCACAACATCAGGATCGCTATATCGTCGTCTTTCATGTGCGTAATCGGTGCCTTACTGCCGTTGAGAGTGCAATTAATGTTCGTGGAAATCATGGGCATCCTATAAGTTCAAAAACTGTAAGGAATCGATTACGAGAAGTTGGTGTAAGAGCATGTTGCCCCTACGTAGGTCCACACCTTACCCCTGCTTGACGCCAGCATCGTATGGCCTGGGTCGCTGCACATGCTCCACGACGGTTACCACTGAGGCAGTGGAGACAATTTTTCTTCACAGACGAGTGTCGATTCTGGCTTTATCGATCTGACGGCCATCAATGTGTCTACCGATGTTGTGGCGAACGTTTTACGGACGCTTGCGTTGTAGAGAGGGATAGGTTTGGGGGTGGTTCAGTAATGGTGTGGGGAGGAATCTCAGACAGGTTAAAATCACAATTGGTTGTTATTGATGGCAATTTAACAGCAGCTAAGTATAGAGATGAGATCCTCCGACCCCATGTTATCCCTTTCTTACAGCAGCATAATCTAACCCTCCAGCAGGATAATGCTAGGCCCCACGTAGCAAGGATTTGCCAAGTCTTTTTGGCCAACAACAACATTCAACCACTAGATTGGCCACCATATAGCCCTGATTTGTCCCCGATCGAGCATCTTTGGGACCAGTTGGATAGACAGGTTCGAAAGTGCCAGCCACCCCCTGCTATTCGAGAGCAGTTGACCAGAGCTCTGATTGAAGAATGGAACAACATCCCCATAAGATGGATTAACGCTCTCATGAACTCTCTGACCAAAAGAATAAGGGCCGTGACTACAGCAAACGGCGGACACACAAGATATTGATGACTCAGTTCAATTTCAATTTCAAAATCCTATGGGTCCATTCAATTTAATCGTTAGTACCTCTCAACCAATTATCAAATGCAAAATACAGACTTTGGAAATTTTTAAGCTTTAATTTATCTGTAAGTATACAAAATTTTGTTTTAAATGAAGCCCGATATCATACTTAATTTCTGGTTTAAAGTTCACCCTGCGTTTCTTTATCCTTTTAGTATATGTTGGTCTATAGACGGGATAAATACAATCCACAGTACTACTTAAGGTCTACATATCCTTGCAATCCTCCACCAATACCAGAATACCTCCAAAATAGATGTATCAAGTCATTGATAAGATCACAATGACAAACTATTGTTTTAATTACTAATCTTGGGGTTCTGTTTCTCCATAAGAAATAAAATATCAACATAGCATATTTACTATTGATAAAACAATTATGTAGTCAAGGCTCCAGGCTCGGCACAAGTACAGAGATCTACTTTAATAAGATCCCTGAAGATAGTACATTATGATATTATCTAAGGGAACATCACCATTTTAAAATTAAAATTCATATCACATTAGAAACTTTTACAAAAACAAAAAACAATGAGAAAGAAAATCAATAATATCCTTCCTTTTTGATGTGCCATTGTTTTATCTGTGGAATAGCATGCATGATGTACATCAACAAGGAGGTATGGCAGAACAATATTCACAATTACATTTTGATATCTGAGCCCAAAATGTAGTTCTGAGTAGCCAAATTTGGCAATATGAAAAGCAATGCATCTGTAAGAGAGCACAGCTGATCTACTCCAAAACAGATTAGTTTTAGAACTTAATGAAAAGTATTGTATTTGGGTTTCATATCCCAGATCTTTACAAAAATTAATTTATCCATTAACAGTGATTTTTGGGATTCAGGTATGTAAGTCATGGACTCCTAAACTTCCTGTGGGACTCCCTCAAATTTTGAGGAATTACTATATTTCTTAGTAACGGAACTCATCAAAATTTTGGATAGGAGTTCTAGACTTGCCTGAAAAAAAATCCTACAAAAATTACTGCATTAAACAGAATATTTTTGTGTATTTTTGGTTTTTCCATCTTATTTTACCACATATATAGTTCTAAAATGACAACTTACAGTAATAAAGGATGATCATACAGTTATAGAGAACCCACATCGCTAATTAACCAAGTTCTAATGGTCCCTGGAGCATTAAGCAGCTTTGACTGTATATGGTCTTCTATAACACTTAAGGTGGAAATATGTGCTGAAGTTGTAGCAAATAAAGTTCCAACCCAGGTTCTAAATTACTGCCAACTTAAACATTTACACCCAGTTCAAAAACATTTCAACAGCATACAGCACCAGTAGGTAGTAAGTACCAGTTACTCCAGCACCATATCATAAACTAATATGAAAAGTTTGATAAGAGTTTCCACAAATACAATAAACACATTTAAGGGTTCCGGTCGGAATGGTGAGTACTGATGGGACAAGCACTAAGAGATGTTGATAGGCCCATCGCTATCCTTAGAACTGACTTAGAACCTGCCCTCCCAGTACTATATCATATCTTAATTACATGTCAGGCTACTTAACTGAAGCACGACCAAATTTGACTTTGTCCAGTACGTTATTATTATTATTACATTCTTAACGGCCCGTCAACACATAAAAGGTCATTAGGGCCATCAAATGGTAAAACACACAGCGATCCAAAAAGAAATGACATTAAACAAACCAAAAGGTAAGTATGTGTTGACCGAAATACCACAGAACCCTGAAACTAACAACGCTGAGTTTGTTTTTACAAACAAGTGGTCAAACTTAGTACAAGGCTGATAATTTAATCAGCTTGGCTATTACATGATTACTGACCAATATCTAACAGTGTTAACATTGGTTCTTTAGCATGTTTGTGAATATGAATAATGATATATAGAAGACAGAATTAAAGCAGAAGTGGAAGTGTTGATAATAAATATATATTCAAATAGTAATTAATTCTTTCTGAGGTCTATTGTGTTACACTTCATCCTACAAATAGTTACTTAAGAATTAGTTGAATCAGGTTTTTTCCCTGAACTTTTATGTTTCCACCTGGACAAATCACCAGAAACAGCGTAAAGTGAACTCTCCTGCCAAACACCAAGGAAGTTAACAGTGTCACTAAGTCACACATTAAAAAGGCGAACTTTATATGTTTCTAGATAAGTGTCTGTGTGTGATTATGAGGGTGATATCTAAACAGATTACCATACGTGTATAAAAGAACTTCAATCTGATCCTTCATTGTGTTTGGGAGATTCCAGTTGAGCCTTAAGTGTGTTTCAGAGCTTCCATTTTAGCCCTCATTGTGTTGTATAACTTCCCATTTGAACCCTCAGTGTGTTTCAGAGATTCCATTTGGACCCTCAGTGTGTTTCAGAGATTCCATTTGAACCCTCAGTGCATTTTAGAGTTTCCATTTGACTCCTGAAACTATTTTCGGCATCCTAAAATTTCATTCAAGGCTTTCAATTGGCATGTCCTTAAATTAATTCTCCACATTTAGAGTAAAATGTAATTTGACTCTTGTTAGTTAAGGGTCAAAAGAAATTCCTGTGTTTATATAAGGTCGTGTCATTGTAGGCTTTACACATTATACAGAAACTTTTGTGGGATGTAGGGATGAGATACCTTTATGATTATAATTTCCATTTCAATCATAACCAGGGATAGCATTATTTCAGCAGTATATTCTACTGTGACATTAGTAATGGTAACTCACCCCCACCCCAACAACCAATCAATTACTCCTCAACCAGATATACCAAATGTATTTACTGGAAGCTAACATAGTCATCATTACTAACCCCTCATCCCCAATCTTTATCAGAACCAGAGATGATTAACAGTATTTATTTATTGTTAGTAAAACATGATATTTGTACAATTTATCCCTGATGCTCCTCGTCCATCTGAATCAGAGATAATCAACAGTGTTTATCTACTATAGCAAAATATTTGTACTATTTATCCCTTTTGCTCCTCGTTTGTCTGAATCAGAGATATAGTGTTTATCTACTGTAAGTAAAACATGATTTTTGTAGTACTTACCCCCCACACTCCTCATCGTGACAGGTTCCTTGGAGATCATATTTGCATAGAACTTTCTTTGGATTGATTTTGTTGGAAAATGTAAAGGAAGACAAAGTAAGGTTGGCTCTGGTGCGATAATATGGACTGAATCTGCAATCAAATATTAAAAGTATACTTTACAAAAATGTAGGGTGAGTGTGATTTTTTCATCCAGTCAATGAATACAGGTCAAAGACATTAATCAAACTGAATGGTTGAACTTCCAGCCTTGAAGTAACAGGTGGGTAATTTTATTACAATTGGAATGGAATGAAGTGAGATATTTCTATTTTTCATCAAATATAAAGGAAAATTTTAAAATATAACTTATTTTTTCATGGAAAAAAATCAGGATTTTGAGATAATCAAAAATTAAGACCCTCATTTTTTACAACAAAAGTTCAAAACTACCACTAGCATTTTTGAAAACAAAAATCAGACAGGCTATCTATATCAAATTTCTATATCATAGGGTCAACACATTACTTCATAGTCAAGGTTAGCACAAGGACCAACACATTACTCCTTACTCAGTCAGGGTGTAGCCCAGAGGGGGCTAACCCATTACTTCTTAGTCAGGGTGTAGCTCAGGGGGCTAACCCATTACTTCTTAGTCAGGGTGTAGCCAAGGGGGCAACTCATTACTTCTTAGTCAGGGTGTAGTCCAGGGGGCAACTCATTACTTCATAGTCAAGGTTAGCACAAGGACCAACACATTACTTCTTATTCAAGATGTTGCCCAGAGGGGGCTAACCCATTACTTCTTAGTCAGGGTGTAGCCCGGAGGGGGCCAATCCATTACTTCTTAGTCAGGGGGTAGCCAGGAGGGGGCCAACCCATTACTTCTTAGTCAGGGTGTAGCCCAGGTGAGGGGGCAACTCAATAACCCCTTACTCAGTCAAGGTGTAGCCAAGGAGGGCAACACATTACTAATTACTCAGACAGGTGTGTAGCCCAGGAGGCAACACATTACTCCTTACACAGTCAGGGTGTAGCCCAGGAGGGCAACACATTACTCTGTATTCAGTCAGGGTGTAGCCAAGGAGGCAACACATTATTCCTTACTCAGTCAGGTGTGTAGCTTGGGGGGGGGGGGGGGGGGGCAACACATTACACCTTACTCAGTCAGGGTGTAGCCAAAGGAGGCAACACATTATTCCTTACTCAGACAGGGTGTAGCCAAGGGAGGCAACACATTACTCCTTACTCATGGTTTATAATTTTTCTGAATGGCATTACATTAAGTATGCTTGATACCAGATAAATACATACCTATAGGATCTGAAGTGTTGGAGTGGACTTTTATAGACTAGAGGAGATGCCTCCCAGGGTGTGTGGCTGACTTTCGTCTTTGTATCACGTTTTGGTGTTTGGAAGGAAGGAATCTGTTAAAAAAAATCAAAGTTAGCATTGGAGTGAAAACAATTCAGTTAAATCACAGTAACCATGTGTAAGTTTGGTATTTATTACAAAAAAGGATGTATTACAGTAATGATTTCTTCCCAATGTGTAATTATATATCTTAATAGACTTTCTAATGATACACTACCTGTTGACATTGTGGTAGCAAGACAGAATGTGACACTAATGAAGACTGGGCTGAGATCAGGGTTTTGGCACAATTAGACAGCACTGCTTGGAAGTGGTCCTCCTGAAAAGCAGAATTATGTGTTATTGGCTGCTGTGTCTATCACTCTGTGAACAATCTGTGTCATTTTGAGGTGGAGTCTCCTTTCAGTGGCTGGTGACTACCTAACTCAACAACATTTGAGAGGCCCATAACATGCTATCCAATTAGGGTTAAGCATCTTACCAAAAGACACTACAAAGATGGCACAGACCTAGTCTGTTTCTAAGCTTCCTGATAAAACACAAGTCACCATCGAACGTTGAGCCTTGAACTTCAGATCTTAATCTGAAGTTATAATGGCTAATATTCTACTGACTAAGGTATCACAGCCTCCTGTCTATACCTTTTTCGTTCACATTATCAATACCCATAATCTTTATCATTTTATATGTACCTAACTTTCAATATACAAACATTGTAAATTACTATACTGGAGTCATTTTATTTGTTATCATCTTAATATGACAGAAATTGTCTTATTAGTATAATCATATTTCATAAAATGGTGGTCCATGCTGGTTTATGTGACAGTAAACTGATATATTTACCATAAAGTTTATCTAACATTGAACTGAAACAAAAGCATAGACCAAGATATTCAAAAATTTTTTTTATTAAAATAAATTGTTCAAATTGATTTCAACTGAGGTCATCAATACATAGAAAGTTCTATCTGTTATGATCAGTGTCATAGCTTTTGTTTGTGACAATTTCTTTACCTGTAGTTTGGCGAGTCGTTTGATCCGCAGAGCACCAGGTAGAGAGAAGGCACTAGCCGTGTTATCACAGATATTGTTAGATGTTTCCTGTTTCACCTCAGAATCACCCTGGGATAATTTCCTCTGACCATCACTATTCTGAGGGGACAGGTTTGGTTTTGTACTTGTATTCAATTCCATCAGTGACCGACGTCTTTTGTTCGGCCGTTCCTCTGCTTCACTCTCTGACGTACTTTCAGTAACATCTATTTCAATTTTCTCTATCCTAGGTATTGCATTTTTTCTTTGATTATGTGCTACAATAGCTGCTTTTCGTGCAGCTTCAGCCTCAGCTTTTTTCATGGCTTGGGCTTGTTTCAACATCTGTATTTTCTTGGCATATTCATCAGCTAGTCTTTGTAACTTTTCTTTTTCTTTATCAGCATTCTCTGAAGGAATGTTTTTGTTTTCTTTACCTTTCAAAGTTTTCTTCACTGCTTTCTGTAATATAAAATGTTCAATATCACAAAAGGAAATATTTCATACTAAATAACAAAAAACTTCAACCAAAAATACATCATTGAGATCAGGGATATTTACAAAGCAGATTGGATATGATGACTTTTATGGAAAAGTTGTTGACAACTGGAAAACAAGTTAAGAGGAGAACTGAGTTCCTTTCAAGATCATTCAACCTTCTATGAAAGCAGATAATGCTTTTGTTCACAATGTCAATTTCATGCACCAACCAACTTTAGCAGTAAATTGTCACCAACATCATTGAATGATGCCATTTGAATTGTTAATGCAAATGAAAAAAAAATGGAAACATTATATTGCAAAAAATGATTAACCAAGTGAGTAATCTAATTCACAAATACAACAAGAGGGCCCCATAAATTCAACATAATGTTAACAAAGGAAATCAAATTAAGTTTGAGTGCTATCGGTTTCAACAGCTGTACTAGACAAGGGAGATAATGACTGTTGTAACTTTACCTCATTGACCAGTGTAACAGAGATATTTTCTACTTTATTTTTCTCGGAGGCCTTCACGGCCACCACAGTGCGGGGTTTGTATGAGGCTCCGTAAACACTCTGTCCAACGTGTAACGCTTTCTGTTCTAGTTGTTTAAAGGCTTCCTGCTTTTTGTAGATATTGGCTCTGAAAGCTCGTGCCTGTAAAATGTTCATAGGAAGGATTCAGAAGTTTCTTTGACAAGAAATTTGTAATTTGATTTATTTTTCCCATAAGAACAGTGATTTCTCTAAAGTTTTGTTTGTTTATTTTTTGAAATATCTAAACTGCTATCAAAAGTTATCATGAACGATCACATATCAGGCTTATGAAGGAAGTCTTTACCAATGATTACAGAAATTCAAATTAAAAGTAGTTCAACAATTCATAAAATTTTAAACAAAATAATCTGCATTTGTAGTAATGAAGACTCAAATCTTCATCAGTCATTATTCAAATCAATATTAGTGACATGACAAATTATAAATCAGAACTCTGTTATACAGATATGAACTAGTTAATTCTGGTCCTCACTTACATGTTTACGGACTTTTTCAAACTGTTCCCTGTGAGCATTAGCTACTTTTTCAGCAGCCACCAGCTGTTCCTTGAGTTTGAGAACGTTATCCTGGGCCAGGCTGGTGCTCTTGTGGTATTTTGAGGCCTTACTTAACAATCCTTTAAACATAGCCTGATCCTGTAGAATACTGATCCTGTAAAACATAATACATCACATAACTAACTGGGCAAAGTTTTGTATGTTATCAAAAGATATGTCTTCATCATGATACATGTCATTTCTTCATTTGAAATACTTGTTAAACAGTTTACAACAGACATTATTTAAAAGTATAAAGAGATTTTTCCATCATCATATACAAAATGACTTGAAATATTTAAAACTCTTGTATGTAACGGCGTAACAATTTAAAACTTCCAGATAAAACGTTTGGAAATCAGAACTTAAAACTGTTTTATAATGTCACCTTTTCATACAGTAAACTTTTTACACAGTGTTTAACAACGAACTGTTATTGAATAATCTCTAACTAGGGCTGGTTTAGTTTAGAATTCTAACCGCTCAGAAATTTATATTATTGCCACATTGTTGAAATTTCAGACAAGCTTGAATGCAAGAAACCTGAAAAATAACAGTGAAGCAAACAAATTTGTATACAGAAGTTAATATTTGAAGGTGTGCCCAACATTAATTCTTGAACATGTTACGCCTGTAACTGATAGTAAATAAATAATACTCCTCATGAGGAACTTTGTGGTAGCGTCCTCGGGTGGATCCATATAGGATTCAACAGAATTCCTTAACAAGAAAACATAATACAGTAAAAAGGAAAGTCAACACTACAACGATGTTTTGTGGAATATATCTACATGTTTCGGTTGCTATGTGGCCATCATCAGGACTGTATACCGCATATCGGCCTAAACATGTAGACATATTCCACAAAACATCCTGAAGTGTTGAGTTTCCTTTTTGCTTTATTATGTATAGCTGATGAACAAAGCAAAGCCTTATTCACTGGTGTTTAAAAGTTCAGTATACAAGCACCAATAATGACCTTTGTTTATTCATCTCTTCTTCGTACTTCCTAACCTCCAATTCTTCTGAACCATTGTCTTTTGCAGCACTTTCACGCTTTTGATTATTCTGTAATAAAATAAATGTCCATGTGAGAGTCATAAGTTAAGATTTCAAACATCCCTATCTTCAAGTTTTATCAGCAATGAGCTCCTGGATATGTCCACCATTATATTAAACTTACTGTCTTTCTACACTTACTGTAGAGTTAGTAATACTCACAAGGACCTGTTCCACTATTTTTGCAATCATTAATGATAGCATAAATGAAATACCCAGCAAATGACTCAGAAAATGTGCTATATGCCTTTATGAATTTTAATCATGTACGATCAAAAACAGGGAAAACAGCAAAATATTAGTCCCTGTGAAATTTGACAACTGAACAGTATTTAAGCCCCATTTGAAATACAGAAGAGTTTATCCAATAGGACCAAACAGACATGCTACGACTAGTCTCACTAAGGTGTGAGAAAATGCCACTTGAAAGTTCCTGAATCCTACATGCCAGACTTACATCAACAGACATCCGAGCTTCATTCAGGAAAGAATCCAGACGCCCTAGAAGGCCCTGTACCCCTTTGGCAGGAGATGGGGTATTATCTTCTTCATCTGTAGAATCCTCATTCAAGTTAATGACAACTGGGGCTTGTATAGGAACCTGTTAAAAAAATTAAAAAATCAGGTAAACTGTTTCTGTTACCATTAAACAGATACAATGTCATGTAAACACTTTCCTTCCCCAATATACAGATACAATGTCATGTAAACCCTTTCCTTCACCATTAAACAGATACAATGTCATGTAAACCCTTTCCTTCACCAATAAACAGATACAATGTCATGTAAACCCTTTCCTTCACCAATATACAGATACAATGTCATGTAAACCCTTTCCTTCACCAATACATAGATACGATGTCATGTAAACCCTTTCCTTCACCAATAAACAGATACAATGTCATGTACACCCTTTCCTTCACCAATACATAGATACGATGTCATGTAAACCCTTTCCTTCACCATTAAACACATACAATGTCATGTAAACCCTTTCCTTCACCATTAAACACATACAATGTCATGTAAACCCTTTCCTTCACCATTAAACACATACAATGTCATGTAAACCCTTTCCTTCACCATTAAACACATACAATGTCATGTAAACCCTTTCCTTCACCAATAAACACAAACAATGTCATGCTAACCATTTTATCACTACTAAATGCATACTATATAATTTTTTGTGCTGGTTTCATACTCCACAATTTTTTTTACATCCATTAACTGATAAACAGATTAAAACTGACATGGATTTATCCATGAAATAAAGTGCCCACAAAAATGTATAGTTTTGTAAAACCACCAAATGATTTTACTGTACCTGGCATGTTGTGTTATGCCATACAGCAATGTCATAAATGCTCATGACATACCAAATTATTGAACTTGTTAAAAAATTTTGATATTACATCAACACTCATGTTACATCATCTATTTTCGTATTTTATTACATTCATTATTTCCAGTTGCAAGTTGTAAGAAATAGAAACATCAACTGTTACAATAACATATTACAGTATAACCTTGCTGATCCTGTCTGATAATGCAAAATTTGTTTTGTTTTAATATTTCAACTGTTTGAAGTTTCACCAAAAATGTAAAGCAAGAAGAATGGAATTCTATTTATGTATCTATATTCCTCTTATTTTATCTGTTCTTCAAAAATAGCAAAAACAGAAACATAAAAATTTTTCAAGCTAAACAATATACCACCAACCCTGTTTTATTGTCTATTACAGTCAACAATTCCTATTATTTTCTATATTTTTGTAAATGCTACACATCAGTTACAATAAAAGTTGGACTGATAACATACCTGAGTCAATGTTACTAACTCATCAGTTATAATAAAAAGTAGGACTGATAACATACCTGGGCCATTGTCACTAACTCAGGCTGTTTCTTTCTCTCCTTAACTTTAGCTCTGGTGACCTGCTGTACTGTGTCTGAAGCCGGCTTTGTGATAGGTGATGGAGATATACTACGTGATGACACAGGAGAGACTTCCTCAGATTTACTCTGGAAACCAAATCAAACACTAAATACTTATCAATATATATCTACTAAAATTAAACAACAATACTTATCAACAAACAGATTTTCAAATTATACACTTAATACTTATCGATACATATCTACTTTAAATTCCAACCAAATCAAAGATTAGGCAGAAAGCATGACCTTATTTCAAGGCAGTACTTCTGACAAGACATTGAACAGAATTCTTGTGATCATCGAACACTGCATATACATCCTTATACAGTACCATCTAGAGAAATTTGAAGACACCTGGCTATCTATCGTACAACTATAATACAGTAGAGGAAAATATTTAACTTCTATTTAACCACTCAAAATATACCTCATCTTTGATTCTCTTTCTCTCCTGTTGTTCCTTCTTTTTGATGGCCATCGACCTTAAAAGCTCAGCTCGTAACATGGCTGCTTCATCTCCAAAGATTTCTTCATCTTCATCCTCTGGCATATGTTTTGGAGGAGGAGGAGGAGCCATGTCAGGAGGGGGTTCAAGGGGAAGAGGTGGAGGGGGTTCTTCAGGCAAAGGAGGGGGTGGGGCTGCTTCCTCTAAGGGTAAGGGTGGAGGGGGAGGGGGTGGAAGCAGTGGGTAAGGTAGTACAGGATCTGTAGCAGGGAAGGCCATCACTGCTGGATAGCCTAAAGCTAAGTCCCAGATGTTTTCTGAGTCTAGTAGCAGATTACTGTGCATGTCGAGGGGTTGTGTCTGTCAACATAAAATAAACAACCAATATTAAAACTGTTATACTTGTAAGACAGACCACATTAACATCGAAATTTAACCAAATTATTCAATGTACCATAACACCAGGTATAAGGGAAAGCTACTTTGAGATTTATTTGAGGCAGACTAGACAGCTGGCAATACAGATAAATATGGAAGCTCTTCAAATTATACGCTATAGTGCTGAATATATTGATTGAAGTATAAATAGCATGTATCTTAGATACGGAGATAGTTACCATATACTGTGTGGATTGTTGTACTGTATCTGTATCCGGGACAAGCTGGTAGTCCTCATAGGCTGTCATGCGGTCCGTTGATATAGCTGCAGTAATGAAAATAGACATAGTCATATACACCAAATCAGTTAATAAATTCATTATTGCTGTGTGTGTTACGATGAATTTCAGATTATCATACTACCCAAAACTGTTCTCCTGGCATGTTTTTATATTGCATGTGATCAGATTCTTATTCAAAGCAATCAATTTAATGACAATCACTTATATCTGGTAGATTAATTAGTACCTGGAGACCCTGGGTCACTGTCTATGTCCATGGCCACCTCATCATAATTGTCCTGTAGGGTAGGCTTCTCTGAGAGATGTCCTGTGCCTTTCTTGTCTGTGGGTGACTATAAAACAATTTTAAATATATCCAATGATTTCTGTTAAGTGCACAACCAGTTAAACGTTGTGTAACTTAGATATAAGTTCGATAACTCCTTGAAATCCTAACTCAGATGAATTTTACTTAAACTATAAAACACAGCATTCCCTCTGACCGTAGTTAAAAGAACAGAAAATAGCAGATCTGTGAAATACCAATTACCGCATAGCTTAAATTGTCATTATTTTCATGTTACTAGGTTTTCCTATGTCAGATTAACAAGGACTTCCAAAGTAATAATCTAGATAGGTAATTACCTTGGTACTTTTGACAGAAGTAGGAGATTGCTTATTCATTTTGTTTGGGTATTTTTTGTCAAGAAGTGCCAAAAATCTTGAAACTTGCTCCTCAGCATCATCTAATGTTAATATTTTCTGAATTTGTCTTGTCTGATCTTCACGTTGGCGTTCTGCTTTTCGTCGTTCTTCTTCCTGATGTCGCTTGTCTTCGTCTCTCCTTCTTCGTTGAGGTTCTTGTTTCCGATGGCTATCACTGCTAGGTTTATGTGGCCTTGACCTTGACTGGGTATAACTAGTCCCAGCTCTGCCTGTCGTGGGCCTGGACCTTACACCAGTGGTAGGACCGCTTCGATAGTCTTCTTTTTCTACAAAACAATAAAGATTCCACTGATAATTCTACACATATCATCACAGGTTATCTTTACAAGAGCATCGTTGTTAGATGTCAGAGTTTTGTTATTCTATATTTTGTATGAAGAGGACCTGCTGGAGTTTCCATTCATATGATAAGTGTTTAAATGCAACCATTTCATGAACATAACAAGAAATAGAATCAAATGTATTATTCTGCTGAAAAGAACATTTATTTTCTCAGGATAAGTGACATGTTTAAAAGTTTTCGTATAACCAGAGAAAATGACAAAATTTCATCACAGTGTTTGTTTATATGGTCAGCAGAATAATACAGTGACTGTAAGCCTCAAATGTCTATGTTGCCAAAATGACATTTAAAACAAAGAAACTTCAAATCTAGCCACAACTTTGCAAGAAGTTACCTGAAGTTATCTGATATGAAATTATATTTATTACAGGGGTTAAATAAGTAAGCTAAAGTAACACTAGAAAAATTTCAAATCTTGACCTACTTTTATCATTACTTATACTGCGATTGTCTCCCTTGCGTGGGAGATTAGTTTTGGAACGATGTCTGCTTTTTCTTGGAGAAGATTTTGATGCTGGAGATTTGCTTGCTTTAGGTTCTGATGTTTTTTCCTCTAAATCAGCTTCTTTTTTCAATGATGACTCTAAAGCCATCCGTCGAAGCATTAGCTCATCTAAGTCATCATCCAAGTCCTCGCTTTTCTCCTTCATATGACAGACAAAAAATAATATTAAACAACAATCCAATTACTGTTGTGAGCACAAACAGAATTAACACAAAACTATTCTAAAAGGAGTATAAATATTTGAATAGACTTTCTGGAAAAAGTCCATAAATCTTGTTTCATAACTGTTGGGAATTTCTTAACTGAACAATTCACAATTAAATATTGCATTAATAAGATCTAGCTTGACATAGCCTGTAGTAATATGGTAAGTATGTGCCAAACACTGGAACAGGATTTTTTTTTTTGGTTAAAAAGACCTTTAAACTGTACAAATTCTGAATTGATAATTTTAGTTAATTCCCTGCCTGATAATCTATGAATCACATCCAATATAAAATTATACATGTAACACCTCCAGTTGTTAACTGTATATATTTATATACCTAAACTTACATTTGATTTGTCCATTACTGTCCCATTACTGACAGTTGGTTCATCACTCTTATGTTCCTTAAAGTTTGAGTTGTCAGAAGATACAGGTTTACTTTCTATCTCTGCCTTTTCATCTGACACCAAACTATTGATTGGCTCATCAGGTACTTGTCCAGCCATCTTCACATCAGTCTTCGGCTCCGGCTGTTTGACTAAATCTACTGCCACTTCATCTTTCTCTGCTACAATAGGGATTGACTCTTTAGCAATAGTAGCTGAGGCAGGCACTTTTTTGTCTTCTTTTGGCAACTCAGATTTCTTAACTTGTGGTTTATCAAATTTTGCTAATTTGTCACGTATATTCTTCTGTTCCATTTTATAGCTTTCTAACAAACTATCATATTCATCTTTGGATTCTTCATTTTTCTTTGTATTTTGACGAGATGTCTTCAACTTTCTTTTATCCCAGACTGAAATTTTGGTTAAGGGCAATCACCGTATTATCCATTGATATAACAGATCATATACCAAGTATGTTAAAATCTTGGGAGTTTATAAATCTATACACGTCGTGAATATCTGGAAAATGACTACAATTCTTCATCTTCAATTTTTGCTGCAAATATTTGTAAAATACCCAGGTCAAGTATGTCAACTTAAAAAGATAAATTCATAAGAAAAGTGAATTGTATAATTCTTAGCAGGTTGGGAACTTTGAAATTGTCTTTGAATTTACTAATTAAAATATTTGATGTTTTTTATGTAAGTTGTTGCTTTGTTTTATATATATATGTATTCTACACAAAGAAAAAATAAGTTCATAACACACATCAATGAAACATAACAAAAATAGAAAGATGACTTTCCAAGTGAGCGTCAAACCAGGTAAAATTTATGAGAAGTCAGGCTAGTCTGAGAGAGATAATATAATTATCAAGGATACATCCTGGTGATGCATGTGGTATTGGTGTGTCAGGCTCCCTGGGCCTTGGATCCACCCACTTATTACATTCGTGCCACTCTCTCATTCCTCTAGCTCGCAACAACGGGGTAGGCATCTTCCGAGCTGTTAGAGGAGGTGGCCCGGGAGGAAGTGGCGGTGGATATCTTGTCACGTGATTACTATTCGGATGGATTCTGTCGTAATGAGGTAGATTAGCTACAGGATGAGGCCCATGGCCATGACTATAGTCAAAAACCTGAACATGCCCACGAGCTCCACCCTGACTGGAATTCATGTGCATTTCTTTCTCCTTCCAGTTAGTATTATGCATTGGTCGGTATTCCTTTGCCCCGTATGAATGCACAGGAAACCTCCCAGACATGTTCGTTTCTCGCTTGTCAAAGCTGTCATTAGACCTGGGTCTACTATTAGTGTTTCTGTCGACATCTCCACGATTACTGAAGTAACGACTTGATAAGCTTTTACTCGGTTCCACGATATCATCGTCGTCTGATAATTCGCCTTCTTCTTTAGTGGAATCGTCGTGTAGTTTCATTGTTTCTGTTCCTTCCATATTGTCCAGTTCATTGTCAAACACAACCAGTTTCACTTTCAAACCAGACCGATTCCGAAACTGAACAAATATGGCGTCAAAGTGCACGACTTTAAAGGGACATAACTCTCTAATGTGAAAGGCACGGTATATAGGATAGCTTTGGGCAAACTTGAGAGTGTAATGTAATATTCCGGTAGAGTGTGAATACTTTCAAAAGAGAGAAAGAAAGACTGGTCAAATTTTAGGCCTGTAAGTATGTGTCCATAGAATTGATTTGTATGAAATGTGAATATTAACGACACCTGTTATTATCAAATAGTCATTAGATAGATTTGTGTTACCATTACCAGAGACGTATATAACACATATACGTCTCTGCCATTACCAAGTGAAAAATGACGTCAGTCTGTACAGTAACTCCCGATGTATTTTTCACATTTAAAATAAATCCTACCAGGCAGATGACTAGCTTCCCAGTACGCGTGCTTATGATTTTAAAGACAGTTGTATGGTGTAGTTATTTCACGATTTGTCTCTACTGTGTCTATTTATAAATTTGTACTGACGTGCTATTCACTTGTGTCCATATTCACTATGTTAATAATGTAATGTTAGTAAAAAGTCATGATGTTTATTTTTATGCATTTGAAATTTGCGTTTGTTCATCGATATCCGCCACGTAAATCTTGGTCAAATCAAGTATGTTACGTCATGTTCTCGAGTATATATAACAACAGAACTGCAAGACACTCTAACATGCATCAAACACGTCCAATTTCATACCGCACATCGAAACAGAACAATTCCCAATGAGATGATTATGACGACCGTAACACTTTCCCATAATCTTCATCAGCCTGCATCTCTCGAAACCAGGGTTTTTTCTAGTAGTTGTGACATTTACACGAAAAACGTGATATTTGAAACTAATCACGAATCAACATAGAACACTAAAGGATAAGGACGGAAGAATGTTACTATCCGGAAATGAAAAATTCGCAATAGGGAAATTGAAAGCATCACGTTTATCATATCTATAGCTTAGTAAGCGGCTGATGTAGTGTGAATTATTGGGATGATGAACACCAAAATATTAAAGTATACAAAACGTCAGTATTATTTGGAATATAAAAATATAAGAGTCTGCTTTGCGCGTGATTTCCAGCTTTGGCGGTGTTTAAACGATTGACAATTAATTAATCTCTTGTTATTTGAAGACATTAGTCAGTGAATTGACTTCGGACTAGCGCGGTGTGAAATGTCAGACGTGATAGAGGTATAGTTAAGAGTTGTCTCCCTTACATCGTGCCGCTGACGTATTGTTGTCCCCGTATATTATTCAATTTTCCTCAACACTGTCAAATAGATAAGTTCTGTTATCGGTGTATATCCCTTCTATGTTTTACAATGATACTTTCTTGAGTTCAGCATTTTTTGGCCTCTAACAACAGCTGTACGGAACAGCTTTATCATTTATTCTTCAGCAAAATACAACCTCGCTGCTCCTGGTGGCATGTGTCTTTTGTTTTGCCGTTTTTATTTCAGTACTATAATACAATAAATTTAATTGATTACAAGATTCACTTCTTTGCAGTTGTGAAGCAAGCAGTAATACACCTCACCAAGGATATTAGAATTAAGCAACAGGAATGTCATTGGTCATAATTCCAGTCTATATTACATCCAGTCCCTATTCTACACTGATAAAATTTTACACATGTTATACAGTACAATAGCCAGGATCATAATAAATATCGTGATATTTGAAACTAATCACGAATCAACTGTGACACAGAACACTAAAGGATGGGGACGGAAGAATGTTACTATCCGGAATTGAAAATTCGCAATAGGGAAATTGAAATCATCACGTTTATCATATCTATAGCTTAGTAAGCGGCTGATGTAGTGTGAATTATTGGGATGATGAATATAAAACGATCATTTTCCAATCAAAAAGGCTTTTTGTCACCATTAGTTTATTTTTAAAATTCTGAGTTATAACTCACAACTTTACTATAGCATTAAAATCAAAACTAGAGTTATCTCTCTTTGTACCCTGAACACTACATGGCTGCTTTGTGGTATCGCAGATTGTGTCAATTACAGTAGGTCGCCATTAAACGTGTTGTTCATTCTGTAGTTAATGCCATCACGGACTAAAGCCGAAGTCCATCATATCATTGCTTACCGTTAAAGCACACGTGATAGAATTAACGCCGATTAAACAAATGCGCCAATACCACATATTTTATAGAATGCAAATCTATTTAATTATTGATTAATTCGCTCTCTCTCTGTCTTTTTAATCATTAAATTATTATATTTCAATATCTCGGCGTGAACGTAATGTACTAATACAGGCCATTATCTCTACACCCTTGGCTATTGTATTTTGGTACTTCTGACGGACATGTTTTGTATTTTGTAGAGCTCGCGACAGGACAGATTGCTACGTTACATTATGACGACGTATATGATATCTAAGTAATGTTTCATCATTAATCTGTCATCGAGCGTACGTCACAGTCACGTGACACTGATCTGTCATCCGCCTGACCTTCACCTCTTCATCACACACCCTATCACAAACATCATTGCGTTATGACCCATTACTCCGTGTGCGTATTTCTGTGAACCGCAAGTCAGAATTACTGAGGAGTACCTCTGCATACTTAATCATGGCCGCGTGTTGACCCCTAGACCCTTCAAAATAACCGGAAAAAACAATAACCAGTTTGAGATATCTTTGAAAATGATATATACGCATTGTAATATCTTCGAAAAGCAAACTAAATTGGACAATGCGCAATTTTATATAATTAAACATACGGTTCTGACTGATAAACATGTTGTTTTTGTGTGATATAGGTCACAACGTTTTCAATTGAAAAAAAGAATCACGTATTTAGAAAAAAATATATTCTAAGCCTGTGCAAAAATACGTTGTTCACTACCAGTGTTTCTATGCCCATGTTTAATAATGGCGTTGTAATTATCTCGCGCTAGATGACATATATCATACCTTAAATCCCAAGTCTTTCTGACTAAATAGAGACTTATATTTGCATTTACAATGTTATGTCACTTATAATTCACAATAAATGCCATCCAAGGACTTGCCATTATGATTTCATTAGTGTGAGTTCAGAGACGACAAAGTCGGTAGGGTATGTAAACCTCAGTCTTTCTTGTTCTGGTCTTATTTCCCTGGATCTTTTTCAAGGGTCTCTGTGTTAGTCTTCTTTTGTTCATATTTTGTCTTGGAATCTGTCAATGTTCATGTACATATCAGTATTTTTTGTCTTTTGAAAGTTTTCATTCGGTATGTTGTGTCCAGCTCTGCAGCCGTCTAGTGCGTCGCTGACTTGGCAACCAATTTGGCGTATTTGAATATCTCAAAAATCGAAGTGACTTATTGCAAACGTATCTAAATCTTGTCAAATGAAAGTGGTGTCTATTACGCGTTTGAATAAGTTGTATGGTGTAAAAAAAAACCTAATTTATAAATCCGTCATTTAATAGTTTTCAATCTTATGCTGGCAGTTTGTTACCAGGAAACGGATGTTGAAATCCGGTTCACTTACAATCGCCGCTGAAATTCCAACATAAAGATATCTTTTCAGAATCAATTCAGCGATCTAATTGTTACATTTGAGTTATTGCTAAATTGCAAGCCAACACTTTATAACATTTGTATTGGTTATCGAGATTGTACCAAATGACCTACACAAACTGCCCATAAAATGTCCACCACACACCCGCCCTAGGTTCACAGCCGCTACCCACGTACTAATTATGCGTCCATTTCCGCCTTACCTGGCCCCGAGTCAGGTGTTATCAGATTGGTGACGTGAAAGGTAAGGTACACAACCGGTACTGTCATCATACTGACCATGACCTGACCAGTCCAGCGTTTCCTAGTATGGCCAACTGGTAATTGCTTTGAGGATTGGTGTCCAGTACTAGCATCAATACATGAAAGTTATTGCTTTGCAATTACTCGAGGCATTAAATAGACCCCGAAGCCATTCAAACCCGATCGGGTCAGTTCAAAGAAATCCTATCTGTCCTGATTGGGTATCTTTCCCTTCACTGGCCCTTCTTATTCAATCAGGTTCTCAGTTTTCCTTTTTCAGAAGGTCTCTTTTCCAGTTTCTAGTTTGGTAATCCCAACCTCTAAAATCTCTGCATGGGATTTTAAACCTAAATATGAATTGGTTTTACATAACTTTGAATATTGAGATGGTTTCAAATGGAACCCAGAAAAAAAGCATATTGTTGGAAATGCAAGAGGTCTTTTCATTTAATATGCCTCCAATACTTTTCTGTAAGGATCAAATCAGGACCTCGTAACAGATGTGATCTCTAGCAGAGCAGTAATGTTGTTGATATTTGATAGAGTAACATCAACAGTTCATATTCCAACATCTCTGGACAAACTGGTTAAATGGGCCATACACAAACCCAACCTACCTTCAACATACAGGGGAGATGCTAGATAGGGTACTCGTTTTTTGTGTATCAGAGTGGCTTATTGTTGTCAGAAACTTGGTTCCCCTCAACAGTCGGCCATTATATGAATCTCCTCTCTATAGTTCATTTTCGATGCTCCAGGTCGAAGTTCTTTCATCAGTTCATCTTGGCTGTAGATAGGATGATGGTATTTTCTTCAGTCAGGTTTATCTTGATGATAATCTGTTGTAATGTGACCAGGCATTAGTATCTGGTATACTTTCATATGCTATCCAGCATCTCTAAGGAGTAATTGGTACTGGAATCTTAAAACCCATACTTGTACTTTAAATGTTATGTCACAAATACTTCTGTAAGTATTTCTAAGGGATGGCAGAGTGTGGCTGTCATATAGAGAGTTATGGTCCCTTTTTCATTTTTATAACAACAGATGGATGTTGGGCACTAGACTTGTGATATTATCACAATCTGCCAATTATAAGTATTTCTTGCATGGCAGAGTAGGACATCTCAAAGAGAGTTATGACCCTTTTTTATACCAAATGGATATTTGGCACTACACTCTTTATAGTACCAAACTTTGCCGATTCTGTAGAAAACACAACAAATTCAAGATTTATAGTATATTATATTTTATTATTGTTTGTTCATATGGATTGCTTAGTGGATATGCTACTTTTGCTCCAGTATTTGTACAAGATAAAATGCTGTTCACTGGTACACTACATACATCCATACCCAAACCTCTTGCCCAATACAACAAGGTCATCATGGCAACCAGTCACTTTATCTCTTGTCCTTTTATTTAAAACTTAATATTTGGGAATTATCAGCATTATCAAAACACTTGTAAATTTCAAATTAAAAAGTTTAAAAAAAAGCTGAGAATTAATAATGTTTTGCCATTTTGATGATTTTTTGATTTGCTTTATATTGAGAAAACATTTAACAATGTAACGCTAATTTCAGCTTTAGTTACATTTCTTCCCTGTGAATCTAAAAGCATCAATTCGAACTCTCACAGGAATTACAGTTGCTTTATTGTTAGTATGTAAACTGCTTATCAAAATTGTTTTGGTTTCAATCAATATTATGCAAGCTTTAGTGTTAAAATAAGCAGAATGTTGTCTAAAATCTTGCACCAGTTCTTGTATATCAAAGAGGCAACAAGTTATTTATAATAACGTGTACAGAGGTAATTTGAAAAATCAGTAATATTGGCACGAATGTTTTATACATGTAGCTCCCAGGGAGTCTTGTATGTACAGATATAAATAACCCGTCATGCTCAAAATATACATTACATTGCATCATGGGATTTTCTCCAATCAGATATACAAGAATAATTACAAATTTACAAATTCACGCCCAACTTGAGGTCAGCTCAGAGGTATTCATATGTAGATAAAATACAAGGTTATGTACTTTGATAAAGGTATTTCTACAGTTATAGCACATTACTTAGGAAAACAACTCATGACAATTTTAGTCAGTTATGACATCTTTCAGAAAGCACTGTAAATTTCAGTCTGGCTATAATTATTTCATTTTTTTAATGTCTATTTCCTTGAAAGTTAGTAATATTTCTTAAACAAGTTGCTGCCTTTTGTGTTTGTACAGATTCATAACCATTAGCCATACATACGCTTACACACACAGAAGTCATTAATACAAACATACAAACACACATTCTTGTTCTCCAAACACAGACACAATACAACAGCGTAATCTCTTACTGGTTTTGAATATCATTTAATACAAACATAACTTTTATTTTGTATAAAAAGAAAAAGGTATATCAGCTGTTCCTTTTGCTAAAAAATCAGCAAATATTGCTACTAATTCATACAAAAATCTGAGCACCCTAAAGACCAAATTCTTATGCATTTTGGTAGCAAAGTATTTAATCAAGTGTCTTTTTCCATATAAACCTTGTTAGTATTTTATAGTACAAACCATTAGATTGATCTGTAGAATCTAGGAAATATCACAGGGGCAGTGTTGCTGTAGTCAGTTTTCCATGGTAACACATAACATGGAACACAAAGGCACACATTTAGACCTATACATCACACATACGAGATGTCTGTGTAGTAGGTCCTCGAATATGATACGACTGAGTCCTGCTCATCTGAACTACTTGTGGTATCCCGTCTACTTTGCCCTGAGTAGCGACTAGAGGTGTCTGAATCCTCAGCAGAACTGTCGTGTGTTTGTGGTCCCTCCCCTCGCACTCGAGAGTGAACACTATGGGGCCACGTAGGAGGTGTACTCCTACCACCCGTACTTCCAGCACTACTACTACTTGAGGTACTCATTCGAGTGTTGTCAATGTTTCTACGAAAGGGTGGAGGAGGTTGGTATGGAGGAGGTCCAGCTACGGAGGTCTCCGTAGTGGCCTCTCCACTTTTACCCTGCTTCTGGTAGATTGTCCTGAGATGTTTTACACTCCAGGGAAGTTCAGAAGAGTGTCTCACTTCCTCATTTCTCCTTCCTGGAGAATTGCTAAATTTTCTCAAATCCGTGCCTGTTGTGGTTGCAATACTAGTCCGATGTTGTGACATTCTTCCATCACCACGATTACCACTCACCACTCGTGAACCTGAATGTTTTCTTAGAACAACCTTATCAGTTAAGTCTTTATTTGACACATGATGCTGAGGGGAGTCCTTGGCTGAAATAGTCACATTTTCCAGTTCTTTTGAGAGATTTTGGCTAACATTGTCTCTACTACTCTCTGTTGAGTATCTAGAATCCCGTGAGGAATCCCGACTAGAACTGGTACTATACACTGTTTTCTCATACCCCTGGGGGGTCCTGAAGGCTGGGGATATGTCTCTTGATTTAGCACTGTTTTGAGCATAGTTGGTTGAGTAAGATTCAGCCGTAGGGAACACATGTCTGGTGATGACTGGACTTGACTCAGCCCTCTCCCTATAACTGGGAGAGGCTGCCAACTGGGTGTCTGTTACAGTGTCCGAGGAACTGTTGGAAACACTAGAAGAGGAATAACTCAGTCTGCTGTTGTTGTTAGGAGAAGCAGACCTATTGTGAGGGGATATTCCCATATTGTCTGGGGAAAGTCCTCTGTGATGAGGGGAGCCCCCTCGTGTGTTTGTACGCGAGTCCCTCCTCACAGTTTCTGTTGCTAAAGGTGACCGTTCACGCTTAGGACTTTTCCTCAACATGTGGTCAGCTGAGTCACTATAACTTCGGTGAAGGTTACATACTGGTACAGCCAACGTTTGACTGTCTCTAACTGGTGACATGCTACCTGAGGAATGGCCTGTCTTAGAGTTGTTGCTCTTTACGTCACCTTGTACAGATCTCTCATATGCTTTTCTTGACTCCTCATACAATTTTTTGGGATCTTTCTCAGGTTTTTTTAGCTCAACATAAATATCTTCCTCTGTTTTACCCTCATATTCCTCAACACTATCTTCCTCCACTTTCCTTGCTGGTGATGCCTGAGGTAGGAAACGCTGAGTACTAGGACTGTTGAGGTGTTCCTCCATGTATTTCCTCAGAGAATCCTCATACAGCGATTTGGCTTTAGCACTGGCTTCTTTCTGTTTCTTTTCATCACTTTCTGTGATTTCAATGGGAATGCCTTGTGAAAGCATGAAGTTCCTCTGAAGAGCCATGTCATATGATGGAGGGTGGTCTGGTCGTACTTTATCTGGAGTATTGGTGAGTGTTTTGTTAATCTCGCTGTCACTTTCACTCCTACGAAGTGTATTAGGAGATGATGTAGGATGTTTTGATATCACGGTAGGAAAGTCTGATACGTGATCTACGTCTCTTCTTGATTCAATATCAAAACTACTCTTGCGTACCTGAGAAACTATAGCACTATCATAACTTGCCCTAACAGGAGTGTTCTTCTGACCCTGTCCTTGGCGCATGCTTTGAAGGACAATGCGTGGAGGAGGAGATGTACCAAGACCAGAACTGTACCTGCTAATCTGTTTCAATGGCATGTTTGAGGAGTATGCCTCTCCCTTTGGTGGAACCACAGAGATAGCTGGCTCAGTTGACCTCGGCCTGTGAAGTACCTCCTCTGAAGCATAAGACGAAAATGGAAGTTTGGGCTTGCTGATGATATCCTCTGCTTCCTTAGATGTTGTAGATCCAGACCCCTTGGACAGATTTCCTGATTCCAATGGGAAAGACCGACACACAGACAAACTGGTATGAGCTCTAGGACTTTGGTAGGTTGAACTAGGGGAATTATGATAGAAGCGTGGACTTGACACAGACTTTGCACCACTTGAGCGTTTCCTTTGTGACGAGTTGTTGAAGTCCACAGACGAGTCATCAAAGCTATGTTGCAGACGATGTGAATCCATGCTGCTGTGGTAATCATCCCCACCATACCAAGACATGCTCATGTCACTGAAGTCTGTATCATGACTTGACTGGTGTGGCAGATAGGAACTTGAGGAATCAGTCAATACACTGTCCACACTCTCACTAAATGAGTATTTTGATTGTGGTGACATAGGAGGTGTACTTGTCACAGATGCCTGGCGAGTAAGCTTGTCACGGTTAGATCGCCCAGCAGATTTAATGTCTAAACGAGAATCCTCATTGTCTATATAAAGATGCATCCCACTGGCTGACTTAATCAGAGTCTGCTCTGACCGTTGCAGTCTTTGCCAATTTCCAAATTGTTCACTAGCAATATTAACACGATCTTCAATGCTCCTGAGCGATTCAGATGAGCTGTCATGATTGTACTGGTGGTACGCGTCAGCACTAAGACTTTGTGATAAAGGGGATTTAGGACTATTGTCATATCTGTTATCACCTGACCGAGAGTAAATTGTCTGATGACGATGCATTTCCATATTAGGTGATGGGTCTGACACCTCGTTTTCCTTCCGTTTGCTTTTTCTTGGAGGCGGTTTAGGATTGTGATGTCCATATTCATAGACGTTTTCACAGCTTTGGCTACACACATTGTCAAAACGTCCACTTTTCTCATTGTCTCTATCAATGTACTGTGACACACTGCGACCATAACCTTTTCTGTCCACCAGCATTTCCACACTGCTGTTGTCATCATCATATAACTGGTTGTCGCTCAGCATCAGTCCTGAGTCACGACTCAGGTTAGATGGTGAAAGGTGACTTTTAGCCAGATTGGGACTTGAATCCATGTCTGGTCCTATGTAAACTTCTCGTTCTAGACTGTCTATAGACGAGTCATCACGACGATTTGTACCACCACCTGAAATGACAAAAGATGCATTTTGAGCAAGTGTGTTATATGTTTGTAATTTGTGTTATCAATTTCATTCTAAGAATTTTTTTAATATCAAAAGTTAAAAGGAATCTATTTGTAAATTGTTTGCGAAACTCAATTCTGTGAAATGTGTCATTAGGTCATTTTAATACAAAAGAGAGGGTTCATGTTGATTATACTGGCAATGATAAGGCTTTTTCTAGGTTAATGATAATTTAATGATGTTAGATTTGACTAGGTAGGTCATGTTGACCACCTAAGTAGTTCAACTATAAGTTACAAGCTTCCTATTGAATCAGATAAATTTCTGACACCAATTGTGACTTGCTGGCAATCAGCCCTAGACCTGAGATGGCAATTATTATATTTAACAGTGATTTGACACAAGATTGACTAAATTGAGGTTCTTGAACGGGACAAATATAAACTCCATAATGTCATGTTCAATGGATTCAGGCCTTAATATGAAATATAATATGTGGTTATCACTGTACAAATGGCATTTCCAACTAATGTGTGATCCCCTCTGTTAAAGGCCCGCTAAAACAAAGGCTGTTAATCCAGGGGCCAATCTCATTGTCTATGCTACCTCTACACCAGTCAATTCTCTAGGACTGACATTTAAATCTAATGAAGCAAAAATTGTTTATATCACAATTAGTGTACAATTAAACTTAAGGAAGATATTGTGCTGGGTGGCCAATCAGCTAAGAGTTTATTAAGTGTGTGTTACATAGACTTCAAAATTAAAAAAAAAAAATTGATTCCTGTTACATTCATTTTTTTTAATTTTCAATTTCAAAGTTTAAAATATTTGAATATATATTGTATACAGTGCATCAAATATTTCTCTTACAATTAAAGCAAAATTGTTAAAAAAAGATATTTATGAACACATACTTTGATGTGCTTTAAAAGGTGGATAATGTGATAGATTTTGTGATAACAGCACACACTGTCCATGTACATATACCGCCCACACTGTCAACTCAACTCAAACATGTGGTGTCCAATTTCCACTGATTGGGGCTGGATTGACCATTCAGTTTTACAATTAGTCATTTATTTTTATCAACTACTGCCCCTAGTATGGATGAGTAATATCTACAGTCTGATCAGCTGAGATATCTTGCTTTAGGCTATCAAGCCAAACTACAAATTCAACATGATGTAAGCTGAGAAAATAATTGTATGTAGGTGTACTATCAATGTCGGCAGAGATATAAGGTGTATCATTGTTACTCACTTTTATGTTACATGACTTAGTAGTGATATTAGAACAAAGATAATAGTCTCCTGATAAGGTAAATGAGGTTCCAGTTATATAGAATTTCACTATTACACTTTATCACAAGATACTTACTGCTGGAGTCGGGCATGCTCAAAACACTGTGCATGCTGTCCGAATCTGTACTGGAATCTTGTCGTTTCTGATCACAGGGATTTCCGAAAAGTAGAAGTGATTCTTCACCAAATACCTCGCCACAGTTTTTGATGAGGTAGGCAACAATAGCTAGTGGGGTAGTGCTGGCTAAATCCTTCAAGGGGTCAGTCTGTGATCTTGACCAGAGAATACTAGGAGCAATACACACAGCCAAATTATACGCTGTCATAAGGTTGTCGGAACTTCTTTTCTCAATATAATACAACACACACATAAGGTGTCGCAGCAGGTCAAAGTGACAGGGAGGAAGCTGTATCAGCAGACTGTAACAGAAATAAAACAGTTTTAATTGAGGACTTATATATAAAAATAAAACACTAAAAACATGTTGAATTACTTTATCTATTCTAATTCCTAACTGAACTCAATACTATTTTTCCTGTGCACAAGTTCAAACCTGTATCTGAACTATCATCTTTCCAAAAGTGTTGATGTTTTTCTTCATGCTGGGATGTTTATTTCATCTATATTTCTCATTTAAGATTCTATCTGAAATTTTATATTTCACACCTTGAAAAATTCTTTTATTTTCTTAATCGAGAAATTCCCAAAACATGATAATGATCGAGTATGCAGCCAACTCTGAATTCTAATTGATTTTTCAGACAGGTAAAATGCCATGAGCCAATGACCAGTGTAATTAGCATACCTGGACAGCAGTGTTTACCTGAATTTAATGAGGCTCTATAAATTACCTGACAAGGTAATGGGGTGGGACGCTTTAACACTCACCCAGTCAATGGGGGACCACATATCACAGATGACTAATTTCCTGAATTCCCTTCCCTTATTTAAACTGCAGTCACCAACTTCTAAGAACTTTACTTGAACACTCACCAGTCAATGGGGGACCACAAATCACCAATGACTAATTCCCTAAATTTCCTGCTCCCTTCCTAAAACAGTCCCCTACCTAACAGAATTCCAGACTCTACATAGGTAATATCAATCAAAATGAAATCTTCTATAGTAATAGGATTTAGTTGCTGTTTATACTAATGGAAGTTTTTCCTAGTATCATTCAGGTTAAATGTCTGTGGCTTATTTGTTTAAATTTCAGAAAACTTGTGAGGTCTTTCAGAGGTGAGGTAATACGGAAGTGATTTGGAAAGTTGGCATTGCACTGAAGCTCAGTTGAGCATATCTGACAGGTGTAAACCTCAACTATGACAAGATTTACCTGTAGTAATACACAGGTAATTACAATGTTGGTGTTCAAAGTGTGTAGTTCATGTACAGTGATGATGGGTCAGTGCCTAGTCATATCTACACTAACATGACTCATTACCAACATTATAACTCTTCCGATATGCCTGGTGTATTTAATTAAGTCATACATTACAGTGTGTTGTATCAACTTTATTCAAAAAGGTTTTGTTGGCTTGTACTATAATTCTACATTGTTGATGACTTACCTTTTCACTCGGGCAAGCTTATGTGGACTGTTGTCGTTTTTATCATCGTTAAGACTTAACCAATCATCATATAACTTGTCTAATAACAAACATTCAGGTAAACTTCGCAAGTACTCCTGGAAAAAAATCAACAACATCAAAATTAGACTTTGTCTTCTTATAATTAACGCAGATCAATAAAATATGTGTAGGTTTTTTATCAATCGAACCATTATCCAAGTCGTGACATAATATATTTATTGATTTCAGAACTGAAATTCATACAAGTAGTGATAGCAACAAGGAAACATTCTATTATAGAAACTTTGACCTTTACCTTGACCTTTAACTTGACCTTCAATTTGACTTAACTTTTGGTCTAATTTGACGTTTGATCTCATTTTACCTTCAGACAAACTTGACTTACATACCTTGAGTACAGCACCAACAACCAGAGCACCAGTATCTTCATCTAAGTCAGCATCATCCTCATCAAGTCTGAGTCTCAACTCTCGCTGTTTCTTGGCATTTGCGGACTTCCTGAAGATTCCTGTTGTGTGTGGTCCTTCCCGGAATAATATCTTGAGAAGCTCCTGTAACATTTAAGAATAATTATGATTTCAAGAAAAACAGAAGAATATTAAACTATCTTTACGTTCTTTGAAAGATATCTGGAAAATAAAATGAAAAAAAATTCTTCAAATTTAAATTAAAACAATGATAAGTAACTTTTCACATTCTGAAATATTGCCCTGAAATCATCAATAAAGCTTTGGTCAATATCATATTTAAAGAAGATAGTAACTTACCATGATACACTTAGGAAGACCATTAGCAGTGATAACATCCTCCAGTGGATGTCCAAACAACTTCCCAGATGGTGCCATGTTGTTGTTCTTGTCATCCTTATTTCGACGAAAGAATTTCATAAGACTTTTGCTCCTGTCCTTCTTGCCATGTTTTGCCATGTCATCTGTAAAGTTTGAAAGACAATTGTATTAAGAGAGAGTAGCGGCTAATCAATGTACCAGGATATCCATTAGTAATTTCTATTTTATATTTATTTATTTGTCTTCTGATGAATGATTTTTGTTTCACTGAAGCTTGATTAACACTTTAGAATCATCATCTACATCTTTAATCACCAATTATTTAAGATTCTGTCCTATCAAACTTGTTATTTTCATGTGACATAAATAAAATATTTTCTTTAATTTTCTAAATCCCATAAAATTGTTTTTAAAAACAACTTGTATAACCTGCAGATAATTTTTTAGAATTCCAATAACAGCTGATAATGAAATGTCAACGTACTTTAAATCCTATTAAGTTGTTTTTGAAAAACAAGAAAAAAGAAACCTAGTTCAAAATTCTACAAACAAGCTACTGAAGTGTGATTTGTATTTAAGTGTGTGTAATCTGTTCAGTTATTTGTCTGTGCCTTTCCCTAACCATCCCTGACCATTGGTCAAAACAAGGTACTACCATTTAATGTCAGACTAATACATAAGGTAAGTCTAGTGGTCAAAACAAGAAATTGACAATAACTTGTATAATTCCATTTAACAACAAGTACTTAGTATAAAAGTACTGGTATTATCAGTGAAACTGTAACAGTACATAGCCATGTTGATCAACATTGAGCCCACGCAAATATCTTACAATTATTTCTACCTTTCTGACTACCAACCCTTCCTCAATTTATCCCAAGTAAAAACATTTTTGCTGACTTTCCTTTGTAAAACATTTTGATCTGATGTAATAGGTATAGAACCAAGGCCGAAATTTGACCGTTATTGCTATAAGCTTCTTACCTAAATCATTGTTAAAAATGTGTCCATGTTTTTCACACTCTCGTGTAAGAATTGCTGAAGAGCTTATAACATTACTTGGCCTTCGTCTTTATACTCAATAAGATGGATTATTACAATTAGCAATTTGTTAGTAAAAAACAGGGTCAAAATCGTGAATGAATATGAAGGGAATGCCATCCCTGAAAAGCAGTAGACCGGATAGTGGAGTGTGAAGCACTGATTTGTATTATATGTGAATGGCACAAATAGCTGTAGGCTCTATCTGTGGTTTGTAAAAACAAGCGTGCCTGTCAACCGTGACAAAGAAAATGTAGAAATTTTGAGTAGGATGGCATGTCCACGGTATCTAAACACCAGAACAGTGAGAAATATACACATCATTACATTTTCTAACTGGTATAGAATGGCCCCTACAGATCCTCATACACTCAAGTCCCCCAGGCACATGTTCATTATGTCACTTATGTCAATGTCGTGTTTAAAATTGAACAAGTTTTGAAATATGTCAAGTGACAATTTCAGTATGAAGAGCAGGTTATCCTGGTGGGAGGTGTTATTTAGCCTAACAACTCTACACCTGTCTATATATGGCAAATTCCAAGAAGGAAATGAGATATACCATACATGATATTTATCACAGGTAGATGATATAACTGTCACACTACCTGATTTACATGTTTTAAATGAAAAATATGATCTTATTACACCATCAAATAAATTATATACAAAAAATAGGAATACCTTTTCAAATTGTACTTTCATAGTGAAGTTTCTATTTATACAACAGCCAGACCATTTTACTCTACAGTATTACTAATTTATATCAACAACAGATTCTAACTTGGTACACATCTACTACTGAATTATTTAGAGGTTATGTAAATCAAATAGGTCGCTGTACATAACTGACATGCTAAATACACCTCAACATTCTGTAGAATAATGAAAGCCTACATTATCCAAACAATTTATTGACATGAAGTTTCATTTCCGACAATATGGGTATGCAAATAACTAGCCTTTGACAAAACAAACAGGCTGTAAGGACAACAGCAGAACTAAGTCCCCCTAAAATCAATGATCAGATCTAGGTGAGATATCGATTACTATCTGGTAATATTATAAACCTCTATTGTCTAGAAGGACTCAACCAATCAAATCCCTCCTTATTTTACGTTTATCTAGTAATTTTTCATACACACAGGGTTTAATACCTGATTTTTGTATCTTGCAATTGATTAAGGATAACTGATCTTAGCCATATTCTAAAATGTTACATGTTAAAGGTTAAAGACATTAACTTGTTTCTCCTTGGTCAGGATCATGACGTAGGATTTTGAAGCATCCATCAACCGGGATTTAGGATGTTCTATGATAATTACCTCCATAGCCTTTCTTTGGTGACTTCTTATTGTGTTTCAGGTAAAACTGACATCTAAGATCAGCAGGTGCTTCGTCCAGGACTTTATCATAATCTGCTGGAATTATGGGTTCATCTGGTTTGGTCTGGTAAATATCACGGACATGGCTCATCTTTATATTGAATGGGTTCTCGTGGCCTGTTAAAATAAAAATAGATTTCTGTGACTAATTGCTTGGACATTGTTTTGTCTCTATACAACAAGTACTAAACTATCTTGTTTTGTCATTTCATAACTAATAAATCATTTTAAGGCATTCGTGCCAAAAATGAACAATATATCTTCAAAACATACACACTGCCTTTACAACAGAAATAGCCATATAAGGAGTGTGTATGTATTATATCCCTGAGTGTATAACCTCTACACAGTAAAAGGTTATAAAAAATACATTGTTTACTATAACTGTACATTTATATGATTAGCAGTTGTCTATATATCTAATATATTATCATCTGTAGCTTTATTAAACTTGTCTTTATTCTTCCAATTTGTAGCTTTATTTTTGTTATAATTTTTTTTTTGCAATCATATACACACAAGTTGATAGGATATGTCAATTATACATGTAACTACATGTCACTTCTACAAATGGGTGATTGTTATCAGTCTGAGATACCTTACAATAAAACAGAAATTAAGTACAGTGATCAGGCTAATCCTTGACCACTGACTAAAGACTTTGGACAAATGTACAGGTTAACGAAGATTGTACAGGTGAGAGTACCACAACAAACATATCAACACCATTACACTTACCTTCGTCTATAATGAGTAACATGATCACTTGTAGAACATTCAATAATCAGGTTCACAATGTTTTATATGTTGTGGAACATGCAGCACTTATAAGTATATAAAATCCCTCGCTGTCATATTTACTGTACAAGCTTTAAATCCACAGAACACTAGCATGTACGCACACATCAAACACCACCGAAAAACTGATCAATCTGAGGCCGTCCCCAATCTACCAGTACAGGTAAAGGGGTGGGCTCTAATCACTGAGGACCTGTCAGTTACCTGGCTGTGCCATGATCCATGGAGTGTTTTTATACTTGTGACAAAGGGACCGTGACAAGTTTAGGCTACGTAGGTATGTACGTAAGTGCTTGGGCCTAGGTAATATCTACCTGTACAGATATTTACTACCTGTATCTCACCAACTCTTAGGGCTTGTTCCTATAATTTACCCATGGGCAGATAAGATTATACCATTTAATGAAATAATTTTACAAATCTCTTCAGAATGACGCCAAACTTTACAACACTGATATTTATAGTCAACAAGTTGGAATGTACCAGTGTATTTCACAAAAACAACAAAACAGACGTTGTGATAGGTGGAGACTTAACTTATTAACAAACATGGAGCCTTTATCGATATCAGGCAGTGTACTGGTCTATAATTAACCAATTTATCTCCAATTAGATATGGCATGGCTGAGACAAAAGTGCCATTATCCCAGGCTAGGTGCTGACAGGATTAATCTGGCTGGGTTAAAGCAGTGCCCTTTCCTTTTTTTATCAAAACAATACCTTGTTATAGGTTTTACTGTGACATTTTATACACTAGTACAATTATCAAACAAGTACATAATGAAAAGGTCAGCATATTTCTTTTAAGTAATAGACATTTCAAACTAGTTAAATTCTAAACAGAAAATTAATGGAATTTATAGAAAAGGGTATTAGGAGGAGACAGTATTTATTGTTTACAAATCTGTAAAGAACAGAAATAGGAAATAGAAGGGAGTTTTTATGTGGGCGTTACACAATAGGTAGAGGGCGATGAACCATGACATAAACAGAAGTAGGCTATGATGAAATACTGGCGCTGGTCAGACAGGTGAGTAGAAGTGAGTTACATGTGGATTGTCACATATTATATAAAGCACTGGTATTAAGGTTGTGTTATCAAATGTCCAGGTCTAATGATCGAGCATTGTAAACTGAGTTTCTCCTTTCATACAGATATTTCAGGAATTCATAATAGGAAACATACACACAGTGGGATCTCCGAGTAATTATCCGTACGTTTAACTTACACCAAACAAAACATTTAACAAACATTTTTTTGTAGGCGTAAAAGTCTACTTGACATAATACACAAACAATTAAATTCAAAACTCATTGAAAATTATTGAAGCATATGAAAATTTTACAATAAACATCTGATACAGAGTACATTGTGAACATTTTGGCAATTAGATATGTTTACAGATATATCAATAATAATTGTGTAAACAAACCAGATATTTAAAAGGTGGGTGGGAAATTGTTTTTTAATATTCAATATATTCTGTGACTTTTGTATGAATACAAAAATGTTTACAATTAAAAGGTGTGTATAGTTATTGTCCTGTATTTAAATGATCTGTTCTGTTAGTACTAATGAGTAGTTTTACTGAAATGGACCCTAGATTTACTTTACTGGACCCGATGACCCCTGTCTGGTGCCGGAGCAGTAATAGGTAGATCTGACAACAGTTAAATATTCACATCAAAGGCCTCATTGCTTAGATTTATCCAGAGAACTGACAATTCTCAGATCCATAACTGAACGATACAGAATGACACTAGATCTTACAGTTATCATTGGTTCTAACAGGTGTATTTTAATTTTCTTCTGAACAGAATGATATCTGCTGATGACCAATTCAGACTGTCAGAAGCCCTCAAACAACGACATTCCCTAGTTATCTTAATGATCCAACTAAATAGAATGCTTGAAAGTCTGGTACAAAATACAGGTACACAGTGATTCACAATACCTAGTTGTTATGGTCATCTCAAACTGACCATAGCCTCAATATCAATTACTGACATCTAGGTCATCCTGTAAAACTTAAAATGACCACATCAAAGAATTTTCCAGAAATAAAACCAAATTTCAAACCAAAATATGTGTAGAATGTATGATAGTATGCTTTTGATACTTTGAACTGGTGGGGCGTGTTTAAAAGGGATGGACAATAACTGTCCTCAATCAGCCGTCAAAGAGTACAGAGTCAGAATATCCCAGAAAGTCAAGAAAGAAGTAATGAAAGTTGATACTAAGCCATTAACACCACCCAACAAACAGGTCTATATACTGAAGGTATTGATCACTTCTGATCACTTCAAGTCAACCTCTATACTAACCACGATAAATAAACATATTTGAAAGAAACAAAATTTTAACAAATTAACGCTGCCACTATAAATAGTAACACAAGCAATAGAATAAAAGATGAACACACTATGGCCTGTACTGTTCCATGCCTGTATTGACTGAAGTTGTCACAGGCGTAGAAATCAAATATTTGATCCACACTACTATGCCAGTCAGCCTTTTGACCTTGTTCCTGAATGAGGCTAGATTGAATATCCTTCCTGTTTAGTAGTGTAATTAGTACCATGTAAATATACTTCAGAATAATATCAACTCATTCGACATGAAAAAGTCCACAAAATTTGACAATGTATTATAAGATAACCAGGGTTAATATACACCCCACTCCAGCAGGGTTAAACATGCCAGATGTTAACCCTTCAGGGATGTATTCACTTTCTTATCCTGCAGTTTCAGAAGATATGAAATATTCATAAAACATATTTTATAACACAACAAACTTATTTCATAACACAACTAATTTAAAATTAACAAGATTGGAACAAAATATCAATTGCCTAGCCCATTACCCAGACCTGTATACTCTAAATATAGGTGTTATGATCTTACATTGTGAGATCTAGCACAGCAGCTTTATGTACTAATATTCCTTGGGATGACTGCAGAATCAAACAACTGTCAACACCAAATTCCTGGGGAATATCCCAAAACGAAAATCTTTGAATTTGAATGTTTTTGTGTCAGTAAGATGTAATGGTAAGTCTTGTTTATATGACATAACAAGTTTCTATTTAACATTAGAATCATATATGTAATATCAAAACTGTTCAACTTAGCTGCTTGAGGAGAGAAAAAAGTGCAATTTTAATTCAAGTTTTGATCCATAAACCCATATGAAACATACACTTGCATGACACTGATAGTTAATTGTTTTAGATATTATTTTTTAAAACGAAAAAAAAAAAAAACCTTCCTGAATTAAATTAAAAGAAATGTTTTTAACCAAGAGAAAGTTCTCCCTATAAACCAGCCACAATACAAGACACCTGACCCTCTGTATTATGATAGAACATATACACGTGTACAAGTGTCACGTTTAATTTGGTCGTGTACAAGTGGTCACATTTTAACTGGGTCACTATACTTCAGCCATATCTGGTCACACGCACTATTACCTGTTGAAACTGGACAACACTTGACCTTGGGTTATATATTTTAAATATCGTATTACGGGCATGCCTGGTAAGAATGACACTGCTGTCCACTACCATCCACTTGTCTCTTGTAGGAAACTTAAATGGGTCATAGTTTATACCTGTTTTAAAGTTTACACAATGCGGTCAAATACCATGCCGATGACCTTTTCTGAATATGTCTGTTGACCAATAAGGCAGGGCTATCTACTTAACTGTAATTCAGAACTTCCCGCACAGACAATATTGTCCAGATATGTTTGCTTATCTAACTGTTTCACAGCAGGTTGATCTGAATAGGTTATTGGTTAAACAGCTATCTATCAATACCTGGACAAAGGACATGGTGGTCAAAATGATTTTAAAAAAATGCAGTGACTTGATGTCTAAAAGATACTCAGGATAACAGAAACTGTCATAAGGATTCTCAAATATTATATTTATTTGACTCCATGAAAAATATTTAACTTAAGTCAACAGACCAAGTCTGTCATAATTTGAATACCCTTTTTTATAACGAGATCAGTTATAGAAATGTGACAGGGCAGTTACCTAGAGTTTTAAGGTCAAAAGGCTCATCTCCACACGACCCCCATAATCCGCCCCTAATAATTAAGGAATTCTTTTCTTGACCTTGGGTGTGGACATATTATTACAGATAAGATGCCAGGACAGTAAAAAGAATCTACTTGCCCAATTTTTATCATATTGTACAGGATTGAAAAAGGCCACATGGTGAGGGAGGATCGGTGATAAGGTGGAATAACTTCACAGTTCGGACTGTCAAAACAACTATACATCATCATGTCCAGTGTAAACACTCTCAAGTGGAGACATATCACAAATATCTCTATAGTGGCACAGAGGATAGACAGAAACACTGACTGATCACAGTGACAGGCTAGACAGAAACACTGAGTGATCACAGTGAGAGGATAGACAGAAATACTGGCTGATCACAGTGACAGGATAGACAGAAACACTGACTGATCACAGTGACAGGATAGACAGAAACACTGGCTGATCACAGTGACAGGATAGACAGAAACACTGGCTGATCACAGTGACAGGATAGACAGAAACACTGGCTGATCACAGTGACAGGATAGACAGAAACACTGGCTGATCACAGTGACAGGATAGACAGAAACACCGGCTGATCACAGTGACAGGATAGACAGAAACACCGGCTGATCACAGTGACAGGATAGACAGAAACACTGGCTGATCACAGTGACAGGATAGACAGAAACACTGGCTGATCACAGTGACAGGATAGACAGAAACACTGGCTGATCACAGTGAGAGGATAGACAGAAACACTGGCTGATCACAGTGAGAGGATAGACAGAAACACTGGCTGATCACAGTGACAGGATAGACAGAAACACTGGCTGATGGACACACTCCATTCGAAACAGTGACCAATCACAATGGGGATGATACAATCAACACCAAACACAGATCATGTTGCGTTGGGTACAATCCATTCGAAACAGTGACCAAACAGGGTATGTCATACCTTGCTAATGCTGATGTTTCAAGTGTACAGGTCATTTGTTCTATATAAATGTACTCAAAATTTGTAAATGCTATAAGCTTAAGTCTAGACTGAGGTGTAGTAATGTAAGCTATCTCTGTGGACAGCTGACTTGTCTCCGAATCTGAGAAAGCAGCTGATGAGTCTTTTTCATGTTAAGAAACTTTACTACAGTAATCAGTTTGCTCATAACCCTTGACAGGTGGAGTAATTTACAAGTGTCCATATACAGACTTCTTCTTTGTTAAACCTGACCATACTGATAAATGTAAGCTAAGATCCTACCAGATTTGTCCTTACCATTGTAGGGGGTAGTCAACATCCTGTCACTTAATTTGTACTTACCATTTAAAGGGATAACCAGTATCCCTAATGTTACATTTACCATTTAAAGGGATAACCAGTATCCCTAATGTTACATTTACCATTTAAAGTTACATTTACCATTGAAATGGTTAATTTACCATTTAAAGGGATAACCAGTATCCCTAATGTTACATTTACCATTGAAATGGTAACCAGTATCCCTAATGTTACATTTACCATTTAAAGGGATAACCAGTAGCCCTAATGTTACATTTACCATTTAAAGGGATAACCAGTAGCCCTAATGTTACATTAACCATTTAAAGGGATAACCAATATCCCTAATGTTACATTTACCATTTAAAGGGATAACCAGTATCCCTAATGTTACATTTACCATTGAATGGGTACCCAATATTCTAATATGTACACTTGTACTTACCGACAAGCGGGTAAGGAGTATCCTCTTTGCCAGACTTAACACATATCTGGTATTCACTTCCTTCTGATTCCTGAAAACAACAGATTACAGACCTTATATACAACATTGTCTCAAAGTTTACGGGCTGACAAACAAGGTTTCTGTCACCAGTTAATAAAACGCCATTCGAATGATTACATCAAATAAGATAGTTATAAATAAAACATACGATGGAGATGGTGTTATCATGAAAAAGAGACATCACTGGTTGTCCCTGGTGTGGTACAATTACTAATCAATGTCAATATTGATATCACATGATCTAGATTATGACTGTAATAGGTATTATATATATCAGATTTATCTCTGCTATATATAGACACAAAGTCTACTTACTTATCAATAGATAACTACCCTGTTTTCAGTGGCATAACAGTTATCATATACAATGTTTAGTTATGATATACTATGTGTGAGTGTATTAATAAACTTCACTGTAGAGTAGTGTTGTAAACAACAATAAGGATTCCATTGTTTTAACTGTGACATCTTGATTTCAACTTGTTACTAACTTCCTACAGATTTGAGATATCAAAGAAGTATAAGGGTCTGCATCACGTTGTCAATTTTTTAAAATATAAATGTTAGACTAGATATTTCTTAAGTTCTTGCAGGAAATATAGAATATTTGATAAACAGAATCTTAAACTCCTTTCCACTTCATCTAAGATATGTGAAATTTTACACAATTTGTTACCTATATTTCACCCACTCCATAAATCTTTGAGAAAAAAACTCATGCAAAAATATTTGCAACAGAAACGTATGCAGTGTACTAGTATTTCCTCAATATGTGAAGAATTTTGACCAATAATTTAACTACAATTCAAAATGATAACCTTTCTTTTTCTATAATTTCATTACTAAAAATTACTAAAAGTTTGATGATATTTCCCACTGACATATGAGTCAACATGAGCTCACTGAAGACTCAAAATCAAAATTCAAACAATTTACTTGACATTTTGATGTTTTGTTTCTAATCCATTCCTAACGATCCTTAAGAGTCTATACACTTACATTATATCACTGTAGATTTTTAAATACAATTGAATTTTATGTACCTAGTTATAATCATGCTAATGAAGTTTTATACCTTAAGACCCCTGAGAATATCACAAACCTTAAGTAGTTTAAGGGCTATCAGCAGCTTTTTGTTTAAGGATAGTGTTAAACAGTTATGCAGTACAACACACCCGAAGCTATAACCACAGTTAATATCATACCAAACAGGCTTACAAACCGTGATTTTATTGCCAAAAGGATATTGTTTTTTACAACAGTGTGTATACCACATGGAGTCTTTAAATACAATCCTATGCTATATATGGCTTCAAGATTGTGTATATAAACTGTCCGCCCTTCCAGCCAACAGACTAGAATGACCTACACTTCATGACATCACTGCACGACCTTGTTTACAAGATGTTTTTGGAGTCAAGTTTTACAACTGCATTGTTTCCTATCCGAGGGTCATCTGATTGTAACCACACACCTCATGTTAAACAATAGTCATACATGCATATAGTTACTATATATGACACAGCTATATATCATCAAAAATTTAAAACCCAAATTGTGCAAATTCAAATAATTTCTAGACAGATTTAATTGTTCTTACTCTAACCATCAAGATAAAGGTAAGACAGCTCATAGACAGTCATCCATGACACTTGTAAGCAATACTTCTTGGAGAACTAATTTAATTTATGCATTGGGAGCACTTTCATCAGGTGCTGCATCAAAATGGATAGAAGTCATTATTCAGAATGTCAACTTACCGGAATCTGAAAGTGCTCCAGACATTTCTTCAGTACATCCTTAGCTTCCATATTACAATCAATATCAATAGTGCATTTCTGAAATGTAAAATTCAATTAAATAAATGAGCATTTAAATATAAAATCAAATTAACATTCAAATGGAGTTGTCTGCAGTATGAAAATACTTTCTGTGTAAACAGAAACATACATTATATGACAGCGATCCCCAAACTACCTTGATCTAAATATGTCCTGAAATTTTGGGGCAAAAAAAGAAAGATGTCTACTTGTTATGAATAACAATTTACAAGTTTCTAGATAGTGAAATAGTCAATAGTGAAACATGATGTGCAGCATGTAGCGAGGAAATCAATTTATCATTGTATCATTTACTAATTGTTATCAAACCAGGTCAATCTTCCACTGGCACATGGAGACATCTGACTAAGTAGTTCAACAACGCATATCAATATAAATCAGTGTTTTGACTACAGATCATAGATACATTGGGTCAATTTATATAAGTACTGCGAGAATGAGGGTACATTATTTATCAAGTCAGTGTTTCAATAACTGCAGAAGCTTGTAACATTCTTTCATGTTTTATCTCTAATAGGATATGATGCAATTTAAGAATTAATTGTACACCAATATCATTATAAAATAGAAACTTACATTGGTAGTAATCTCGTTGGCTGCCTTTCTGTGCACTTTCCTTATAACCAGTTTAACTACTAAAGACACTTTAGGGAATGTCCACTCTACCCCCATCCTACATCCAGGAGGATTCGATATACAAGTATTTCTGGAGGTAACTTACAGGGGTATATCCCTCATCAATCAGCTGTTAGGTCAATTTCTACCTTTAAGGTCAATTCCCAAGAACATATTTGGTGAGCAGTTTTCAGGAAATTAACCTACTAAGCACAGCCAGGTGTTAAATAATAGACTTTGATGTGCTATAATGAGCACAGGTGTACTCTGTGTGGATCCACAGGTAACAAGACCCCAGGGGTAGGTACAGGTAGAGAGTGACAGTTGAACTTTGACACTAACTGTCAATCAATGTCTTGACAATCAGGATTACTCACCTGTTCCAGATCCCTGTAAAATACATCTAACTTCATTTGGCAGGATTCTGTTTCTTTTGATTTCTCTTCCTCAATTTGTCTGTAATGACCAACAGGTAAGACTCATTGAGGTGTTTGTATATATAGGAATTAGTAGAGGCCTGAGTTAATATGACCACTACCAGATAAACACATCACTCTGTATATCTTATCTGTGGTAAGCTGTCTTAATTCTTCTTATACTAATCCTACTTAATTTTTTATGACTTTTTGTTTTGAAAAAGGAGAGAGTAACTTTGTTAAACAAATATATAAGCCATTATGTTTTATGAAGTATAAGCAGGATTTACATGTTTTGTCTAATAGATAAACAATTTATGTTTTTTTTGAAAAGCAAAAACGTTTAATGGAATTTATTTGTTTACAGAGAGATATATACCTTGAAATCATTGGAATACATTTACACAGTTGTAATTTTTCATAACTGAGAAAGTAACATATTTTAGAGAAAAAGTAACATTTTATGTAGAAAGTAGATAATAAGACAACCTTTAATAAACTATCCTTAAGACTAGAATGTTGATTTTGAAGTAAACTTAAAAAAACAAGCTGAATTTGCAACAATTATGAAAGTGTATCATTTTTTCCTAAAGATTTTTTTAAACCGTTAGAAGACATGACAATGTTTAGGTTACAAAACTTACTCTGTTAATTTGTTAAACCAGAGTTCCTTAGATTCTGTAGACTTAAAGGTTGCTATGACATTAGTTGTCGGCCAGCCAATGACAAAAGACCTGTCTAGGGGACGTGGAAGGTCAGTGATGTCCTGTACTGTATTGGAAATCCACATCTCACACACCCGAACACGTGCCTTCAGTTTGAACGTTGTACTTGTTCTATTGTGGGGAATTAATTTAATTAGTACCAGTAATAATCTGAACACTATTTAGAATCTTGCCCAAGTACAAGTCATACATAATCAAATAAAGATATACCACCTCTTTCCATAATACAAACAGCACTTGTATCATTTGCCAACTGCATTGAAATTAGACAGTACCCATTTCATTTGCCAATTGCACTGAAAATTTCACAGCACTTATATAATTTGCCAACTGCATTGAAAATTTCACTGTATTTGACAGCATTGGTACAAGATAAAAGCCAGTTAAAATTTCTTTTTGGTGGTTTCTGTTTCAGTACAAAAGGCATAATACATACACTGCTCCTTCTCCAACTTAGCAATGTCAAGGTCAACAGTTTCCTAGTGACCTTGACTAAGTGCAGAATAAATGGCCCAGACTTACTATGAACCATTTAGATGACAATAGCTTTTGTTCTCAAAATGTCACATTAACATTGATCAATCAGTATGTATAATTACGTAGAAATTTTTAAAATTTTTTAAAGTTTTAAACTGACATTAAGAAACATGCATGACAGGTGCTCCATTGTCTCATTAAGGATGATTTTTTAAAAAGAATTTGATTTTTGTTTTTATTAAAGACGATACAATCACATCAACCATGAATATATACATAATAATTGTAAAACAGAGGTCATTGTGTATCTTTATGCATCCACATATCTATAATACAGATTGTCATGTGATGAATTGTACTTGTATAGCAGTATAATGATAAAACAACTGCCTGTTTATCAAAGAAATTTCATTAGTTATTCCAATGATCTTTAAAGTGTCAGCGTTCAATCTTATTGGAATTTAATCTGAAGAAATTTTAATTAAATCAAAATCCTAGTAGCTGAGACATTTTACTGGTGCTCATTGGTGTCTGATTGGTGCAAGGCTTTCAGTGCATAGAAATATTTGGACTCACTTCTGTTTTGCCACCAGGAGAAGATCATTAAACAGGAAGAGGTACCGGTCGAACAGGTGTTCTGACTGAAAAACCAAAAAAAACATAAAAATGATATTTTACCTCTGTCATCCTTCCATGGCAATCTGCACCCCTTGAGTAACAATAAGGCCAAATATCTGTCACAGTTCTATCTAACATGGTATTTACGTTTGTATTCAGAAACAACTATTCATACAAAAATATCTGTCAAGAGCGTCAATTTTGACAAGATATTGTAATTAACAACTGTTCAATGCCTTAATTCAAAAGTTGGGATAGTCCTGGCCTGGTATCCATTCATAAGACTGGCAATATCATACTACATACACAGGGGGGATTAACACCAAGAGGAGAGGGCACTGGACACGTCCCAGTCATCCTCTCTTAGTTATAATTGAAGCGCAAATATCACAAATGCTAAAGACAATCAGTAAAGCGAGACAGTTTATTGTCAACTGGCTATTCATGAACTCATATACCATTCATGCTAGTTATATTGTATAGAACAAGGCATGATCTTAACTCTGACACGACTCAACTATAGATAATCCTACATCTACGTAAGTCATTATGGGTGTGATGATGACTCCATGAGATAAGACATTTTTGGCGGGATACATACAAAGTCTTACCGAATGAACTTAAACTTAATAAACCATGTTACACTAAATTCTTTTCATTCATTGTTTCATTGACCTGTATCCCATGTTTTATCAACCTGTATCCACCTCTATCCCATGTTTCATTAACCTGTATCCACCTTTATCCCATGTTTCAGTAACCTGTATCCACCTTTATCCCATGTTTCAGTAACCTGTATCCACCTTTATCCCATGTTTCAGTAACCTGTATCCACCTTTATCCCATGTTTCAGTAACCTGTATCCACCTTTATCCCATGTTTCATTAACCTGTATCCACCTTTAACCCATGTTTCATTAACCTGTATCCACCTCTATCCCATGCTTCATTAACCTGTATCCACCTCTATCCCATGTTTCATTAACCTGTATCCACCTCTATCCCATGTTTCATTAACCTGTATCCACCTCTATCCCATGTTTCATTAACCTGTATCCACCTCTATCCCATGTTTTAAACTTCTGTGTTTGGATGATGACATAATTGTAGGTCAAAGTTGACCTTGTAGCAATAATACCTGACAAGTTTCACTACATTAGAAATGTTAAACTTTCCTTATTATAAACAAGATTTCTGACATCAGAACTACCTCTGTTACAATCTCTTATATGGACACTATTACTAACAACAAAGTTAAGGAACCACATTGAGTATGGATAACTCAAATTAGAAAAAAATTCTGATAAATGAATCGCAAGGTATGAGTATGAATCTGCTTGGAAACTAAAATTCAAACCTTTTATAAAGGAAACAGATACTTATATGTTCAAGCCTGAGGCCATGATTTTACTTTTAAATTAAAGATTTCTTTGATGCAAGTTTTAACTTTTCTTTACCCAAATGAAAAATGAATGTATATCTTGTAAATTGTACACAGTATCCAACTTCAAGAAACCCCTATTGACAAAATCTCCTGGTACAATTGTATAAGGTTTCCTCATGAAAGGTCCATTAGCTTTCACTGAGAAATGTAGATTTTTATGTTTAAATGTTAAAGAATATGTAATGACCCCCTCCCCTCTCCCATCCATGGGTACTTTTGGAATATAACTGTCACTTTTAAGTAAAGCACTTGATAAAGGTAACATACTGCTCATTTTTTCATATATTGTGAAGGATTCACATCAATTTGTCTTTCTTTTTTTATTACAGTTATAAATTATGACAAATATTTGTACATGACGTTCCTTGTTACATACTCGACAGAATTCCACCTGGCCCTCCATGAGGTATTGACGGTTGACCGTATCCGGATGTCGGAATGGGTTCACTATGTCCATTTCTTTCTTTCCCATTGCACCGTGTGACCTGTGAGAAATAAAGTATTACACCAATAAGTAAAGTGCTTGTCTTTAATTATTTATCTATTGCCCACTACACCTTTATTGGCAGACACCTTCTATGTAATGACATCACTGCTATCTACTGGCTGTCCCCATAACTAAGCTATCCTCACACAAATCTCAAATCAAAAGGAGAGAAAACTTCATACAATTAAGTTGTCGCTCCTCATATCATTGAAAATAACAAGGTCAACATATCAAAAGACGATATCAAAGTTCTTGTGTAAAGAGACAATTACACGTGCCCCTTACATCAATAACAGAAAAAGGTGACCCTTCATAATGACTGTTATATAAATGTGTAACAGTTTTATGTAGGCGAATGGTTTTATTGAAAAATGTGTCGTGAGTTTAATTCAATTTTAATTGTGGAACAGTCATCAGTGGAAGGTCTTACTTATTATACTGTGTTTATAATGGGGAGTTATTTCTACAAGGCTTGTGACAAGTACACCAAACAATGGTGGGTCTATAATATCTACATACCTATATTGTCTGACGGGTTGTCTGCAGACATGCTCCTGACATATTTGATTGCCAGTCATGTTAAAAGCCACCAAAAACACATATATTTTCTTGTATATGGGGATGTGTATAGCATTCATGTGTGTCATAAGCAAAATGCCTGACAATTTTAATGTTCTCCACAGGAACAAGGGTCCCAATTGTTTACGGAAATAGGGTGAATCCTGTACCGTCACAGGAAAAACAACAATACCATCGCTAGTAGTCAGTATTTCTCTATTTGAATAATATATTTTAATTTGTTCACATATCAGACAGGAGAAGATGCTAGCACATTCACAGTTACACAGGTAAAATTCACCGATGTAATTCTGAAAAGTTAATATAACATGTAAACAGTTGTATGACATCAGTGTCTGGAAACAAAGCGAAATTTTTGCCTTATATTACAGTAAAACAAGGTAGTAAGAAATCGTGACAATGTATATTTTGTTTTTATTACAAATGGTAAGCATCCCGCGTACCAAAGATGTCATATCTGTACACTTCTAAAGATATAAAATAATGCTAACAGCAAAGTGTTTTCTATAAACTATTGACAACTTTTCACTTCTTTAAAACCTAACATGCAACAGTACAACCATTGAATGTAACTTATAACAAATGATTACACATCCACAGATACTTACACGCTAATTATATTCCAAATTCTGGACAAAACCAACACTAGCATAAGAATATCCAATAAATATTTCACAGCACATGTCCTCCATGTCCTTTCCGGTTTCAAGTTTCCACAAATGTGTAGTATACTAATTCATCATCACATGGCTGTCACATCCATGAGGCAAGTTGTTGAGATGATACTGGTTTTCTTATAAAATAGGAAACACCACCATGTGATGACTCAATGTCCAGTTAATGTGGGTATAGATCTGATGACCAACATTCCACTGGACACAGCCCACTATATTCTTACCTAACAACACCTATCACAGACAAGTCACTAGTTGTCCAGGCCCTCAGGGCTAAACTCACAACACAATGCTCTACATTTCTAACACTACAACACAAAACTAGCTAGTGCTTTACAGAAGTGCCCACTGGGATCATTTACCTTAATTAGTTTATTCATTCTAAAGAGCTCACCTGGGTTTTGAGGTCAGAAAGGTATATATTGCTAGCAGTTAATGTGTTATCTGACTGAGGACAGCTACAGGACATCTATCAAACTCCTTATGTAATATATATATATATATATCCATCCTTCTGCAGCAGACAGCTGTCCACTTCATAAGGTCACTCATAAGGTCTTATCACTTTCTTCAACAACTATAAAGGATTTAATGAACACCTATCTATTAAGGACAACTCCTTTTGAAAAACTGTTAATAAGGGATTGCTCAGCTGAAAACCTGTCTATAAAGGACAGTTCCAGCTAACAACCTGTTAATACAACATAGTTCTGCTTAAAACCTAGCTGACTATAAATGACAGATCCACATGAAAACCTGTCTATAAAGGTGAACTTCAGCTGAAAACCTATATAAAGAACAGCTCCAGCTAAAATCATGTCATTAAAGAACAGCTTTAGCTAACAACCTGTTTATAATGGACGTCTTACCAGTTTACCACCTCACCAGTACAAAATACCTCACAAGTTTACACCTCACCAGTACAAAATACCTCCCCAATTTACCACCTCACAAGTACAAAATACCGTACAAGTTTACCACTAATTTTCTCAACAATCCATGCGTATACTTTCTGTTTCTGTTTTACTTGAAAACATTTGTAATATTAACATCGAGTTGTAAAACCTCAATTCATGACTGTCAAGTTATTCAATTTAGACATAAAAAACATCAAACATCACTGAACCTAGAAAAGCCCAACAGGCATGACCAGCAATCATATAGACCACCTGAAAACCACAAACTGACAAAACATTCTCAAACGAGGACAAAATGATCTGTGACATTAATGGTAAGACCAGCCTCTAAAGTGACTTTACCAATGAGAACACCATGGATTGTAATAACTGTCAGATGTTTAACAATCAAATTATTGATCAAGGAATGTCGTGTTTTCCTCTTATCAAACAAAATACTAGTCATCAATGTGGCTGAATACTGGGTTCAGAGACTTATCTGAATGTCTGCTGTAGGGTCTAGATCACACGACCAGTAAAATATTCATGATGGCTTTAATCCCTGCTAGCATTATTTACAAACAAGCATCATGGGAGATGTAACTGATGACCGTGGACATTGATCATCAGATGGTGCCGAGTTTTAACAAAACATTTACATGATTCAGATGAAGTCACTAGCATGCTTCATTTACCCACTGGACAGACCTTTTTCTGCCTGATTTTCTTTAGGAGTATTTAATTGGTAAGAGAGGTCGATAATAATCGCTCTAGTTTATCATCAAGATCACAGCTATTCCTGGCCTGTAAATTAAAAAAAAAACCTATTTCTGCCACAATGGGAATGGCATATTTATTGTTACTATGAAAAGTTAATGAAACTTTTGGCAGAACTGGATACTCCGAAAAGTGAAATAGTCATTGAAAGTATTGAATGCTGGACCACACACAACACCATCTGCTACCCATCCGACATGGTGTTTGTATCCTGTTTCCACTGACATCTCAGCACAATGTCCACAGTAAGTGGCATTATCTTAACATAGTTTGCTTCCTGGCCTGTTTAAATGACATTTGAATTGTATCATAGATCATACAAAACTCAACCACAAATTGACTCCCTTGAAATATGACATGGTACAATCAAACATAACCACAAACACAATATTCACGATGAACTTACTGGCCTATTAAAATCTTTTATTGCGGTATCGCCCAGACAAATATGAATGTAATTGTAGCTGTGGTGCTCGGTATTGTACTCAACAAATACCACCATTGCTGTCATACCTTTGTCACTAATTTCCCAATATGTACAGGTAGATTGACTTGGTCCAGTATTTTGTATTGTTACATCCTGAATGAGATTTCCTGTAGATCCCCTACGAGGATTGAATGTAATAAATCTGATAGCAGGGATATCTGTTGGGATAAAGGTATGTAACAGAGGAAGGGCTAAAAAGCTAAACACTTCGGTCACCTCTATCCAATATCAATATAACTCAAAGCTGGTAATGTATTATCAATCATGTAAGATTAATTTATTGAAAAAAAAAAATCAATGTAATATACTTTCATTTGTCCAGTATAAATTTGAATTTCACATTTCTGAAATGTACTTGCCGGTAATCTTTTTTCATCAAACTGAAATATTTTCTGAATTATAATCACATTAGTGGTCACATAACTAATTTTGTTATTTCTTTATCTAAATCAAAAATAACTTTTAACATTTTACAATGTTATAAATAATGAAGTTTTTAAAAAGTCTCTTCAATCAACAAGGTTAAGAGCTGTACAACTCTGTAGCATTGTCCCAGGAAAGTCAGAGAGTGATCTGTATCACCATTACATTTGTCCAGGAGGTGTTTTAGTCTTAACCAATCAAGCATGTGTGAGATTGTCACCTATTGAGACATTCCGACGACATTCTTGTGTGGGAGTGTGATAGGTACAAGTATCAATATAGGCATATCAATACATAGTGGGGTATAGGTAGACAGGTAAAAACACAGGTATGGTTAGTTAAATAGGAAAATTGCCATCAGGCCTAACAAACATTTTTTCCCCTCAATCAGGACAGTATAGCTGATATGCATGAGCTCCTGAGGAGCATTGTATGTAAATAATACAGGTACTTGAACTCTTTTAAAAATTCTTTTCAAGTATGGATTGAGACCCCAAAAAAATTACAATTGGAAACTCCTTGCTTTTATAAAGAAACAATATGTGAGGCAGTGTATCAGGCTTACAACCACTTAGGAATTACAAAACATCAGCGGACAAGTGGACTGAGTCTGAAAGGAAGAAATGTGTCCTAAATATTCTACACTAATTACACAATACATTAGCATACCACACATCCCACATCTGAAATCCCACATAACTCCTTAGACTGAAGGGAAATAGACTATTTTATTATAAAACATGAAACACAGTACAACCCACTCAATGCAAATGATATCAGATATGAAACAGAACATCTGTGAGATAATACTTAAATGAAATCAGCGTATCTTTGTCTATATTTAGTTGTCTTATGAACTGAAAGTAGAAAGCTAGGTCACTTATGTATATATGACAGTATATTAGCAGGGTACAATCTGTGGAACTGGACAACATTTCTGACTGAAGACCATTATACAAGCTGATCACACTGAAGACCATTATACAAGCTGATCAAAATTAAAAAATATAGAATTATATATAAATAGAAACCCTCTCAATTTGACATTTTTCCGATTTGATGCTTTTGTCTCAAAATGACCAGAGCCATCTACAAACTGGTAAAGTTTTCTGTAGAAGTTGTATCTAACTTAAGAACCAAGACTCCTTTCCTGATGGCAAAGTCACAAGCAAAGGCATATTAACAGTTTCTGACTAAAATTCAGTCACAAGTCTTATTACTGCAGTTTTACAATGATGTTATCAATATTTGAAATACCAAATAGGTCAGGAAGGAACAACTCAAAAGTACTGGAAAAATACATCACATGACAGCCTATATGGTGGCGCCAATTTAATCAAGTTAAGTAACTTGGAAGTCCTTAAGTCAACATCAAAACAAATAAGACAGTGAACTGTACATGTAGTATTTAGTGTCATGGACTAGTCAGTCAATCACCTACAATTTCCGTTTGTAATCCCAACAAAACATTTATAAATGCTATCGAAAATATTTTACTACCAGCTTAGTTAAAAAGTATTGTAACTTAATAAAAGACATTAGATGGAAACAGATCTAAGAAAGATTTTATTCAAGTAGACTTAAATGAAGGCATGTAAACTGAGGTCACCTTTCATAGTCACAACTCTATCACAGACCTATCTGTCCTGCGAGACACTGACATGGTCCAAGCATGACACTGAGACTTAAGTAGCAACTATTCACCATTTTTCATTCACTGATCCACACAATGAACGGTGTATTGCCACACAAATCCACTGATTTCTCATTTGAATGAAATAAGAATGTAAACATGGCCCAAAGTGGTTTGGGTAATATTAGATATTGTTAAACTGTAGTCATGGCTCTTATGATCGAAGTGTCATCCTGTGCCTCAGAAATGACTCCCCCATACACCCAAGGTGACAGCTATGTGCCTCACAGGGTGTCCTCATAACTTACACACCTTCCCTTCCTTACAAACATTACAATGTTACAGAGCACACCCTACTCTTCGATGAGGAATATGTATAGCAGACATTCAATAGACAGTTAGTGGAGGGGTGTGTCATGGGTACATGAACGGTGCATAACATGCATTCATTGCAATGTATATACAGAGACAGGTACGCGAGGCAAGTATTTTTTGTAGGGAAAGCATTCATATGATTTCAGTATGGGCTTATAATACTCTGTGTGTACACATAAATCTGAAATAAAAAGTATGTTTGAAAGCTAAGAAGGCAAATACTTTCTCAAACTTTGACCCCTCTGTTTTGTAACGGAACGCCCATAATATTTACAAAATCTTTTCATAAATTCCTATACAGCATAAAAAGGGAGAAATGCCTATGGTGTCTATAATGTATTAAAAACCAAATACTGGCAGACTCACCCAAGGCTGGTGGTGCTCTTGGAGCGATTTCCAAGTGTCTTGAACAGCACAGCTCCAGGTGCTGAGCGTCGTCGCTGTGAAAGACTGCGTAGTCTCTGCAAAATCAAAATTATTGTTTAAGATTCAGTGTTTACATTTCAAATAATTTGTAAAAATCATGTAAACGAATTAAGAAATAAAAAAAGTTCTTCAAAATAAAAAGTTGATTTTATCAAAAATATCGGAGTTTGTGTGAAACTGACAGCATATTTATTATTTGGAGTCCACAAATACTGAGCAATAGGAAGCCCCCAAAGTGTTGGGAACATCCTTAAACAACTGGTCAATACTTTATGATTTTAGGTTGATAAATTTTGTTTTCTTTTTGTTATCAGTCATTTAAGTGCATTCGGTGTTATATTATGTCACTTCCTGTACAAGGAATTGAACATTCTTTAACCTTAAACATGAACCATAAGACCTCCTCACCTTGTATGTGTCACCTGGACAAACAACAGATAAAACAGGTATGCCTCATGATCTGAAGGAGTATCTTGATACTAAAAGTTATATCCAGTATCAGAAGACCATTGCAATAGATATATTATAAGAATTAGTGTTTTAGTACACTACTTCCCACAGCTTCACACTTAGTCCTACATATCTATACCTACTGACAAACTAAATTTCCTGTTTGTTATTGATACCTGAACAATGAACCACAAGAATTTTTGACTCATGAATTCAAGTCAGGCTGCTGTTACAATTGAATACATTATCAGAAACACAATCTTTCGTTTTTCTCTGTACCGATTGTCTTTGAACAATGGGCGAAGTAAATGCATCAATGATCTCCCTTTGTGCTGACTTTAGGCTGTCCCTACCCCTTCGTCCCATCTAGAGTAAATCCTTCCAAGCTCCTGTTCCCTCCCGATACCAGGACGGGGACTGTCAGGCAATCTCACCTTTGACCCTGGCACAAAGGAATCGGGTCAAAGAAGGGCTTTACTGATGTAATGTCTACCATCCTGTTTAGATAGGGAATTAGGACTGCCATAGAGAACAGCTGTCATTGACGGCTGTATGGCCTCCCTTCACAACGACCTGTATGAGGTGTATAGAGACTTATTTTCCATCCTGATTAATGTTACTTGTCCATTCTAAAACTTTAAGCAGTGTCATCCCAGCCTTTTTTGCTTTTAACTTGCGAGTGACATTGCACGATTTAGCGAGAAAAAAAGAGAAATACATCATTGGGTTCTACATGCACGTTTTTTTTATAAGAAGATTTTCAAATGTTTGATATCTCTTGCTCTGTGACTCACAGAGGTCAAATGGATACTGTTGCATACAATCACGAAAATCACCTACATAAACTTGAATACAAAATAAGCAGGTTTGTAGGTTAATAAGACTAGTTATCATACTGTAGTGTTTATAGATTCAATTTTTTTTTATTTTAGTGTTAAAACAAGGTTAAAACAAGGTTAAAACAAGTTTAAAACAATAAAACATATCATTATGATTCGATCATCCTGTTGTCTAACATAGAGCATGGTCGCCACACATACATCAACATGACATCGACAAGAACATCATCAACAATTCGTGGTGTTTTACACGACACAAATTTAGCAACACCCTTGCACAAGTGTGACCACAATTGTGAAACATGACAGACTGTTTAAGTATATTTTATATAATAATGATTAATTGTCAACTCTACATTCCAAAAAATCCTGGTTTTCCGTGTACTTGTCATAATACGTCTCCAGCTAAGATCTTTCATATTAAACCTAGAAGCTGTCACAAAGTGATGCATCAGCTTTATAGCCTTATTAAAAATCTAATGCTGATTTTAAATATAATCACCTGTTGTTCTTTAAGTGTTCAATTATACATAGAATCATTCACTTTTATCAAGTCACCTCCCAGACTTCATTTTATATCAACGATTGTACAAAAGACACACAAGTGAATAGAATCTTTCGATACAAATATAGAATCTGAGATTGTGGAGCAAAATAAACAGTATCATGACTGGTTATCATACTACAGTATAATTTCATCCTTTGTGGACTTGTCAGTGATACTAAGGGCTATATTGCTGAAACCTAAGAGTTGACTGAGAAAATCCAACATGGCTGAAACCAATGTCAAAAACAAGATGTGAATGTGAACTAGCTCTATACAAGACTAAAACATTTCAGAAGAATGTCAGTAATACGTTTTTGTTTTACCCATCAATCTGTTTTTACACCTGATTTTATGTCTGATTGTACTCTGCCTCTGATGGGTCTTTGGCCTAAGGAAATAAACTCAACTGAAAATATGAGACGTTTCTAGTTTGCAAAATGGACATTTCTGTAAGGGGAACTTTGAAAAATTTAAGGATTTTTATTAACCTTAACCAAGATTAAATTCAGCTTGTAAATTTTAGCCCTCCTCCTTCTCTAAGTCAAAACATATCAGTAATTTAAAACAACTTTTACAACGAATCATTACCTATGTAATATAAAATTAACTATAATGATCAAGAACTGACCGAGGTAAGTGCTATAAGCTGAATGCCATTTCATGACAGGAATATTTAAGTGAGCCTTAATTGATTGTTTTGTCTTAAGACTGGAGAACTTCTACAAGCAATACTTATGACATAAAGAGCTATTTATTCAATTATGTCTGCATATCCTTTTGAAATACAATTGAAGAGGAATCAGAATGTTTACTTAAAATATTTTCTTTTATCTTTTATTTTATTTTCTGAATCATCAATTTTGAAAAAGCCTATAGTTATGTTTGTATAGGTAAAATAACTCCAACGTCGAGACAGAGGATTATTATCATCTTACCTGATAAACTCCAATACTACATGCTACATCAAATCGCAAAGTATGTTTACAAAGATATCTGTTTTGTAGAGTGGTCCCTGGTCTCGATTGAGACTTGTGTTTGACTCCTGTGACATGCCGTCAACATGACAGAACAAACCATTGTTGATCCATATTGGTACTTCACTCTAAAACGGCTTTTCACTTATTTGCTCAGCTCCAACAATCAAGTGCCAACTTAACACAAAACTCAGCTTGTGATATTTTTACATATAAATCCTTCGGTTAGGCTTTTGTCAATAAATTTTTTTCAAGAAGCTGGCATTTCATTGAATACACAACATAGAGATATGGTCATTCTCTCAGGACAGTCAAAACAATTTTGATCAAATTGAAATTCTGACCTTTTTTCTAACTGAATATTGATTTTCACCTGCTGTAATCAGTCTATTGTTGTTGATTAGACAATGTTCCATACACACCTCGCTTGTGTTTATGAGCTACCTTGCTAATTGTTCTCCTTTTTTCATGAAAGTCAGTGTCGCTCATTGTGGTATGTGGCACACATCGATGAGGATTTCAACATAGCTGTCAAGCAGGGCAAGGTTTGTTTAAAGTTGTAATGGTATGTACAACAATACCCTAAAAAGACACTCGATCCGCTCAGATTCGTCTTTGACAGAAAATCCTACTTAGTACTATAGGTATGTATTTACCTGTATCTATCACCTGTAATTAGTCCTTCATGAATGGTCTTCCTCCCCAGGTACAATGGCTATTGAGGTGCCCAATCTAATCTGTATACATATCATTCTGTCCGATCAATGATGGTATGTATAGTGTATTCACATCCTTACACTTCTGTTCTGCGAACACTGTTCCACTTTCTATAACTTTCTTTCCCATCCAATGTGTGAAAAACAAATGTGTCTTAAGTTGTATTCCAACTTTACAATTGCCTCTCCTTCTAAAGTAAAATAAGCTTGTATAGGCGTGAAGATCTTGTACGCAGCGAATAATTAGTGGATGAAATGCAGTCTGCAGTAACAGTACAACATAGTACCTATACGTGATCAAAAGTGGTAAGAAAACTACCAATGTATCGACAAATCTTTCCCGGCCTTGCGTGTCGAAAAATCGTAAAAATTTGACAAGAATTTGTGTGAGTGAGAGTTAAGTTTATCCCAGAAGCTATTGATAGATATAGTGATACCTATCTTGTGTATACAAACACATTTATCACCTGTTCACCTCTCAGGTATATACACACACCAGCTGGCTCAACAAGTTTTGGTCAGCTAAGTTGCTCAACAAACAACATCATTCCTCATCTATTATGACAGAAATCACAGGTAACACAATGGCAGATGCCCAGGTACCATGCCCTAGACATGTCCTGTTGCTTTGCTGCTGCATCAGTTGGCTGCCATTCTCATGTAAATGATAATAACTCAATTAAAATATATAATTACAGAGTTCAACTGTTGACCTCCAGGACCAAGCTGAGGTCGGAGAGTAGTTCATCAACCAATTACAGTGTAATATTACATGGTTTGAAATCGACCATGAACACCATTCTCTTGCTGGTACGGAACTCTGAGGTCTGGCATTGGTTCAAACTATGACCATAATCATCTTTGTATGAGAGGTTCCAACAGAAATACTTTCTAAGGCAAGCTGTCAAACTTTGTCAAGCTTATAGCAAGAGTTCCTAAGCTTTCAATAATTGCACAGACAAAAATGGTAACAGACATATAGGCTTTTGATTTCATGGGAACTAGCGTCATGTCTTTTCTGAGCTGATCAATTCTCATCTTGTGGTAGAATACTGTTCACTTATATGGAGTCTATGGGTCATCAATAATTATCTATGGGAAACTGCCAACAACCCACAATATCAACAGGTGGCTTTTATTTTGTGTTGTCTATTCAATATTTCTCAAACGTACCTATGACTTTAGTGTGTATTTTGTATATGAATACCTTGTGCGAGTCTCAGTAACACAGTCATCTAAATGTGACAATTATTAGAAGTATTACCACTTCTCATTATGCAGATTATTCATGTGAAAAAATCCAGTCAAAATCAAAATTTTGCTAATTAAATTTTTCAAAGTTTACATAATGTGACTTTAATGATATTACACACAAAATTCAACAGATAGAGTTACTTAACCTTAAACTGAGACTCATTGATTTTAAAATCTAGACTTTAATCAGTCTAATTGCCATCAAGATTTTTTAATGATTTATCACTTTGATCTAATCATTCTTAACTTAATGACATTTATCAACAGGAAAGATAGTTGTAGGTCTTTGTTACTCTTACGATGTCGAGACAGACAGGTAACATTATTTAATAGTATTTTCATGTGAATATCGTACTTTGTTACCTGGTTATTGCTAATGTAATGTAGGTCACTTTACGATTTTGTTCTTGACACACACTGAACAGATTTCTCTTCGTAATTGAAACCAAAGATCAAATAACAGATCTAATGACATTTCTTTTCCATGCTCATAGTATTTTTTCTTATCTTAATAAAATAAAACTTACAAAAGCCATAAAACTAACCAAAACGCCATTGCATACATGAAAACTCACCTGTGCTGCTGAGGATGAAGATTCGCGCAGCTGAAGGTCATCATTAGGGAACCGTTTTTGTATGCTATCCATTCTGAGGTTTTCGGGACTTGTACCAAATTCGTCTTCATGTTCCCTCACCATCTATAGGGAAAACAATTATATGTATTACTACACCTGGTGCTGAATGTCCAACTACTTTACCCATCATACTATAAACTGCTATTGTATCTAGGGTCACAGCCTTTTCATTTTCAGGGGTATAGGATGGCATTTCCATACCACCACCATCTCTTGCTCATTTGACATTTGAACACCATGAAGGTCAAATTTAACTGAGATATCACATTTTGCTCATTCAGCAGTACTAGATTTTACAGGTAGTCATGGGATTCAGATAAAGTTTTTCAGTACCATGATTTTCCTAGCCAATCATATCTCAATTTCACCTACACTTCAAGTTTGATAATCTAACAGAGCTTATAATGTTCCACAGATTTCTAACTCATTATTACATTGTGAAGGGACAACCATTTCTCTATAAATCTGGTTATATATAAAACTGACCAACATTTATTTTATAAAGTCCTATTCTGTAATGGTGCAGTAATCTTTAATTGAAGTATGGGAAATTTTACAGAAACTTGCTGTGGATTAATTGTGAAGGTATTGTGACCTGCCATACGAACTCAAAATATCGTACTGATCTGTGAATACACACGAAATCATCTCAGTGAGATGATCAAGATCAGTGTTATGACAAACTTGCGTCACAATGCAATATATAGCAGTACAAGTTTGTTTGTTCAGCACTCCATCGATGTGATATATACAAGGATCCCCCCCACAGCATGATAATGTTTACACCATGCCAACCACTATGCTGTATACAAAACCTCAAATTCATAACAAGGATGTCTGTACACAAACAGTCCGAGTCAAACAGGCTATGTGGGTATGTGCACATAGATATTGCACCTTAAACCATACAATTGTCTGTGTGTTCTTGCTTAATTAGGTTAAAGGGATTAACAACTATCACAGGTATAACATACCTGTAGTGTACCTAAAAAGCACCTGTGGGGCACCTAACAGACAGAAAAGTACAGCAAGGAAGGACAGAGTTGATGTGACTAGAAAGTCAGTATAGTAAAGTACATAGGGAAGGACAGAGTTGGTGTACCTATAGAGTCAGTATAGTAAAGTACATAGGGAAGGACAGAGTTGGTGTACCTAGAGAGCCAGTGAAGTACTGTACAGTACATAGGGAAGGGTCCAGATAACCTTCAAGTTGGTGGTATAAACATAGTTGTCTCCCCTCTCACCACTCTTATATACTGTAGAGTGTAACAAGTGCAGTCTATAAGCAGGAAATCCACATATGCCTTGTACATTTTTAAAATATTCAAAATAACATATAATGATGAGGAAATGGTTCACAACCACTTATATATGGGTAAATTGTTCCACGACAGTGTAGTAACGTATCTTTCTTTGTGTTCCCTAATCTTTTTGTAATGACCAATTTAGACCTAATTTAAAGCTTTTTAACATAGAAACACATCATTCCTAAACATTGACCTGTCATTAGTTTGAGGTAAAACCCCTAAGTAAACACAATCCTATAGTACTGGTATTGTTGAGCCACTAGTGTTCCATTAACACAACCTAAAGGTGTGGAGTAAAAAAAACATTGATTTAATGGTTTCTCACATGAAATCTGAACTTCGCATTAACTTTAATTGTAACACAATGTACCTATATAATTCACTCGACATTTAGTTTGATTATGGTTTGACATCCGACATCACCTACATACACCGAGACACCTCACAGTGCCCCAATTGGGACTAAATACAGATACCTAGGAATCATCATTTTAAAGCATGATTCGTTGACAGGAGCAAGTTTTTAACATTTCAGAAGTATGTTTTACATGTCAGTGTGTTGTTTCCCATTCATTATGGTTTTGCACTGGAGAAGAGAGTCTAGTCGACACTTAACAAGCAATTCATTAGAGAATTTGACAACTGAAAGTGATACCCATCTGACATTTAGGTATTATTAAATTAAGAGCGAACTGTTCTTTTTATTTTTGCTAACTATTATACAGACTTTCATCATATACACAGGTAACTGGACCCTTTAATGTATAACTGATTTTCAAACCCATTAAATAACATATTTTATTGTTATCCTCACAAAGAAAATAAGAAAGTGTTAAAATTCTTTTGATGAAGTAAAGAAAATTAATATTCAGTATTGTATGTATCAGTTGACTGGTGTCTGGTTTACATTCCTGTATCACATTACTGGGTTTTTCACCCACATATTGTATTGCAGCTCTGGCTTTCTCATGAACTCATAAAGATTTGTCACTATGCCAAACATCACTCTTACTATCAAATATTTCACATTTTTTGGTTGTATCAACTTTTATTTCATATACAAAATAAAGATTAAGAACTATCACTTCATGCAAGCGAAACAAATCACAGACAACTTGTCCTTTATTATTCTACACCTAACTGGATTTTATGTTTTTCCCAAACAAGATTTTGCATATTTTATAACCCATGACCTTTCACAATCAATTAACATGCATTCATGTATCAACAAGAAAACTCCAGTTAAGATTTAGTTTTAACGAGCCTTGCTCAACACTTCTGTGATTTAGTTTGTCTCCTGTGACTCTTTTTTTGTCGTAAACTGGTAATTTTTCGTCTGGAGTTTGATTGGATAGATATTTTCTCTAACCTGCAATCGACTTTCCAGGTCTGTTTTTTGATAAGAATTAATTTAGTATCCATTTCTTGCATTACCTGTCACATATGTTTTATTTCTCACTGAAACTACAAGTCTCTCAACCCTAAATTCTTTAATGAACCAGACTGTCAGTTGATTAAGAAGGAGTTAAGTTACTCTGGAGGTAATGTAGGTTACTAAGGTATGTGTATCTATGGTAATGACATTTATATGTAGGGTAATGTCACCAGGCTCTAGGTGAGTCTGACATATGGCCGCACAATTACAAAAAACATTTTTGAATTGGAAATATAAACCTTTTACCTAAGCAATATAAAATCTGGTATATCAGATGGTTTGTCTGAGAAAGACCCTTTGAGTCGTCTTAAATTTCACTTCTAAATGGCTTCTTTAACTGCCAGTAATAGAGACTATTAAGGACCATAACAGGTAGTTTCATGAAATATTTTTGAGGGTAAAAATAGAGATTTTTTGATAAGATGTATTGTTATGTGAGTAGTTTATGACAGGCTGTTTGTGGGACAACACTGGCTATCTATAATAACATACTGGCCGTACTCCATAGTAGAAATTATTCCGGACTTTATCCTAACACAAGAAACCCAATCTCATTCTCAGTGCTCTGGTCCTTAATCAGAAGTCACAAGGTAGAAATGATAGGAGCTGTCCTGACATAATGTTTGTGTCACCCCCTAGTGGCCAAATGTTGTTATCTGTAATTAACTGCCACCGATACCTGTGATGTTCTACCTGATCTGCATCTCAAATAAAACTTAAAGGTCACAATTAATTCAAACAGAGATACGACAAAGTCAGGCTGACCAAAACAAGTTTGACCCAAGGCTTTTGTTATAGATCAAAGATATCTGTCCAACAAAACATAGCTATCCCCAAATAAGGACAATACACCACTACACAGACAATTCAAACAGAAATTTCCTGTTACAGGTACAGTCACCCCATTTAGGGTCATTCACCTACCTATTTAACTTGGGGATAACTTTGAAATGCTGATTTTCAATAATGTATTCAACTTTTTAAAATTTTTGATGCATTTCATTCACAGGGATTTTTTTTTCATACCACATTTAAATTCATAGTTTTCAATCTTAAACTAATCTCTTGATTTCCTAACAACTTCAATTCTCTAACAACCTCAATAGTTAAAATCAAAGTGTGTCATACACCATATTTATCTGTTTACAAGTCCATGACTGGTAATAAGCCAACCCTCATCTATTTTTGCTCCGTAGAATTACCAACAAATACTACTGAACTGTTCTCCTGTAATATTATTCATATATTATTAAATTCATATGCCCCCACCCCCGTCCCCGCCCCTGTCCCCATTGCAGACTGAATGAATACAGTATTATAGTATTTCACTAGTTTTTTCCCCAATCAAAGTCACCTTTGTAAATTTTATATCAAATTCCAAAGTGAGATTTTTTCCATATTCTAGACTTACAACATTATATATCGTTCAAAATAAACATTTCCTTAGGATGAAGGGATGATTCTTTCGTAATGTTTAAAAGAAATTTCTATAGGAAACCTAGAGACATTACATGGATGTCTTTACCATTATTTGATATGCGTGGGCTAACACATTCCTGACAATTACTTCTATATTAAGAATATCAAACACTACAAGGATTTTTCTCCATCTTAATGAAGAAAATTATATTCTCAGGAATGATTTTGACCTATAAACTTAACTGAAAGCTTGTGACATCATTCTGACAGTGTGTGTCAAATAGTTTACAAATCATCATACATTATACATCTCTAAACAGCAAGTTCTTCATTTCATGTAAATCAGTTTTATTACACAGGGAAAACAACGTTACCATCTCCAGGTTGTTGTAAGGTTCATAAAACTTAAATACAATAGTATACGTGAATTTACTGATATTAACCTACAGTAATGAGGTTAATCAATCTGTATATCTACCTCAATTAATGTTAATATTCTTTTTAATGGCACTCCCACCAACTTCTCCCATTTTTAAAAAGTATTCCTGAAGGAAGAAATCTGTACACAGTATAGTTAACCATTTGATATGTTTGGCTGTGAAGTGATTACTAGAAATTTTATCAACCACTTACAATATCAACATTTGTATTAAACTGATACTGTGTTAGGGCAATACTCACTTTCTTGACCCTTGCATGTGCCCGGTAGAGGTCATCATAATCAGGATGACCATGGTCAGTTTCATCTAAAAGGTCACTCAGGTATTTATCATACTCAGGTATTCTTTGTACCTGTAACAAGAAAAAACAATACGGGTGATTAGTCAACAATCATGTGAAAAGGAGTGACATTACACGAGGTAGGTGACCCTACCCACACAGGTAGACAACGATATCATCAGATTTGTCCTCGAGGGAAGTTTCATCGTATTTCACAATATCCAATTTTAGGTTTCCTGTGATGAGTTAACTATTTCTGACCTGTCATTTAAGGTAAAAACCACATCAGTAAATGTTTTGTATGATTTGTAGAATTCGGAAATTACAATTTTTGAAAAAAAGTTTTTTTTTCTGTGATTATATTTCTTCTTTAATAAAAAAAATATTTGTGTTTGTTCATTTTTTAGCATAACATAAAATAGACAATAAAATTCTGTAAATTTTAACATGTACACTATATACATACAACACACTGGCTGCAACCCAAATTACTGTCATTTAAAATTCATTAGTTTCATATGAATTAATCAAATAATTTGTCATCCACTGGAATGAACATGTAATTCACAAAGTTCACACACTGTTGTGCGTGTATTGGTCGCACCACCTGGCCGGAAAAGTCACAAACAAGAAGACTGATCAAGCTCATTCTGAAATCAGCATCACACACTATAGAAATTGATGACGACAGGTGCAAACATATCAGGTTTTTTTTAGTGAGAAAATCGTCCTGGAGTCACCTGAGAAATGTTTAAAGATATTCATAAACAGGATACATGTCCTAATATTAGCCACAACAACATTCCAGAGAGTGGACTTGGGCCACAAGGAGTAGCAATGTATCACTGAATGGTTATACCAACCACAGTCATCAGATATATTTATATCACTCAAACACACCTCAATATACCATGATTAATTGTCCCAAATCTATCTAATTTCTACATATTTGCCCCATTTCAGAAAATATGAAGAAGACGTAAAGGTTAATTAAAACTAACAAATCTGATTCAAGTCTTTTTTTTAATCACCATGTTTACCGAAGGAAAGAATCATTGCATAAAAAATACATGAAGTTCCAAACATAGCTATATTAGACCACTGCTAATGAATTGATTACTGTTATGATACTAATCACTCACCCATTTCTTAACAGCAAACCATCTACGCCTTGTCTGAGCATCCATATCATACAAGTGTTAACACACCCTTGCCTAATCCAGACATGGTTATCCTGTGATTATTGTATGTTAGATCCAATAACCCCTGGTAAATAGCCTCAAACATTCTCCCCCAACACTTAATCCACTTCGGACACAATATAGGTATGTTGCCTCATCTCTGACCGTACAACACCTCTGTACGATGAGGATGGAATTATGACCACAACAATCCTGATGTACCTAGTAGGGTGATTAACTCCCAAATGATACAGTGCTGCAGTCACAGGCAGGCCTTCTCTACAGACCGAGATAAGTGTGGGTTAAGACATTGGGTGATTAGTAAAATCGTGTGGTGTACCTTTAGTCAGAGACAAGGGGAACATACTGACAGAAGTAATCCTCCTAATATGACACCAGATTGCCTGACAAGTCTCAGAGTCAAGAGGACCAGGCTACGATGACGATGACACTGAACACTGAACACGACACTTTACTCTTTCTACTGATAGTGAAACAAATTTATTCTCCATAGGTGGGGAACGCAAATTAGATATACAGACAGGACACATTAAAAAGTCTCATTGACAATATAACTTGATCACAAAAAGCCATTATGATATTTTAATTTTTTTCACTGAAAGAATTTACATAGTAAAGGACACACACCACAAGTGACATACTCAGGTATTAATATTCTATAATGATATATTTGTATTTAAAATCTGGTCCATTTCACCAAGGCTATTCAACAAGTGTAATTACTGTTATATCTGTTTACTGGTGGAGTGTAGAACATTCTAATATTAATATTCATCTGTCTGATAAATATTGTCTAATGGTATCCATATTGAAGGATTCCTTGGAATACCTGGACATTTCTTCGCAGGTGGAAGGTCATTTGGTCAGCATTATCATGATTATAATGCAGCACTTGCCAAATTTAGTATATTTATCTCGTAAGTATACTGATACTCAATAATGCATCTGTTTTGTAATAAAACAATGTTATCTTGTCAGTGAGCTCAATGGAAGCAGTAACTATCACGTCATCCTAGTCATTCAGACATGAAATTGAAATAAGATAAAATCAATCTATATTACAGTGTAAACTATAACAGAGCACATTCAACAAAACATATCCTTCGAGGAATAGATTGTCATTTCCAACAACACACATGTATTATATTTTATGTATTGTTTTGTTTCCTAATTTCATTCTTTGACATAGAGTTTTTTTCGTCCTTATATTTTATTAATTGTTGGAACCAGACAGCTATAGTTGCAATAATTAGATCTTTATGTTAAGAAGATTGTGGGTCATTAAGGAATTTCTACAAGGTTACAGGTAATCAAAGAATAAATCTCATTTCCACTATCTAATAGCCTCAATATCAGTGGGCTCTATATAAAGAACATTTACCTCTATATAATGAACAGTGTATTCAGTGGATGTTTGACCTCTATATAACAAACACTGTAATCAGTGGACGTTTGACCTCTATATAACAAACACTGTAATCAGTGGACGTTTGACCTCTATATAACAAACACTGTAATCAGTGGACGTTTGACCTCTATATAACAAACACTGTATTCAGTGGACGTTTGACCTCTATATAACAAACACTGTAATCAGTGGACGTTTGACCTCAGTGGACGTTTGACCTCTATATAACAAACACTGTAATCAGTGGACGTTTGACCTCTATATAACAAACACTGTAATCAGTGGACGTTTGACCTCTATATAACAAACACTGTAATCAGTGGACGTTTGACCTCTATATAACAAACACTGTAATCAGTGGACGTTTGACCTCTATATAACAAACACTGTAATCAGTGGACGTTTGACCTCTATATAACAAACACTGTATTCAGTGGACGTTTGACCTCTATATAAAAGACATTTACCCCTGTATAACAAAAAATCCTAAACATAGATGCATGTTTACAAATACTGTTTATATTTGGGATAGTACCCAGGATCTGGACTATGCAGGTGTGGTATGATAATGGGAATTGTAACTGACCAGACTACAGGTGTGACCTTGTGTATCACCTGTATACCCTACCGCTACTCCAAGTCATGTTACAGGTAGATTTATAGGTAGGAATGATACCTGTGACTGCGGAGATCCTCGGCAGGGATGGGTTATGGGGAGGTTGTCCCACTTACCAAACAAAAACAGGACCACGTATATAAATACTCCGCATAATTGTGGTCGGGTGTTTCATAACCAAATACAGCCACCAAATGTTGTACTCTGCATATTAAACAGCCAATTATATATCTGGTTATTGGTATTTAACTATCAGTTGTCCTGCCAGACACAAAACAGAAAGTCGGCCCACCCATGGGCGGTGAGACGAGGTATGATATTGTAATTACAATGAGCCAGATATAGGGCAGTAGAGCTGCAGTGATAGTCACCTATATCTTAAAACAATTAGGCATTGATTGGTCAGCTACATATAGGATGACCTCAAAGATTTGAAGGTTGAACATGAAGGGTATGGTTCTGTTAACTATCATAGCCACAAAACTATCAATAGTGTATATAACTATACATTCTGAGTTGAGTAGATAGCATGTTTGTAAGGAGGAATTTATCCTCCATAACCAGACAATTATAACAATCCAAAAGTACAGAAGACAATAGACTTTGTTATCGTGAATGTCCATAACTAATTATAAACCCTGTCTCAGATACTGTAGATGAAACTGGAGAGTACAGTTATTTACAGCACAATGCAGGCTTTTAATCAATATTAAGAAACAAAGGCAGATTATTTATCTTAGAGCAGGTACTGTATTAGTATATCAGTTACTTGATGTGATATTTTTTGCTTGATAATGGAAAAAATGTATTTCTGAGAGGTACAACAGTCTCTGTATTGTTGTTCCTTTGCCAAACAACAAATCCGAGCAATCAAACAGTCTCATCTTGACTTCCTCTATATTAGGACAAATCACTGACCACATGCTACTACAGTGATGTAACCTTACCTGTAAATCTTCTGGTCTCCCTCTAATCTTTCCTAATCCCTGTCCAGTTTTAATCCTCCAGGTGCAATATAACAAGTATGATCACCCCACCTGATTAAGATGTCCAGTAGCTGGTTGTGAATAATAATCCTATGTACTTGTACACCCATATCTAGAAGTCTATCTTGGTACAAATCTTGTGCTATCTGATCCTATCTGGGGTGGAGACTCCAGCTGTATATAGATATCTTTTTCTATCATTATCTACTTACAGCTGATATAAGGATGTAAATATACAGCTGGGTAAAGTAAGTGCATCCTGCTGTAGAGACAAATTTACACACAGGGATCAGCAGTGATAATCTGTTGGGTGATAAATACTACATGTTTAATGATGAGACAATTAGTCACAGTGATCCTTATAAGATCAAGTAGTTATCAACGCTGTCTTTGATATGGAAATTTGTGTAATATATGTCCATAAGGGGAGCATTTTAAGGAAATGTGATTTCCATTATTTTGACAACATGTTATTTGTGTTTCCGGGAATGGTGTTCAAATGAATCTCATTACTAAATTATGGAAAAGTTTTATCTCAATTTGGAAATAATATTTTGTTTTGTTTTCATTTTATTCAGTATATGCAGGAAGGAAATGATGCCTAATTTGTTGAGAGTTGAAGGGTTCTAATAAAGATAAGCGATGAAAGACAATTAACTTCTAATCCAGTCCTACAATAATCCAATTAAAATTTTATTCTAATGATATGCTTGTGTAAAGGAAAGCTAAATTACAATTAACATGATATATATGACCTTTGACCCAGTGTGACCTTTATATAAAGACAGGTTTTCCCACTCAGTGTAACATCATGACTTCCTAGCCCTGGTTTTTACACCTGTCTGCCACAGAATGGCCAT